CAAAAATGCTCATTTTCTCGCCTATTGTCTTCGTTCTTTCACTCTATGTTGCCGTTGTCTATGGTTACCTCTATCTCCTCTTTACCACAATCTCAACGGTTTTCGAAGGCCAATACAACTTTTCACAAGGTAAGCTCACCCACCCTTACAAACAATTTAAAACTTGGCTTATCAGCCCTATTAGGAAACGTGGGGCTCGCCTTTCTCGGCATTGGCATCGGAAGCGTTCTGGGTCTAGGCTTCGTTGCGGCGCTCTCAGATTTAATCCTCAAAAAACTGGCCGCGAAGTCTGGCGAGATGAAGCCTGAATATAGACTGCCTCTACTAATTCCCGGCGGCTTTTTCATTCCAATTGGTCTTTTTTGGTATGGCTGGACGGCTCATTATGGCGTACATTACATTGTAGCCATCCTCGGCACGCTGTTCGTCGGAGTTGGCATGATTATCACCATGGTATGTTCTGCTAGCCTTTGTCCATACCTTTCCATACCTTATCAGGAACTGAATTTAATCGTTTATCGCAAATGTAGATGACGACATCCACTTATCTCGTCGACGCTTACACAATCCACGCCGCCAGTGCCATGGCCGCCAACACCCTCTTCCGTTCCGTTGTTGGTGCTGTCCTGCCACTTGCAGGCTTACGGATGTACGATAAGTTAGGCCTTGGATGGGGTAACTCTCTCCTTGCCTTTATCGCATTGGCCTTGGTCCCGCTTCCGGTAATATTCTATCGCTATGGCGAGCGGATACGGACCAGTAAACGGTTTCAAGTATCCTTCTAACCCCCTGCCTGTTGTGCATATTTATGATATCCTCTAAGGTTTTGGTTTCACCTGCGGAGTCCTTGCATTTACATATAGAATGCTTCTATTCCATTGGACATATGGATATACGTACATCCTAAATTCCCCCGTTTACGAAGTACACTATCTTCTAGTATATATATTGCTTTGAGACGGCATCTTTATCTATTGATTATGCGGTTTACTTTGAAATTTTTGCATGTTGACTCGGTTGGATTCAACAACTAGTTAGGTTGGAAGAGAAAACACTCTAAACCCCGCATCAATACCAAGCATGTTTCTAGTCCCCGAGAGGTACAGCAAGTAATGATGCTGTCAATAATTCAAACTTTGGCTGTTGATTTTCAATCGATTTTAGCTCAGTTAGGTTTATGATTGATGAGTGTGGAAATCAGTCCAGTGATTGCTTCAGCCTTGAAATTCCCTCCTGGCTGACCAGGGAACCATTTTCCGAAGAAAAGGAGATCGGAATCGCTTACATTTTAGAGGGCGAAGCACCTGGAGATCCTCTGCGGCAGTTCTGGACATCACGTCTCCTACGCACGTTAATATGCGATTCGGCATTCTCCAAAGAAAGGGAGAGGAACTTTGGGATGTTCCAACGGCGCCGGAGGAGGTCGGGCCGAAAATGCCAAGAGGCTAGGGTGCCGGTACTAAAATAAGGTCACTCGGGCCCACTTGCCGGGGATGTTTAATTGTGCCGGTTACATCATCTATCAAGTTCATTTTTCTATCTGGCGACGAGGGACTCGGGAGCGGAGGAAGGAATTGAAACGATTACAACGACACTGAATTGGGAGTTTGATACATTTGGCAGACATGGCTGAAATTGATGAGGCCATCGCTATTGTGAACTACACCCCTATGGAGCCATAGCTATTTGTATCGCCTGATACGATTTCTAATTTCTCAAAGGGATACGACGATGATGAAGATTCGACAGTGGGCGATGACACATTCTCGTATGTTATTCTGAGATTTGGAATTATGAATCTTATGCTTATCCTCCACAGGGAGACTGAATCGCTCCAGTCACATATGCTCGATTACCAATACGAGAACGGAAGAAGATATCATGCATATCATTCGGGATCGTATTGGTACGTTGTGCTCCAGAGAGCGCCTGAGTAAACGGGTGCCCAATTAACAATGATGTCGATTAGGGGACCCAATGATGAGAAGGCCAAATGGCTTACAGATCTCGGGTACCGGCCCTGTCCGAGTTTGCGACTGTGACCGAACCAGCTCCTAATATGTAACGATCCAAGGCACCATCTATATAAATTGCTTCTTCGCGGAGAGCTCTATCTTGCTCCAATATCACCAAACCCACAGGTATAGTGACTGAAACATTCAATGCACGAAGAGCGAAGCTGATTTCTGCATGGCAGCGGGTAATTGACATTGGGACTGGAACCGGTGCGTGACGTTGCTATCCCTTGACATAGGTTGAGATTCAAACTAACATACTTTTAGGAATATGGGCAATGTTAGCCAACTGGTGGGCATCCTACAAGCAAGCTTTTGACCTGGTTTCTAGAGAATTTGCGGATGACCACCCACACGCGGCGGTCATCGGGACTGATCTCTCGCCAATCCAACCACTGTCAGTTCCGCCAAATTTGTCCTTTGAAATCGACGATTGCTGCGACGAGTGGTTGTATACCCCAGAAAGCTTTGATTTTGTGCATGTTCGTGGCCTCTACGGTTGCGTGGCTGACTGGGACGAGTTTTACAACCAGGCTTTCAAGTGCGTTAAACTGCGCCCCCCCCGGGCGCTCCAAAAACATGTATCTATTCAAACCACTTATTTTCTTTTCCCTAGGCATCTGAAACGGGGCGGCTACATCGAGCAACTCGAACAAAGCGTGGCCCCCAAATCAGACGACCACTCCACCGACGGCACAATCATGGACGAATGGGGCCGCGTCTCGCTCGCCGTGGGCGACAAGTTTGGCAAAACCCTCCGAATCGTGGACGAGGCAAAAGCCAAAATGGTTGCTGCCGGATTTGAAGATGTGACTGAGCATCGATTCAAGTGTCCGATTGGCGATTGGCCTGTGGATGCGAGGCTAAAGGAACTGGGGAAGGTTGCGAGGTTGTATTGGGAAGAAGGGGTTGAGGATTGGTCGACCATGTTACTGACGAGGGTGATGAATGTGGGTTATGACTGAGTGATACGTATCTTGCTTTGCTCTTTGCTTTCTGTGTTTTTTGATTGCTGAATTGTTGTGGATGAATATAGTGGAATCCAGAGGAGATCAGAGCCTACCAGGATCGAATGAAAAGGGGGCTGCGGAATCATGGGATCCATGCTTACTTTGAAGCGTTAGTTTGTCCCATACATTTTGTGGCCAGGTGGTACTGACATGTTTCAAGCACCGTCGTTTATGGGCGGAAACCCTGGAGAGATTGAACTGGCGTTTGCGTCTTCACTATGGAGTAACCACCGAGGAACAAGTCAAGAGGTTGGTGTCATCTTCGAGATATGATCACCTCTAATTAACCAAACATACAAGCGGCCTACGCTTTAAGGAGACTTTTTAAGTCTTTGGTCAACACAATTCCCTACTTGATTCTAAAAGTATTCTAATCGCTTTTAACAGTATGTCAAAAGACACCGAACAGAATAAAAAAAGAGTCCACACATCGTGTACCAATTTGTTAGCGCCTCAGCTCCGTTTTTGGCTCTATATACCTCTTCAACTTGCCTCGAACCTGGGTCTTCTGCTCAAAAGCATACGCCATTCCAATCAGTTCCTCCTCGCTCCAGTGTTTGCCCATGAAACCAATTCCAAAGGGAATGCCAGGTGCAGCGGCGACGAGATCTCCACGGGGATTGTGCATGATCTCCTGCCCTTCCGGGAACGCTCCAAGTGGGACGCTAATGATTGGAGAGCCGACGAGTCCAGGGACATCATATGCGATGTCAGTTGGAAGGACTGCAGCGTCAAGGTTATGTCGTTTAAGCGCACCGAGGATTCCACCTTCGTCCCCGAAGGCATAGCTCTTTTGGTAATAGGGCCAGAATTCGGGGGAAGTGTTGTTGGTTCCTAGCTCGAGGGCGAAATCCCAAACCCCGGTGTCACGGTCGGGATAATCTTCTGGGGGGAATGATTGGGTAAATCTCTGGACATCTGCTAGACTGTGTACATTTCTGGGGTTCACTTTCAACTGGGAAAGGTAGTGTGCAAGATCACTGATGAAATCTGCCAAAAGAACTCTGTAGGGGGCGTCACTGGTGACATATTCTTCATAGGCAGTAAAGTTGGCGTCCCTGACGATTGTTGCCCCGGCTTCTTCCATAACCGAAAGAGCAGAGTTGAAAGCGTCGAGGACGGGTTTATGTGCTGGGCTTCCAGCCAATACCGCTAAGACATTGGATGGAACTCCGATGCGTTTCCCTTGTAACGCTGACGGCTTGCACGCGGAGACATAATTTGGTAGACGAGAAAACGGAATGGCGGAGGTGTAGTTGTCGTTCTTGTCTCGTCCGGCAAACGCCTGGAGAAGGATGGCCGCGTCCTTGACTGTTCTCGCCAGGGGTCCGATTGTATCTTGGTGAGAGCTGATGGGAACAACAAGGTGTCGGGAGGTCAAGCCGACGGTTGGCTTGATTCCAACGACGTTATTGCTTGAGGCGGGGCCAACAACGCTACCACTGGTCTTCGAGCGGTTACCACAGCAATTTCCAAAGGAGGCTTAGGAATAGGAGTAGATACCTCTGTGCCTAGGGTCGCCCAAGCCAAGCCAAGATCAGAAGCTACGCCACTGCCGCTGGAGCTTCCGCTAGGGTCCTGCTGGGGATAATATGCGGCGGTGACCTGGCCTCCATATGCACTCCAGCCACTACTGCTATTTAATGATCGGAAATTTGCCCATTGTGATAGGTTAGCTTTGCCCAAGATAATGGCGCCGGCGTCTCTCAGCTTTTTCGCAACCGTCGCATCCTCGTGTAATTTTGCGTTGTATAGAGCGTAGGAGCCGGCTAGATTGATATGATCAGTTCCGGTGCCGTTGACGTGCAACAGTGTTGCATATGCACTTACAGGTTGTTTGCAGCCTATCGTCAGTACCAATGTTACCTTTAAGCAAGACTGGCAGACCGTGTAGAGGCCTGGCTTCTAGTTAGACGGAGAATACACAGATGCCAAGGTTGATCAACACACCCTCGAATCTTTCCACGGCGACGCTCGCTGTCGAGCCGTACAGCAATCAGATGGGCATCTGGGTTGAAGTCCGAGACGACATGCAACTGTCTGTTCACCTCTCTAATCCTTACGAGATATGCCTAAAACTCAGGGTCTAGTTTTAGCATACCCATGAAGCAATCGTTACTACCAATACGACCACTGACTGTGACCAGCTCAACGCTGGTAAAACATTTCTGCGATAAGCCATCTTGAAGCTCTTCCGCGGTTGCATCGATGAGAGATGGAAACTTGCAACGGCCTTGAGTATCGACTGTTTGAAAATTTAGTCTCACGCTTCCTGCTCTGCGGTGAAGTCGGCGAATGGGCAAACTTACCGGCTGCGGCTGCAGAGAGCGGGATCAGAGCTAGTCCGGCGAAAGCCAGTTGCAACAAAGAAGCCACAGACACCATTGTTGCGGTCAGTCAAGTGGCCTTCGATCCTCACACAGAGAAAACGGATTCCCGCTGCCGTGGAAGGGTGGGAATGCGTCCTATTTGTGCTGAGGCTTCCCAGCCCTTTTGCAATCCCTGGCTGGAAATAGCCGTGCAATGGTACCGTCACGACATTTGCATGCCCGGAGAGGGAGGTTGATAGTACCACGTTGTTTTACCGACGGGAGCCCGAGAAGCAGTGGAACATTGCTCCACGTCGGAGCAAAATCAGCCCCTGATGGATATATCCGCGTCTGCCTATTGGGCAAATGGGAATGGGATTCCCAAGGTGCGGCTGAGACCAGACTCAAATAGGACGGTCAATCGGGAAATGATGCTCGCGCAGGCGCAGGAATGCTGGTTTGCCAGACGTCTTTGCATGGATGACTTCCAGGATGAGGGGTTGAGAAAACCCATGGACGCGTGAGATGATGTTGGTTTTTTGCAATGACAAGGCAGGGGAACGGCATGAAAGAGCTGCTCAGCCGCTTCGGGGAGGTCGAAGGATGATGAAGGATTGTCTCCATTGCTTGAGTATTGCATGAAGCTGAAGAACCTCCAGGGAAGAGAACGATGTTGGCTCCATAGAGCTTCCGCCGTTACCCGTAGAGGTTGAGCAAAGATTGAAGTGAGCTGCTCTTTTAGAGAAAGACTGCTGACGGTATCAACAATTCCTCGATGGTCTAACGGTTATGATTTCCGCTTGTCAAGTTAGTCAACTAACAAGCGCGGGAGACCAGGGTTCGACTCCCTGTCGGGGAGGAATTTCTTTTTGCTTTTTCTTCTTTATTCCACTTCATTTCAAACAAAACTAATAAACTATTACCTCTACTCCTTACAGTTCTCGAATTTGTTATCTACAGCTTCGGCCAAATAGGCTGTCCTAGCCTCCTCCCTCCGTCGACAGCGATATCTTCCCCGTTGCTAGACCCTACTTTTAGCACCTACCATCAGTTCACACGCCATTAGGAGGGATTCCTTACATATAATTCCCAGCGGGAGAACACAGGAAGACCATAACCCCGGCAATGTCTTCTGGCTGCCCTAGCCGTCCTCGAGGAACCTCCAAAGACAGCGTTCTCTCCCCGCCTAGATTCTCAATCAACCCATTCGCCAGCTTGGACGGAAAGAATCCTGGCGCAACCGTGTTCGTGGTGATATTTCTTGGACCTAGCTCAACCGCCAAATTTCGGGCCAAATGATGCGCTGCAGCTTTGGATGCTGAGTACATGATCGTGCCGTTGTCACCGACATGGCTTACTCGCGTCCCAGCAATCGAACTGACCACGATGACTCTCGACGGGTCGGCCGCACTGCCTGCTGCTTCCAACAGCGGTGTCATCCTGGGTCACTTTCTCGTTAGCATGCTGGGCGGTCTTTTGGAAAATTAACCAGTGCATAGGGCCCCCCTGCATACAATCTAACCAAATTGAACACGCCGCGGACATTCAGATCGAGAATCTTTTGCGTGCTCCAATCGGGAGTCGGTTCAAACGGGCCACCCCAGGTCGCTCCCGCATTGGCGACCAGAATATCAATTTTCGGCTCGGTCTTTTTCACCTCGGTGACGAGACGTTCAATCTCCTCGACTTTCGCAACGTTTGCGGGGATGCCAACGGCTTGGCCAGCTACTCCGGGGAGTTTGTTTAGCTTCTCGACTGCCTGGTTGATTCCCTGCGGGCCCTCTGCTTTTCGCGCAGTGATTATCACTTTTCGAGCCCCTGCGAGAAGAAAGGCCGTTGCCGTATGCAACCCAAGTCCTCTGGAGCCTGTGGGTGCAAGGTAATATCAGCCAACACAACCGTGGATAGTTGCATGCTAGTCTCGTAGTGAAAATTGACCAGCACAAAAGGAAGGAGACAAAACTTGTACCTCCGGTGATCAAAGCAACTTTGCCATCGAGGCGGAACATGGTCTCGAACCCTTTGATTTCAGACATTGCGAACAATCCTTGCCAATCTCAACTGGCCCCTGGAGAATGCAATTTGATACTGGCAGAAAGAGGGATACAGCGGAAGCCCCTCTCTATCCCTAATTACAATCCAGATCTTACGATGTCTCCATCTATATCTACAGCCGACAGAACCCCTGTGTTCCCCGCGTTTCGTTGCTTGGTAACTAGTTCAGTAGTCCGCGAGAGAGACGGCTATGATGCTCTTTGCCTCGGCGTCCTCAAAACTCGTAAAACTATTTATTTCTTAGCCATAGTCAATGAATCGCTCCAATTGCTAATAGGCGCGACGAAGACCATCACCAGACTTCATATAAATACAAACTAAGAGGTAGTTACATTAAACTTGTTTGAAAAAAATTCGCGGTATGTCTACTTCAATAAATCGCTATTCGGGGTCTCGATTAGCAAAACGGAGGAATAGTGGCAGCTAAAATATAAAGCCAGTAGACGCGTAATCGAAGTGGATGGAAGGGAAGTTATATGCAGTACAAACAGGTAGTCGCGAAAAGATCGCTGCGTTAAAAACGACATCTCATGAAAGCAGAGGAAGTACTGGTCCATAGCTGGAAAACGTCAGTACAAAAGGGATAAAATAACAAGCATCCATCGCTTATAATGGAACTTCATCCATTTCTCCTTCCTCTGACCCATTCGCGTTCCTTTTTGGTTTGGCGTCTGTATCGTGGAGTGGGCCGGGTTCATCGCTGGGACTTTCGGGAGGTTTTCCTTGATCCGAGTCTGACTGCGGCTCAGGAGAACGCGGCGCTGGGGACTTGGGTGCAGCATTTCCATTTGTGGCTGCATTATTAGTGCCGTTCTCTTGGATCTCCTCATTGGCACTAGGTGCATCGCTGTCGGCAGTGCGTCGTGACTCGGGGCTGGGCCCTCTGTGTTTGTCGTCTTTAGGAGGAGCAGGTGGTGGAGATTCAGGCTCATCATCTGAGTCGGGCCCATTTATTATCCTCTTCTGGGGACCGCCGGGGAAAGGAGTGATTGGGGGTTCGTGGTTCTCTGTCTTGAGGTGAGATGGCAGCTGCGATATACTCCCACGGTTTTGACCCTTTGTACTCGACGCGCTAGAATTCAAAATGGCATGTTGGCGGTTCTGATGTGCACCGACCCCGGGTCCAATTTGCCTCAATTTGGGATCTGCGTCTAAATAGTACCCGCGCACACTAACGATGGTGCCTTCTCGCTCGCACCCATCCACCCACTCTGGTCGCACGACCGGGATGTTCATTTCTACTGCCTTCTCCCACCCCGTACCTCGCTTTTCTACACACACGAAGTGCGTGGTGTCTATTTGTATCGTCTCCACCATCTTAGCACCGATTCGCTCGATCGCGCTCTCGAGGGAAGCTCTCATCTCCGGCGGCATGACGCCCGGCGTGACCGTTATTCCAGACAGATCGGTCATCTTGTGTGTTCGGCACACCAGCTTTTGGGAGCTGAAAACGCCCGCGGAGGTGCGCAAGACGAGATGGAAAGTGTATTCCGTATCAATCGCAAGACCGCTGATTTTGGTACTGCGCATTTCTAGCGGTCGAGGTATTGAACCCGCTTTGGAATCATTGCGGTATAACGAAAGGGACTTGAGGGACGCCGTGGCCAAATTGATCGGATCCCACTCCAGGACCAGTGACGTTTGGGTTGCATTCTTAAGCCGTAGGACAGGAGGCGAAGGCGCGTTGATGCCATAAGTGTGAAGGATGCGTTTTTGAAGGGATTGGAACGCTGATGCGCTGGAAACCTCAGCAGCTATATTTCGTGATACAGTGATGTCGACAATGCTCCCGGATGCGATGTCGCTAGGAAGGAGGACAGAAGGGAATTCAATCTAAAATCCGGCGATCAGCGGCGTAAACATGCTAGATTGATAGTCTGCAGAATGTCAAATAAAGGGATGGCTGGATGGTAACGCACAAGCCGGTTATCTTGTGTTAGGAGGACTGCGACGCCTGCATCAACCTTCCCAACTGTCAGGGACACCAGCATCTTCAAAGAACTGGTTGCTGTTCTGAAATTTAGTTGGAATCAGTGCTTTCATCAATTGGCTAGCTGTGTCAAGAGAGATAATGCTATCAAAGGGCCAAATAATGCCTTTCTAGCTTTGATTCAGGTTACAGTGTCTTGCGTAGCTTCATCAACATGATGCTGTCGGTACCTAGCCCGTCAGAGTCAAAAGGGGATGCCAGCCTTGCTGCTTTAACAGCCTCCAGCCGTGCTGACGTTATTATAAAGTCACATGATCACCTTCCATTTTCGCGCTTCTGTCAATCTCTCGGATTCGCGACTGCACCTCATCCATTGAATCGCAGTGACATGCTGGCCTGATGTCGTCAGAAAACCAAAGCCCACTGGTGAAACTATCTCTACCTCTAGTAAGTAACAGCTAGCGGGATTGGGATTTCAGTCAAGTGGACATTCCTAGCCTCTGACTTGCTTCTCCAAGCAATATCAACAAGATGTGTTCCAAGAGCTCAGATCGGAAGATGAGCTGGTTATCTTGGCCCCAGGCTTGGGCCTTTTGCGCATCGTGACAAATCTTCTCCATACATATGATGCAGCAGGAAACAATCTGGTCCTGGTAGTTAGTGCAAATGACCGTGAGAATGAATGGCTTGGTGAAGGTGTGTGAGGCACTTTGCATTCACTGCCTCTACTGATCATTTGCTGTACACATTTAGCCCTGGCCGAACATTATGCTGTTAGCAAGACTCCATTAGCAAGGGGTCTCAAAGTCATCAATACAGATAAGGCCAAGGTCTCAGCAAGGTCTGCTCAGACGGCAGAGAGCCTCTTCTTGATGCTAATGATCACACAGACAGCAGCTCTATGCCCAAGGCGGCGTGCTCAGTGTAACATCACGTATCCTGATCGTTGATTTACTATCAAGTATGTCTCTTGTTGGTTCATAACGAATTGTGATGGTTAACAGTGTATAGCCCTGCTGGACCCAGAAACCATTACAGGGATGGTCATATTACATGCAGAAAAGTATGATTGTGATGATGCATTATGTGAATTGCTGGCTGAAAAAAGGTCCATAGGGTCATTTCAACGTCTCTGGAAGCCTTCATCATTAGGGTATATCGTCAGTTCAATAAGACTGGATTTCTCAAAGCGTTTTCGGACGCGCCCGAGCCTTTCACAACCGGGTTTGCCCCCTTGGCCAACATGCTTCGGAATATGTTTCTTCAGAAAACATCATTATGGCCTCGGTTCCAAATTACAGTTGCTGAATCTCTTGAGGGTCGCAAAAAGGCGGAAGCCCTTGAGAAGGTAGTTTCAATGACCGACAAAATGAGAGACATCCAGAACGCGGTGCTGGAATGCGTTGAAGTCAGCGTAAGGGAGCTCAAGAAGTCGAACCCGGTTCTTGACATCGACGACTGGAATGTCGATAGTGCTTTGCAAAAGAACTTTGATGTCGTTATTCAACGCCAACTAGATCCAAACTGGCACCGTGTCAGCGTGAAAACGAGGCAAATCGTTAGTGATTTAGCGGTTTTGAAAAATATCCTGCAGTATGAACCTGATCCCCACTTCCTAGATACATACTTAACCGGTAGCATAGCCTACTCCTCACGGATGATGCAATATCACTGTTGAAATACCTTGACACCGTGATTGCTGCCCATTCGCCTCCGCCCGGATACACTAAACAAACATATTCTCCTTGGCTTTATCTCGAGGCAGCACATGTACTTCTTGAAACCGCAAGATCTCGAGTTTATCGTGGGAAACTCAGTACTCAGGCTGGACTCTTAGGGCCACACTCTAGCCTCCCCAGTGCGCTAGAACCGGTTCTTGAAGAGCAACCCAAGTGGCAAGTGCTGGCAGAAACTCTGGACGAAATCGAGCGTGATTTATACCTCAATCCTACACCTGGTGATGATTCAAACCATGCCATCCTCATCATGTGTAGTGATCGCAAAGCGTGCCAACAGGTACGCGAATACCTTCATACTATGCATTCTAGAGTCCAGTCGGAGAATGGCGGGGGATCGAACACCCCAGAAGCGATGGAACCTGGTCCGTCAGCCGAATTTATGATGCGAAGAAAATTACGAGATTATATAAACTGGAAACGAGATTTTGCCAAAGTCAGGAATAGCTTGTACGGTATTAATGCAAAACGCAGCGAAGTGAAAGAGGTACCGGGATATACCTCCGTCACCACAAATAGGGTTCCCGAAAGGGGACCACCAAATAAACGGCGAAGGGTCCGAGGCAGCAGTTCCACGGCCTCAAACGCTGGCCGAACTCCTAATTCTAGTATTCAGGAAAAGGCAGATGATACGACCCAGGTTTCTACGCTCCTTGATGAAGCCCTCCAACCTACACCGGCAGAGGTAGCTGAGAAAGAGCACGTTATTGTTGATGACTTACAGGATATGGAAGATTACTACGAACTTTTTGACATGAAAGATTTGATCATTATCCATGCTTACGACGGGGATATGGATGAGCATATATTGGAAGAAGCGAGGCCGCGATATATTATTATGTACGAGCCAAACGCGGCGTTTATCCGCAGGATTGAAGTATATCGCAGCTCCCATACTAATAGGGATGTGAGGGTGTTTGTCATGTATTATGGAGATTCGGTCGAAGAGCAGCAATTTCTGAGTGCTGTGAGACGTGAAAAGGATGCATTTACAAAACTTATCAAAGAAAAGGGCGTATGTGACCTCACTTCCTCCTTCTGTTGCCATCGTGAAAGTTTTCTAATGTTTCTATCAGTCCATGGCCATGAGCCTTACACATGACAGAAGCCTTGAAGATCCTCAGGAGCAATTCCTTCGCACCGTAAATACGCGTATTGCAGGTGGCGGTCGCCTTGCCGCCACGGCAGCTCCTCCAACAGTGGTAGTTGATGTTCGAGAGTTTCGAAGTCCCCTCGCCTCACTATTGCACGGTCACAACATGGTTCTGGTGCCCTGTCAATTGACAGTAGGCGATTACATTCTCACGCCAGATATCTGCGTGGAACGGAAGTCCGTCCGTGACCTTATTAGCTCCCTCAAGAACGGTCGACTATACAACCAAGCCGAAACAATGCTCCAACATTACAAAACCCCCGTCTTGTTGATCGAATTCGACCAAAACAAAGCTTTTACATTCGACGCCTTCACTTCTTCAACAAATCCCAGTGCTTTTGTTACAGACAATCTAACTTCATTTGCTACGCCGTCCTTCTCATTCGGCAATATCATAAATCCTACCAACCCTAAATCGATCCAGCACCTTCTCGTCCTCCTTACTCTTACATTCCCGCGTTTGAAAGTGATATGGTCCTCCTCTCCTCACCAAACGGCGGAGATATTCACGGAGCTCAAAAAGAACAACTCCGAACCGGATCCTATTCGAGCAGTCCAGATCGGTCTAGATTTCGATATTGCTTCTGCTATTGGCGACCAATCTGGTAGTAGATCTAAGGAAATGATGGCTGTGGCGGGCGTTGAGCATCGCATATTCAACCAACTGCCCCAGGATATGTTGGAAGCGGTGCTGGGGACGACGCCACATGGGATTGAGTGTTTAATGTTGAAGACGAACAATATTCATGAGATTGCTAACATGGAACTGGAAGACTTGACGGAAATAGTAGGCCAGCAAGAGGCCAAAGCAATTTTCAGATTCTTCCGGCGAAGTGTATTCGATGCTGAAACGGGAGAAACCATTTGAGAGTTCACCTTCTCAGGAATAGAGCGATGAAGATTGGGATCTATGGGAAGAGCTAAGCTTCAGGCGAAACGTGGCTATAAAGGTGTAGAAGCGTAGGGTATGGCCTTTATTCCATTTGATATTCAGTGCTCACACTATCTATGCTTGAATCCAGCAAGTCCAAAAAAGCATAATCATCGTTCCATGAAGAGCAGGAAAGGAAAATCAAGGAGCAAGGCAAGGCCGTGAAAAGAAACTCATCATAAGTGGCGTTAACAGTATGAAACCAGCGAAACAGGACGACGCTAGAATCGGTCAGCCAGACAGGACGCGATAATACTCGCAAAACAGCCCTGGCCACCAACTCCACAGACGTGAAGAGGCAGGGTGTATTCCTGGACAAAAGAGTCAAGATAAAAAAGGGAGCAGCAATTAGCCGACTAAGATCATATTTCGTCCGACCATTTCCCGCGCAAAATCGCCCCGGTTCCCAGCATCACACTGGAGGTGTGCGATCGTTCTGCCCCATGAGCTTCCCCCAAGTGGGCATAGAGGGCCCAATAAACTCCATTTCCATCACGCAACGACAAGCGGCGGTATGCTAGCGAGGGAGAACCGATTGCTTTTTGGCGGCATAGCCAGATACGCGTAGGTAAAAATATGAACCTGCCGGTATCGAGAATTGGAAGGGGAAATCGCTCAGATCTCGTCGACATCGATTTCTTTCTCGTCGGCGCTCTCACGGTCTTCGTCGAACTCGACGTTGTCATCAAGACCCTCATGGCCGTATCTGCAGATAAGAACCTCGTTAGTACACAACCTCACGCATGTGATAGAGAAGGGCGGGATGACGTACGTATCGGTTTCGTTGATCTTCGCACTCTCTGGCAACTCGCCATACGCCTTCAAGCTTCTCGCCTCGTCGGCACTGTACTTGAGGATCACGTCTCCCTTCTCATCCTGGTAGTCTCGCAAGGAGAGAAGGATGATATCTCCCTGATTGATCCAAACCTTCTTGCGCAGCTTGCCACGGATGTGTGCTAGGCGCTTCTCGCCGTCGAAGCAAAGGGCTTCTAGACGTCCATTACCCAACATCTTGACAACCTGAGCGTACTCCTGGCCTTCTTCCTTGAAGGTCAACTCGCGCTTTTCATTGTCATTCTCGTTCTTTCCACGACGACGATTTTTACCACCCTATGAGCGGAAGGCCAAGTCAGTTTCTACTATTCAAACCAGAACTCGGAATGTGACCCAAGCACAAAACGACCGTTCATCGCAACCGTCATGCAGATTTGTGCTGCTGGCTTCGTCTTGCACCCAAGCAGTGGCAACGCGGGGTCAAAGCAAGGGACCAAACTCACCTTTCCCTTATTCTTCGGCATGTTGGCGGGAGTTCAAAATCGGTTTCTGCAGGATACTGAGATATATGTATAGGAGCAGTAGTTGGTGTTTTGTCTGACGCAAGAGGTTGTGACTGTTCAGCACTGTTGTCACCGTTCAGGACGATTTATATCGCTCCGTCGTTTATTAGCGTTGGTGGGGTTCGTGCTTGATTAGATAAGCAGTCCCTTGCCACTTGAATTAAGGTTTTCACTTGCATTGCGTGTATTATGTAATTAGGCCAAAAGTGGCAAGCGGTCTTCTGGCTGTTTGTTTCTTTGCCAAACGGCATTGATATCTATGTACTCTGTAGAGTGCTGGGTATATATCCACAAAGAAGCGCGGAGGGAAGAAGAAGGATCACGCAGTCGATTGTCAGCCACTGTTCAGTCTCCAGGGCTTGTCGTCATTCCTCATTGCGTGGAAGCAGGGATTCTGCCAGTAACGCGCAGCTTCTCCTTATTCCAGCCAGCCTGTCCGTTCTTCCGGCGCAAGCTTGCAAGGCCTAGCCACGCCTGATTGCCTCATCGACCAGAGTCACCAGCTGCTCGAGCTAATAAAGCCTCCACGGCTGCGCAAAACACAGTTGGGCATTTGGTTTGGTATTGTTTTGCCTGATTGTGTTCATGGGTCGGGTTCTTGGCATCCGCTGCAGGCTGACTTCAACCCTCACCATCGTCAACCTTGTCAGCTCGTAGTTCATCAGTCGACATTCACCCGCCCATACCGCACCAACTCTACATCCGCAAGCCCTGCCCTCTTCTCATCCCTCGAATTTACCAAGCTTGATACCAAGCGGACGGCACAATCACGCTATCCGCGAAGTCATCGTGGCTGCCGCTGTCGTCGAAGATCCCGGCCTGAGCTAGTCCTACATCGCTACCTGTATCTAACTCACGTCAGCAATGGTTGAAGCAGTCGGTTGAACACTTTGACAAACTTCTCTTCCTTTAACGGCCGGTGATTCCGATCTCCTCCTCGACTTATACCCCCGACAATGCCGTCGATCCTCACCGACGCGGACAAGGAAACTGTCAGGCGCACAGTTCCAAAGCCCTCAAACAAGATCCTCGACGTCGCCGTTGCACGGTTATACGTGGCGTATCCAAGCCCGCACAAATGGACCTTCACCGGCTTACAAGGAGCTGCTGTGATCGCGAATGATCTGGTGGGCCACACTTTTTGGATCAAGCTGGTTGACATCTCGGTAAGTCTCAAGACCTTATCCCCCGGGCTTCCGCGGACTAACAAAATACCTTTACGCAACAGCCTGCAAATAGGGGTGTCTTATGGGACCAAGAACTCTACGACGGGTTCTCATACAACCAGGATAGGACCTTTTTCCACACCTTTGAATTGGAGGAGTGCCTAGCAGGCCTGTCTTTTGCCGATGAGAAGGAGGCGAAAACATTCCTCAAGAAAGTGTCGGAGCGGGAGAAACATGCCAGTAAAGAGACGAAAGCAACCCCGTTCTCTTCGGTCAAAGGGCAAGGCCCAGCGCCCGTAGCAAACGGGAAAGGTCATCACCGTTTTGGCCTGGGAAGCTTACTAGGACACCGATCATCCTCTGCACCCACGCCGCCACCAGAATCTATTATACCGCCCAAACCAGCAGCTCCTGAACTTCCAGCCGCTCCTGTGCGCCAGGAAACCCCACAAGAGAAGACCTCGCCGATGGATACGGTTGATCCGTCTTGGAAGGGTTTGCTAGACGAACTTTTAGCGATGGGGATAACCGAAGAGCAAATTGCAGAGAATGCCGACTTTATCAAATCATACATAGAATCAAAACAAAACGGTGAAGTGCAGCAACCGGTCGAGGCCCCTTCTCAGGAGCCTGCCCGGAAAGTGAAAGCACCACCGCCGCTTCCAACAGCGCCTCCACCGGCTTCTAAAATGTCATCATTAAGCCCGCAAAGCACTGGCGGGACAAGCAGACGTGGAGCGCCTCCGCCTCCTCCCCCCTCCCGGAAACTCCAAGCTGATAACACTCCCCCATCTCGAGAGTCTCCGCCAGCATCTTCAAAGGACGAGCCGTCTCCTGCGCGATCAAGGTTCAAAGCTCCTCCTCCAATCGCCGATGCTGGTAAATATGCCCATATAAATCCCCCGGCCCTACCGGCGCGAAATAGGGCAGGCTCGCATAATGCGACTTTGGGACCTCCGCCTCGACCACCTAAAACACAAGAGGATGGACCAGTCCGACTCCCTCCTCCGCCGCCACAATTCCCAAGCGAAAGCAGATCTCCCGCTCCCCCACCTCCTCCAAGCAGAGGCCCAGTTCCACTTCCCCCTCGCCGTAACGTTAGCCCGCTGCAACCGCCGCCCCTGCCGCCAAAAACACCTCATGCACCTAGCCCTTCACTTGCTCCTCCTCCACCGCCGCCACGGGCAGCTGCTACACCGCCTCCTCCTCCGCGAACAATCCAACCACGACCACCTTCGACTTTTACAGCACCACCGCCACCTCCGCCCATCCCACAAAACTCAGGTCCCCCTCCTCCCCCTCCGCCACCACCGGCAAGTGCCGCACCAATCCCGGTCGCTCCGCCGCCGCCACCCTTACCTCCTAGTTACGGCGCTCCGCCAGCACCTCCACCACCACCCCCTCCTCCCTCAGGTGCTGGCGGCGCTCCGCCTGCACCCCCGCCTCCACCACCGGGCGGTGCGCCCACGCCCAAGGCTGTTCCAGGCAAACAAGATCTGATGGCCTCTATTCGAGCTACGGGCGGAGGCGGCCTTCGAAAGGTTAAGGATTCAGAGAAACGCGATCGAAGTGCAGCAATGGTCCCGGGCGGCTCGACAGATACCCCCACTACCCCATCAGCGGGCCCTCCGGCAGGCGGAATGATGGGAGCTATTCAAGAAGCGTTAGCCAAGCGGAAACAGAAAGTCAGTGGCAGTGGTAAGTTCCAAGTTATCCTAGGCTGTAGCAGTTAAAATCATGCAGACCAAGTGCTAACGGCTGTGCAGATGATGAAAAGTCCGACGACGAATGGTGAACGGATTCTATAAAAGTCATCAAAAGCACAATCTCAGCGCAACTCCCGAGTACTAGTTCAATCAAGGCGCGTATGCCCATCGTTAGGATAGTTAGCTGTGATATGTAGACTAGGGCGAATGATTACACTACTACAAGATTATTATTCCGTATGGATTCTAGCAAATAGACCTTCATTATTCCCACAAATACGGTATCACTACCACTCCCTTGACCTTGATAGTCGCTTATTAAGCAGGGTCTCGGAACAACATTGCGCCGGCTCCAGCGATGACGCTGAAAATTGCGACTGCAGTCAAATCCACCGCCAGCAGCTGCTCGACCATGTCCGCCCGCTCGCAGCCCTACACCGCGCACCGTCCTAGTCTCGACAGTGCAGACCCTGGGTGAGGATGAGAGATGGTGCCCCGTCCCTTCGTCAAACCATCGGCTCCATCCGTTAGTCTACTTCGGTTCCTTCGCTCGCAATCAAGCAATATCAGCTTCTTTCAGCCAAACGCTTGCCGTCTCTCATCGCGCATTGCTCAGAGGCATCCAGGGGTTGACCAAAGTCCGCGGACATTGAGGAGTCCATTTGAACACGGGTGGCTGGAAGCGGACGTCGCTCGATGCCCATCCACGCTTGAAGCGTCGTTTCTACCCTTCCTCCAACCGCGGTCTAGGAGATCTTCGACGTTACCGAGTCCTTCGTCCTATCTTCGCACTGGAACCGCAAAGGCCCCAAATATCCAGCGCAAACAGTCGTTTAGCGTGACGCCAAAGAGGACCGGGAATTTCCTTCGTCGAATCTTTGGTCTGCAAGTTCCACAACCGCGAGGCCATTTGAATCCCGATGATCTCCCCCCTAGCGGTGGATTCGAGGAGGGGCAGGAGTGCAATCCGTTTACTGTTGGGAGAAAGCTGGCGCTGAAAACTTCGAACGAGCCTCGGTTGCGGTGCACGGAATTCGATGAGAATGGCAATGTCACGCTCGTGAGCGAGGAGTTTAAAAAGAGCGAACTAATTCAGAAGGTTAGTTCTCACCGTCTAATACATACGTGGGATTAGAAGTTGATTAGTGCTTTTGCGATGAGTAGTATGGCCTTCTCCCTCGCGATCTTCGAAAGATCGATTCTTCCGTGATACCACACATACTCGTTCGTCACAGTTCGATCCTGATTAGCTTGCTCCATCTTCGAGTGTTAATAAAGGCCAATCGCGTGCTTGTTTTTGACGCGTACGGCTCGGCGGATACTTATACACAATCTCTTTTTATGTATGACCTCGAGGGGAAACTCCGTCAGAAGGACCCACCCGCTCCAAGGCACGCCGTAGCCTCAGGCGCACTACCATATGAGTTTCGAGCTTTAGAAGCAGTTCTGGTTAGTGTTACTAGCGGACTTGAGACGGAGTTTGAAGGAGTCCGGGAACCCGTTGTGCGGGTTCTCCGGGCCCTTGAAGAAGATATCGATCGTGACAAACTGAGGCATCTTTTGATTTATTCGAAACGACTCGGCACATTTGAGCAAAAGGCGAGATTGGTTCGAGATGCAATTGAAGACTTGCTGGAAGCGGACGACGACCTCACTGCGATGTATCTGACCGAACGATCCAATGGTGTAAGGCGAGACGAGCATGATCATCAGGAAATAGAGATGCTGTTGGAATCGTACCATAAAGTGTGTGACGAAATTGTTCAGGCTAGCGGGAACTTGGTTACAAATATCCGTAATACTGAAGAAATGTACGAGCCCTTTACTCGGTTTAAACGACAGTGCTAACAAAGGTTACAGTGTGAAAGCAATTCTCGACGCCAATCGCAACTCTCTCATGCTTCTCGAACTCAAAGTCAGTATCGGAACGCTTGGTTTAGCCGTCGGCACTCTTCTCTCCGCGCTTTACGGAATGAACTTGAAGAACTTCCTCGAAGAGTCAGACCTCGGGTTCGGCGCCGTTTCCGCAGTCTGTTTCGTTTCTTCCGCCTTTGTTTGCATATACGGACTCATGAAGCTGCGCAAGGTGCAGCGTGTGAGGATGTGGGGTGAAGGCGGTACGCACGATCCTTACATGGGGGGACTAGGTCTGCGCGGCTCGCCGGCACTGCCTGCTCGAAGGAACTGGCGCTCCGATTCGATCGATCCGGCGTGGACGGGGCTACAGATCGAAGGCCGCTCGCCGAGGATACGAAAGGTCAGAGGTGCAGCGGCGACTGCCGCACAGGCTGGCGCGTCCAGCGTTTCAGGGGCCAAACGTGCCGCCAAATCATCTCCAGCACAATCACGGCCCTCGAAGGCAAAGAAACAGGAACTGCAACCTGAATGTCGTCCCGAGGAGTTTCCAGAGCCGGAATCTACCGTGGGTAGTGCGGCGTACAGTTCTTCGCGTTAGGCGTGGGGCTCTTCATCCCCCTGGATACGCTCTTTTGGCATGGGTACGATTTTTATATGATTTAATATCTGTCTAGCGTTTTCACAAAGATGGTATTCTGGGTTTCTGTTTTGGATGTTCTTGAGCGTTCAGATGTGTAACAATAGATGGGATAGAAGCTATTCACTCCATTTTCTTTTTTGTTTATAGAAACAGGCCTCGTACATTAAAAAGCCTTGGAAATGATAGTTTTGTAATGGCTTGAAGTTGCATTCTGCTTATACTTAACTCTACCATCTTTGACAATAATGTGAATCAGTATTTGTTTTCTATCCTCACCTCATTGCTGATATCCCTTTTTAGTCTTTCCCACTTCCCAACGGATTATTTTAGTTAGCTACATACACAGTTGCATATGAACAGAAAGTACGCTATGTTATAAACTCAACAGTCACCATGCGATGATTGGTATTCCATCAGGATGAGCTAATGACATTCCACATTGTCGATATCGAAAGCGGCTTCCACGCCCTGCGAAACTCCACCGGCTGTGGACAACATTGGCCCAAGTATGGCATCTGCTTTAGCCGACTTCCCAGCTTGGGTCGAATCTCCATTGTTTCTACCCCCCATATCAAGCGCAGCAGCCAGGGCGGCGCGAAGCATTTTATTCTGCCGTTCAAGACCGGCAACCTTCTCCTGGAGCTGTTGAATCAACAGAGAGTCCGCTCCCGAGGAACCTGATAGACGAGATGGCGATCCAAAGCGTCTCCGCTCCAGCGACTCGCGTGTTGACGGTCGCGAAGCCGCAAACGGGCTCTGACTCTCCGACGCGTCTCTGTCCTTTCGCCGCTGGATAGGAGACGACAGGGCGAAAGCGTCGATGCTCTGGTTATCATGGCGATGGCGTCTGCGGGATTTGCTGGAGCGGGAGGCGCTGCCGCAGTAGGCGTACACACCCTTTTCGTCGTCCGATGACGGCAACGATGGGGTGACGGGTCGGGAAGTCAAAGTAAGGTCCACGGTGTCGCAGGATGATTGGGGGATGTGGCCGTCAGCGTGACGGGAATAATGTGAAGATTGAGAGTTTCTGGGGCTTGCAGCCGCAGAGCGTTTTGCTCTCGCAGAGTTGGGGGTTTTCGGGCGAAGGACCTGTTCGAAGCTTCTGCCATCGGCAGATGGAGTGTTGGGGACAGTTTGCGGCTGCTCAGATCTCATGGTGTGCCCCTTATTTGGTGTATCTGGGCGGCTGGTGCACTTTGGAGGATTCGCCGGCAGTGGAATATTTGGAGGCTCCCCAGGATCTTTACGTAGATTCGGCGACGTAAGAGGACGGACGGGCTCTGTATTTTCCCTTTGACGGGTCAGGCTTGACTTTGGACTTATTTCAATATCATCCTTGGACCCCATGTCCCTTTCCCTTCTATCACCAGCCCCTGAATTCGCCAGCCCGCCCATCGTCGCAGCCATGTTGTTGGTTCGAGAGGAGAACGTATGTTGCTGAACCTCACTGGCACGGCGCTCCGCTTCCTGAAGCTGAGTCGAAGGATCCAGGGGCACCGTTGGGCTGGACGGTAAGCTGCTTAATTGGGCAAAAGCATTTCCTCGCCATGGACTCATGGCCTCTGTTTTTGTGGCAATGTCGCGTGAAGGACGTAGATTGAGTCTCGGGGGCCACAGAGACGAGACTTTGGAGGCGGGTTTCTGGGGTTTCTTGCCGCCCACGCTCTTGTTGCGCGAAGACGGCTCAGTTGGCGTGGGTGGAAGAGCCTTGGTTGGCGCAGATAAGCTGTGAGGAGACTCCTTCCCCTGTGCCTGGCCCATGTTGCACGACGGGGTTGCTGGTGTTGGGGGCAGCGTGGTGACAAAACCTCCAAGCTGATAGTCTGGCGACAATATGAGCGGTGCTGGTCGTCGAACGGGATGCTTTCGAGTTGGCATGCAAAGCAATGAGGCCTCTGGCTCTGAGACACTGAGCGAGTTCTGGAAGCCAGAATGCAGATAGTCTTGTGCCAGACAATGGGGATCTGGCTGTTCCTGCGGACGCCTTCTCCTGCTCGATGTTCTTTGGGGGAGATATTGGGCGTCGATATATGGGGATTGCTGCTGTGCGATTGACAGGATATCAGGCAGCGCGATCTGTGTTTGTTCAGAGTCAGCAACGCAAACGCCATCTCGCTTGCTGCTGGGAGTCTCCCGGCCTTTGTTCGCGGCCACGGATCCCTTGCTGGCGGTCAAGATGTGGCCGGGCTGCCATGGTTGGGGCTGCGGGTGCTCTGGCGCCTCCATGCAGGCATACACCGACGGATGCAGCTGTGGCAGCATACCGCCATCGTCGTGTCGATCCGGCTTCGATTCTGCAGACGAGCGGCTTTCCACTTCGCGCCTATACGTGGCGTTGCCGCACCCGGCGTGCTTGCGATCTCGACTCTCCGCCGCCGGGCTGAATTCAGCGGACGACGGCGTCAACGGCATCTCTGGCGTCGGCGGCGTCCACATCGATGTCAGGTTACCTGGATATTGGAGCATCTCATCAGACAAGTTTGCGGTGGGAGGCAGTGTCCCAACACCAGCATAGAAACATTCACAGGCTACATCACCAATCATACTTTTTGAGCCAGAGGCCGGCAGCACCAGCTCAGGCACTCTGGGATCCTTGCAGATAGGAGGCGGCGGCTTCTCGTCAGGGCCCGAGGTGGACGTGTACGGCTTGTTCTTCCTCCACTTCTGCCAGCCCTTTTGACGGCGCAGATCCTCCTGGGACTTCCATTTTTTGGCCTTGCGCAGCTCCTTTGGAACCCAGATATCGGGCACGCCGCCGTCGCCAAAGCCCATCACGTCGTCTTCCGGGAAAGGCGCGTTGTAGTCGGTGAAGAAGCGAACCAACTCCAGCAGATTCTCGGACCGCTGTGGCCGTTGCACGGATCCTGCTGATCTAGGGGTGTATTTGCAAATGTCTTTGCTCTTCACAGCTTCCGGCGAGAATGGTGCTCCCGACAGCAGCAATTCGGGACCGCTCTTCTCCATTCCCCCGGGTGAAGCTGTCCTTAAGATTGGGTCTGCTGGATACACCGCAATCAATAATGTCTCAGGTCGGATGGGAATCGGAGCGAGCAGCACAAGGGACAATTGAAATTTCGGTTTGTGTCTCCAAAGGAGAAGACGGGCGCTTTTACCACGTTCCTGGCCCGGCAGCAATGGCTTCCACTGTTCGATATCACATGAGCGAAAAGGCACCAGGAACCAGCGGTGAGATACAGGGGTATTGATGCAAAAAGCGAGCTGTGAGACGCTGCTGTGAGCGCCAGGGAATTGGAGCGACGAACCGCCTATACCATCTCCTCCGGCATCAACCTGCAGTCAAGAGACGACCCACCAAGCTCAGCCTCCGAGACAGACTCAGGCGGATTCGTGCCAATGCATGGGAATCGCTCAGGTTCCTGCACGACTGCACATAGTGCACTTGGGCGCTGTGGATCAAACGATACGAGCTGTGGAATCGGGGGAAAAAGCGTTCAATTCAAAAAGGACAGTAGTGACAGCATGGACGAAACGTTCAACAATCACTCTGCATATATTTCAGAATCCAACCAGCACAGAGGCTTTGAAATGCGGCTTCTCGCAGATATATGTATCGCTTGGAGCCGCAACCGGACGGAAGCAAGTGTTCTCTCCATCTTTCCCCCTGCTCCAGGGCGAGACAGAAAAAGCAAAGTGGCCAGAAGATGATAAAAAAGCAAAACCAAGCCAGGACGAAGATCTGATCGTCGCTCCCAGCTCTCTTGTCGGAAAGACACCCGTTATCCGACCACTAGAATCCGACGGGGCTTTCGATAAACTGATAGCCTGTGCTGTAGATCTGGGACATCTGGTGCCTGCAGAGAACGAGTCGTCTGCGGCAAGGCCGGGCGGTTTCAAAGGAGCTTTTGGACCCGAGACGATCTGGCTCAACGCTGAACCTTTTTGGAGCTCGTCTCAGCTTTCAGCCTTTCAGGGTGAGCCCGCTGGCTGCCCGTTGATAGTTGCTCCCGGCCGAAGCACCGTTGATCTAGTGCGTTTGGGAAAATTCTCACCGTGTCCCTTTCCGCCTCTCCGCCCGGTGAGCTAACTATAGCAGCATGTGGTCCCTAGTCGGTCCCTGCTCCCTTTGTCGTGGGATTGGAAGACGTCATGTAGGCTCGATAGATCACAATCAGCCACTGGGAGAAGGCTCTCGGAGCAAGTCTGCGCTTTTCAGGTGTTCGAATCATATTCTACATGCGGCCAGTCCATATTGAAAAAAAAAAAATGAACCCAAGCCGGCAAGCGAATTAAAGCTTCTTCCACCGGTGACAAACGCTGGCCGTCGAAAGCCTCAAATCCCCAGGGCTTCTCAGCAGCAAAATCCAACTCTGTCCGACAGGATGGACTGAGCGTGCATACGCTTTTGGAGTCCAGATTTGCAAAAAAAAAGCTCTGGCTCACATTGCCCCTGATATGCGTGATATGCAGTGAAACCATCGAACCTTGCCCAAAAAGCCTATGATGCAGCAGACCTCGGCCCTGAACTGGATAGCTCCAAGGGCGAGAGGGCTTCTAGTTGTAAATCTCTTTCTGCACACTCTGTCAATCGTCATTGACTGCCAACTTTCGAACACTCACATCTATGTGTTTCGAGAATGGGAACGTCTTGGGACATCGAGGGAATGTCTGGATTACGGAATGCCCCGGGCTGACGCACGAAACCCGAGCATCACCATTGGCCTGCTGCACTGTGACAATGTATAGTGCCTTGCTTCCTAGGTGCCTGACCCGGCCGTAGCTTGCCCTGTTTGTTAAACAAGCATCCACGAAGACCCAGTCAATTCCTTGCCGGGAGACAATGAGTGTAGGATGCTGAGAGGGAGCGTGCGCTCTTAAAGCCGTGCAACGCCGAATCATGCATCTTTTTTATTTTTTTGCGTCTGAAAGGTCAGGGGTAAAAGAGCCCCTTTTATACCCTGTACTCCATGCGGAGATCAACACGGAGCAAAATAGGAATGTGCACTGTTCTACGGAGTATTTGCCCCTGAACAGGGCTGGATGAAGGGTAGGAGAACACAAATCGAGGACTGGTGTCCAGTTGGCCAGATATTTTAGAATACAAACCAGGCGAAGTTGGAATCTGCGAGCCAACGCAGCCCTTGACAGTCTCGCAAAGAGTCAAAGCAAAAGCAACGCAGAAAGAGATAACTACTCCTTGAAGTATAGCAAATCATTCCAACAGGCCCTCAACGCCACTATCCTAACATGCAAATGCAAAGAGCTCATTCAGTCATGCATATTTCGTGCCAGTCCCTCCTTAAATGAGCAATGCAGCCCTTTTCGACCCGTATGCAGCCTCAAACATGCCCACTTTGAAACAACAAATCTTGAGCAGTCGTTGGAATCATCAGTCCAAACCGTATGCACGGTGGAAAAGTCTGTGCAGTATTGAAACAAACGCCCTCCCTTGAGGAAATGAAATCCATAATGATACAGAACAGTCATATATTCGGTGAAATTCAAAACACAAAGGAAAAGGTATCGAGTTACAAAAACCAAAGTGGCTGGCAAAACACAACGAGTTCATCTTCGTTTGGGACGAATGAACGGGTCTACTGGCTTTTTCTTCCGAAATGGGGGCCTGTCTACCCTTTTTGGTGGTGCCGCAGGTTGCGCAACCGACGAGCTCTACGAATTCCATTAGCTCACGACCAAAAGAGTGATCACAAGAGTCAGCATCAACAAGGGCAAAAGATGACTGCATGAACCTACATTTACATTATGGCCAGGCCCTGCAAGTTTATCGTGCGTTTTTGCATCAATTGGTCGATGGCCAGCTCTGTCTTTAGACGGTACCACAAGATCCTACCACAAGTCAAGTACGTCAGTCATGCAGAAGGACCAAACTATGGGTCTGATATTTTGATACTTACGCTTGCTGGCGGAGCAACTGAATGAGGATCAATCCTCTTTCCTTTCGGTCCTCTTGGTGCATTGGGAACAGGCCCATCTCGGTTTGACCTCGGCACTTTGGCTCCCTTTGTATCAGGCAAGTCCAAGCTCCCGCGTTTTCGTTTCCCAGCAATATCAGTCACATTCGGTCCGTTCTGGGGTGATCCGTGTGGTCCGGGAGTCGATACTGTCGGGGCCACCTGGATTTTAGGAACCTTGGGATCATGGTCTCCAAGCTGTCTTTCCTTCCGGCGCTCCACATTGCGTTTTTGGAGGAGTTTGAACTGAAGCTCATCTCTCATGATCCTGTCTTTCGCTGATTTGCTCAGAACCTGCGTGGATTTGCACGCTTCAGCACTATGCCCAAACATACCGCACTCTACACATCGAATTGCGGTGCAGTCTCTTTTTGAATGGCCTTCTTTGCGACATCTAAAGCATGTTCCTTGACTGATACTCTTGGCCTCAAAATTATCGCAATTTTGCGAAATGTGCAAAAGGCTTCCACAGTATCCACAGGCCAACTTCTCATTCAGACCATTGCCCCCGCCTCCAGGTATGTCTAGTGGCTGCACCGGTGTGGACATAGCGCTGCGCGACGGAGTGTCGTCCATCGATAGGTTTGTAGGTGTTTCATTCCCAACCGAGAATCGGCTACCCGAAAGCCTCGACGACGGTCTACTACCTCCAGTGCCTCCTGTCATGGCAGATGCTGGCCTTGAGGGTAGATCTGAGCCGGGAATGCTGTCCGGCGGCGCGTCCACCATTTCAATATCGTTTGGCTCCAAGAGCTTTTGCGGTGTTTGTAGTAGTTTGTACACGTCGCCGTCGGTATATAGATTCCGCTCCCGAGCGTCTTTGACGAGCCCTCGCCAGAATTCTCCCCGAACAAGCGATTGCGAATTGCCCAAAACCCAAAGAGAGGACTTTGCACGAGTCAAACCCACGTTCATACGACGGATATCAGCCAAGAAACCGATGCCATGGCTTGAAGCTCTGACGCAGGAGAATATAATCACTTCGCATTCTCTGCCCTGGAAAGCATCGGTTGTGTTAAATTCGACTGCTTTGAATATTGCGTTTCCATACTTGTTGGCGAATTGTTGCTTGAGTTCCCTCAGCTGGCCCTTGTACGGTGTGATGATGCCAATTTTCCCGGAAAAGTCATAAGTAGGGAAATCCGCGATCAAGCGCTCGTATAGCCGCATTGCCACCCTAAGCTCCGCTAGATTAACCAGGGAATGGCCTTTAGGGGCACTTGCATGCATTCCTTGGACGTCAAAGAAGCGGTATGGTCCGAGTAAGGAGGTGTTATGCCATGGTCGCATCCGCAATCGCGCCATATCTGGGCCGTCCTGGAGCCGTCCATCGTAAAATGCAGTGCTTGGGAATCGACTGATTTCCGGATGCATACGATATTGAGTGTCCAGCAAATGAACATCCTGTGGATGGTTCGCTTGCATTCTGACGAATAAACTCTGTTCATACTGGAACCTTGAAGCTTCCTTTGACAGAACAGTTGGCGGCAGCTGCTTTGGATCACCGACCAGGATGCATTTCGAGCAGCCGTATTTCAGCGGAATAAGCGCACTCAGTTCGATAGACTGAGCTGCTTCATCGATAATAACAGTTTCAAACTCAATGCTCAAAGTCTGAAACATGTCATGGCCACTGCCACTCAGCGTAGCGCAAATAACATGGGCGCCATCGATGATCTCTTGCTGTATTTTCCTGCGTGTAAGTTCTGCATTACGAGCGGCCGCCTGGTTCTTATCTCTAGCGGAATCGATTGCTTGACTGAGCTGTGCTCTCTTTCGTTTCAACAAATCAAACTCCCGATCAAGTTCATTCGGAACAGCTTGACCCTTTGCGCGGCACTGGTCTAACCGTTCTCGAATTTCGTTGAATTTGTTCGACGTCTCTTTGTGCTCTGTGTAAAGGCTTTGGAGATCCCTTTCGTTCCCGTTCTTCTGACCAGCTTGGCTGAGTTTCGCGTTCACGAGTTCATCTAAAGTGACATCCAAGACATTTGCATTTATAGCATCGCTTCGACCAAGACGGATAACTGAAATGTTTTGGGATCTGCCGTACAACGTCTTTACGCCTTCCTTAAATCGCATTACAAGTTCGTCTACGGCGGCGTTGCTAGGCGCGCAAACCAGTAATTTTTTAGCCATAGAACGAGCTGTCTTATCACCAGGTCGAGGCGGAGCAATTCGATGCTCAGAAAGCGTGTTGCTAAGCAAAGCACCTACGAGTGCAACGATGGTTTTCGTTTTTCCCGATCCTGGAGGACTGTAGCGATCATTAGATACAACGCAGGTCAAGAAATATCAGAATTGGTGGACTTACCCCTGAATCAGCGTAAAGGCATCATTATCAATAGCAGATTTGACTGCTTTTGATTGTGCAAGATTCAGGTTATACGTATTTAAAATATTTTTTACCGCTTCTGCGCTATAGTTGAGTATCGGAGACGGCTTCGCCCTGATGATCTCGTCGCTCAGGTCATAGTATCTCAGCGCCATCAGAGCACCATATTCTCGCTCGAGAGGCGTCAACGACGAAATGCGGATGCTGTATAGGCTCGCGCCGGGGGATATAGCGTTTATCAATGGGTTCATGGGGTTTACGCGGAACGTTATTTCCATTTGTCCCCTTTTCTTAACTAGGCCACTCACTCGAGCCAAACAATGTGGTGCCTGTTTGTCTGTTGCTGGATTAGAGCTTTTAGACAAGAGAATTATGTCTGCTTCTCCCAGCCCAAAATCCTTCACTGTTTGTGGTGCCATAGAAGTACTAACTTCTACAAAATTGTCGACAGAGACTCGGTTTGCCACTTTTATTTCGAACGCTTTGAACGTGCCGTCTTCTTTGTCGGATTGGAATCCTTGCCATGCTTCCAGAATCAGAAGTGGCTCGAATGTCCTCTGATATTCCAACGCATCTGCAAAAGTATTCGAAACAAGAGTATAGTCCGTTCGCCCACAATTCGGAGGGAGATCACCAGTTGCAAAGAAGTCCCAACTTAGCAAAGTCTTATGAAGCAGTGTCAGATCCGGAGACAACCTTGCCCTCATATCCTTTGCTGAGCGAGCCACCTTGATCTTTTTGACAGGCATTCGCTGCTGTAACCGCATTTTCTTACTTTCTTCATACGCTCTAACAGCATCCGGTTTTGTAGGTGCTTTTTGTCCTAGCGTTCCCTCATCCTCATCATCACTTTCCGACTCAGAGGTAGTCTGGGAAACCATCATACTATCAGCCGGTTTGGGTTCAATGACATTGGCAGTAATTGAGTCAAGGCCAGAGCCCTGGGCCATTGTTTGTTCGGCAACACCAAGAAAAGCAAGATTCTTTTTACGGCGATCTGCTTCTAGCTTGTCTCGTCTTCTCTTTTCTTCCCTCTCTTTTTCTCGTTTTTCCCGGAAGGACTGAACATTATGCGCTAATAGGGGCTTCACGATCGGCTTAGGTGCTGCGGGAACTCGCTTCTCGGGCTTCTTAGGCAGTGCAGCCAATCTTGCCTTGTTAAGTTCTACAGACGATGAAAGTTGCAGGATGTAATCGTCCGGAATATCGTCATTGAATTCATCCTCCGTCGATTCCTTAGGGGTGGTTGCAGCAGACTTATCCACAGGTTTTGCGAAATCCATTATTTTCGTCTGCTTCTTAGTAACCGCGGGCGCGGCCTGTGCAGTTGCAGAGGGCTCTCCATAGTAAGCCTCTAACGCTCTAACGAGCTCGGCCTTCTCTCGTTGCGTTAAAATCGTCTTAATCTCTGATGTCACTGCCACAGCTCGTATAAAATCTAGCGCATCTTGTGGTAATTCGACATTCAACTCTCCTAGGCGGCGCAAAAGCTTCACCACTAATCCCCCTAAAGTCGTGGCAAGATATTCATCCTTCAGGCGAAGCCATTTAACCATCCCACTCAATGACCTTGTCGGCGCCTTGAGAAGCACTTCACTGGCAGATTGAGACATTCGCGCCTTTGATTCAACAATAGCGGTCACGAATATAGGGAATTGGTCGAAAAGCAAATCTGCGAACTGCATGGTGTCGCGACAAAACTCCATCATGATGTTTCTCTCAACTCCCGTTCTATGCCATGCTTCCGTCTCGTTGAATATTGTAACTAGGCCCGCCCACTGATACTCCCAGAGCTTCTGAAGAGAGCCAATCTCAGTATCGTCGGCCAGTTTCCGAGTTCTTAGGATCCCTGTTTGAGTGTCGCACAGTACATCGATAATGTCCGTTCCGGTCTTCACCATCCTCGGTGCAGATGCGAAAGTTTTCATTTTGGCAATTCGACGATACGACCAGCAAAACGCGTACAACGTAGGAGCCCAAAAGGCTTGGAACAAATGCGAGATTGCTTCTTTCCGTCCAGATTGACCACTGACTGCTTTGATAAGGTCAACAGCGGCCTGATACGTATTCAAATCTGCGGAAAATAGTGCTGATATCGGCGCTAAAGGCGTTGTAGAATCCTGAAATAGCTGATCAAGGTGTTCGGGCTTGAAGTCTGCCAGCCGTTCTAATACCTGACAAAAGCAATGCGTAATATGGCCATACATGGTATTGTAATGGGTCTTTTCTGTATTATGCTCGCCTCTAGTTGGGAATTTTTCTAGACCAGGAAGGGGATATAAGCCGATTAATGCTGCACGCGATAACGCGACATTGCCCTCGTGGAGGTGCCTAACGACTTGGTCCCAGACAAGCGGAGTATACGTGCTGACATTTTGTTGCATGCTTTTGTTCTCGAGAATCATCTCGTAATCAGCTCGAAGGGATTGACATTCGAAAGCCAGGACATTTCGCACGACGTCGGCACAGAGGGATGTAAGATCATTCGATTTGCCCTGAATGGTAAATCTAGGGGGGTTAAATATGATATCAATCTGTTTCGTGACAATTTCTAGCGTTTCGGACAGAACAATGGTAGCCACGGAACTTCTGGCGGAGGCGTTGTCGGTGAAGCTTCTCACCAATAAAAGTATAACCGACAGGCCTGCTTGATTGCAGTAATATTTAACCCAGTCTGGAAATTCTGGCCCTTGCAGGCGGGTAAGGAGCTGGTCTATTAAAAATCGGCATGCCTGAGGTCTGTGAGCATCTAAAAGCGAAGACACAAATGGTCCCATAAAGATTAACATGTCTTTCAAAGCCGACACGTCAAACGGCTCATCTTCGGCAGCTTCCCGTAAAAACCGGTCGTACTGTGGATTGTGGAAGATGCGTTCGAGGATAGCTTGCGGCGGGATTGTCTGCATAGCATCCCAGAACCCTTTCGGGGCCTTTTCAAGGAGGATGCGTATCGTATTTAGCAGAGGCCGAAGGCATGAAGCCGGAACTTCAAGGTGGTCGACTGATACTCGGCAGATGTCGATTTCAAGTGCCCGTAGGTTATGGGTGATGATTACCTCGTTGCATTTTTGAACCACTAGATATAACCCACGCCATAATCTCTCAACAAGATCTGGTTGGTAAGGAACACAAATCGCTTGGTATAAAACAGACATAAGCGGCTCTTTGACTGCCTGTTCGAAATCTTCTTCTGCCAATGGTTCGGATATCTTCTCCCAAGCAATGACTGCCCATTTGTTTCGAAGGGGATCCGCATCGAACAGGAACCGCGTCAGCCCAGGCACATACTCCGCGATCCGCAAGCGCTGATGAGTTTGGACCAATTTGAACGGTTCGTCGAAATGTTGTCGAAACTCGGCATCTCGCTTCAATAGCGCTTCGCAGTTCAATGCCTCGAAAAAGGAGCACAATATCGGCCTATCCAAAACCCTCGGTGACCTTTCAGATGGATCAAGTCCACCCAGGATTTTAGACGCTGCATCCAAATGTCCAATAATGCGCCGTATGTCCCAATCATCTAGCATCTTTCCAAACTTTTCGACCTCACTTTCATCGTAGTGCTCTCGAAGTGTTTCCCACAACCACGACTTGGCCTTGTAATATTCCATGATGCAGAGCTCACAGCTCTCAAGGCTCCGCTGGAGACGATCCCAAATCCAAGTCTGATGTTCTACCAGTTCCGGCTCACTAAAAGCCAATAATGGCATGCAGGACAGGAGTTTTTCTCGACGTAATCTCGCCTCTTCTTTTGCCTCTCGTATTTTCGCCAGTCGTTTGCACGCTTCCTCGTCCTTCTTCTTGCATCTTTCCCTATCGACCTCTCTCTCCTTGTACGGCGATATATCGTCGGCATCCTGGCGGGGGCAGAGTAGGTGAAGATCGTCTGGCAACGCTTTAATCTCCCTAGATGCCGAAAAGCGAGAGCATCAGCAAACTCATCACAGACTACAATCATCATTTGAATAGTTCATGCCACAAGCGTCTGTGCCTACGGCGAAGGGAAGCCCTGTCTCAGAATAGTTACCGTACCCGAGAGCTCTGAGCAAGTCGGCCATTTTGCAGAATTACCCCACGCGTCGCGCCGGTAGGAACGCTTCAACTTGTGTCTCAAAGACCGTCAAAAGAGCAGTCCTCGAGGAAAAGAAAGCAATACTAAAGAGCAATTCTAAAAGGCCCAGGAAGGCTCCATGTTTGCAAGACAAACCTATTCCCTCTTGATGACACAGCTCTGAGCTGGGTAGTAGTGGAGGATGTATCTTGTGAAGGAAGTCAAAGATTCACAAACAGAAAGGTGAGACGAATAGATTGAGCAATGTACAGCCGATGTGAGGGTTGAACGACAAACAGTCTACTCTCATCCTGTCCTGTCGCCAAAAAAAGTGAGTCTCCCGCACTTCAGTGACGTGTGTGAAGCGATTCAAAATCAAGTCACGCTAGTGCTAGCGCGCTTTTCTCTCCATTTAACTAGTTATCAAGTTATTAGTTCTGCACTTGGTTATCTATCAAAAGCGATTACTACAAGGTGAGAAATAGAACGGAATAGCCTGAATGCAGTTTGCGTGACCCTACAGCACTAAAGCCAGACATATGTCTTATGTTTTACTCCCAGGATTACTCTTCCAACACCATACAGCAGCCAAGTTTACTCAGTTGTATCAGATACTCGAAAGATGCAAATCAAAGCTTCATTCAAAATTGAAGGTATATGCAGATCCCCCTATCAACAAGCCAACCCACTATATATCATTCCTCAGTACATGCCTCCCAAACCAGGGAGCAGAAAACTAGCAAAGGGGTTATGTAGCCAAAGGGCACACGCGGAGGGAATCAACAATAGAAAAGAGTTAAAGGAAAGGGTTCCGGCAAAGGTATGTAAGGGTGGGCGAAGCAGGTTAATCGGAAGAAAGAAATTTTGTACATACATGTCGGCTTGACAGAATCAACGGAGCAGTTAAAAAATATATACTGCAAGCAAAATCTGATTCGATGCCCAAATATTCTTTTCAAGAAGGAAAAGGCGGAAGAACAAGAAGGAGAATCAAAGGCAGGTAGATTTGGATCTCAAAAGACCCAGACGCCTGTGAAAAAAGCAGAAAACACGAAAATCACTGAACGCCTCTGATGATCAATCATGCCTAAGAGGGTAAAAGTTTTGTCAAAAGAAAAGGCTCAGCAGACAAGAAAAGTAAGAGAAATGGCACATGTAGCTCGTTGAGATCTTGAAGGTACGTAAACACAAACGCAAAGATGCACTAAAGGTATAGTTCCAGAAATCCCATATGGTCGCAGCAAGAGATCATTAAACACAAACAAACATTACCGAAGGCGTAAGACAGCGCTGAAAAGCGGCTAACTTTTAGTGTTCCGGTATCGACTTGTGGCCCTGTGGATCGTATCGGCCATGGCTAGATTCCATACGTGCCAACATCGCAGCAGAGGTGAAATCGTTACTAGCTTCGAAGCTGGTTCTCGCCCGTTCTGTCGAGGGCCGAGCTGGCATGTCGAAAGACTGTCGCGCCCGGTCGACAGAATGGCGTGGGTAATGTCGGAAGTCGGATGACTGCCGAGCACGATCAAGTGAGTGTTGAGGCTGGTGACGGAGATCTAAACTCGCCGTGTAGCCAGTACCGTCACTACCGTTCTGGCTGCGTGGATTATGCGTGTTCGCCGTAGGCGCCACCGAGGGAGGATAAATCGGACGCTCATCTTCTGGTAGATCTGTTGCCCTCTTGGTAGTCGTCACTTCAACCGGCTTGTCTAGATTTGAATTCGAAAGCGCGAGAGTCCCTGCAGTGGGAGGAACATACGCCTCGTAATCTTCGAGATGCTTGAAACGGCCCAAAACTACCTGTTCGCGGATGATATCGACATCGCGTGGAAAGTATATCTTTTGGAAGGATTTGACTGCAAATCGTGGCGCCAGGCATATTGTAACTGTCAGCAATGTCACAGCCCAGAAGGGAAGGCCCCCGAAAACTTCAGAGGCGGCCTTGTAGAATTGCCCAGACGAAGAAACCGAAGAGTAAACACCGGTCCAAAAGAAGATTAGGAGAGAGCTGATAACGTTAAGTAAAACACTGAGCCAATCCCATCGGTAGGTGTTCAGCAAGATGTAGGTATTGCTAGCAATAACGGCGCTACATCCAACAAAAATTCCCATTCGCATGCGGTCCGCTAAATCCAAGCCGTTCTCTGTTACGTTCTGGGCCGGTTGGTAAAATAAGTACGTCATATAGAAGCAGATCACTGATTGATAGAAACCATCAAGCATATATAACCTATATTATGTTAGACGAGACTGAATGCAAAATGTAGAAAGTGGAAGATAGTACCAGAATTTGAGCTGGGTCCATTCTTTACGCTCGATGCCTCGCTTGTAAAGCTGAGGAACAGCCAAGGACACCTTATCATCAACATCCTGATCCAGAATGCCCATCAGGATCACGGGCAAGGAAGTAAAAGCCAAGTTGATTAAGACAATATAGGTGTAGTCGTAAAGGTAAGATAAGTCGAAATTGTTGTATATACAATACCAGAAGAGCGAAACTGTCCAAACAAGCGTCTGCAGAAAGATTGGTATTAGTACAATAATAGATATGTGAAGAGAAATCATACCTTGTAGAAGAAGTTGGCAATCGTTTCTCCCAACCGACGATAAGACCATCTACCATGCACCAGGACCAATCTCTGCAAGAATCGGAACTGCCCGATAGCGTAGTCAGACGACATCGCAGCCTGTCTGCCTTCTTCGCCTACGATACCAACGCCAACATCTGCTTCTTGAATCATAGCGACATCATTAGCGCCGTCTCCGATTGAAAGTGCCATAATATCTAGTCCGTTTTTCACAAGCTGAACCACACTAGCTTTTTGAGCTGGGCTAACTCGACAGCAAAGAACCGCTCGGCATTGTTTACATAGCAACAAGAATTTCTGTTTCAATTGAGGTCCCAGCATCAGCTTCAGTGTGTCACCATCGACGATAACAGCATGGGTTGCATCTGGCGGTTCATGGTGTAGGCGAGCTGCTGCGAGCTCTTCGTCGGAGCCAGTGAGGCCAAAATCGGCTAAGTGTTTATCAAGCTCGTTGCACGCCGAATCTGGGTCATCGCTATCGATATTAAAGACGATCAGTTCCATGTCATTCGTTAGGAGATTGCAGGAAAAGCCGATATTAATAGCGGTTTCCACTTTATCTCCGGTCAACACCCAAAGCTTAATTCCAGCAGCTGCCAACAAAGCGATAGTGTCAGGTACACCTTCTTGCAATCTATCCTCGATGGCAGTGCCTCCAAGTAGTGTAAGCTGGCGCTCAATAGCACTTGAAACCTCCTCAAGTTTTGCATCTCGATCTACCAAGGCAGTAGCCGCAAGCTCATGTGTCTTATTCCACGTTTGATATTCCTCTTCGCTGAGTATGCGTTCGGCAATACAAAGTGTTCGAAGGCCTTCTCTTGCAAATATCTCGAGATGCTCCGCTGTCTTCTTTCTGAGCTCTTGCTGTTCACCCGGTGCAAGTCGAGAATAAATGATACTATCGGCACCTTTGCAAAACAATCTAATTGTTCCATCAGGCATCCGAACAATCGCACTCATTCTTTTCCTCGATGAATTGAACTCGAGGGTATTCAAGACCGTGTAGGACCTTTCTTCTCCCATAACGTTCAGCTTGATATCATCACCTACTCTTCCCAACACGGTGAAGCCGCAATCACGCGCAGTGGCAACTAAGGCTGCTTCATCCGGAGATTGAGCTTTGAATTCGATTTTAGGAGGGTCGCCAGGAGTTCGTTCTGTGATAACGGTGTGGCATAAAGCCAGCGCGAGCATAAAATGTTCAGTGGCCTTCTGTTGTTCAATACCAGCCTCGCCGGCAAGGTCGGAAACATAATGCGATGAAACAAAAGTGAGTTCGTCGTCATGGAGATATGGATTGTCGTGTATTGACCGAAGTTGCAGAAGCATAGACACACGGTCCTTAGCAATCTCTTCCTTCGCCCTTTTCGAAACCTCTTCGACGTTGATTCCTTCTCGCCGCTGCATGCCGGCCTGTGCTTCTGTATATGCCTCGCCGTAAGCCACGCCATTGACGGTACATTTTCTAAATTCCATTACATTCTGGGTTAAAGTTCCAGTTTTATCCGAAAAGATGTACTCGATCTGCCCAAGATCGTCAGATATATTCCACGATTTCGGCGTGCAAGGGTATTGTAGCTTTTCGTAAAACATGAAATTGTCGCTGTGGATAAAAATGGCCTGTATGGTTCGCACGATTTCAAGCGAAATGTAGAGGGAGATTGGGACAAGATTCTGGTAGAGAATGATACCGGCCCAGAAGGTGATCAAACCGTCGACAGGCGGGGAGCCTCCGTAAGAGCCAAACTCGAACCAGTGTAGTGAGTTGTTATCTTGTGCCCATGTCACACCCTGTACGATGCCCGCTATAAGACACATGAAGAACAACAAGATAAAGTTGTATATAACGTTCCAATTGAGGTCTCTTGCCAACCTGGCACGCTTGCTCGGCGTCACTCCAGAATTAAGCATGATCTTGGACTGCAACCCAGTGAAAACAACGACACCGAGAATCCATTCAGTATTTCGCAAACTACAGCCGCGAAGAAGAATGTTATTGATTGTGATCGGTTCGACCATTTCTTTCGTCGGTGCGTCTGGGTCTTTTGAATCGCGTTGATTCCACTTGATGGCGCCACTGTATTGGTAAAGGTTGGCATGAGGGGCTTCACTTTCAATCACAAACGTAGCCTTCTCACAATCTCTTGCATGCTTAACAGCGCGCCCGCAATGGAGGGCTTGTCTCACTTTAAGATTAGTTTCGCCGTCGAGGTTTTTCGTCTCCACATAGCAAGCACCGTCCGGATCAGACGTGGATAGGATGACTACGTCGGCTGGGATTTGCTCTTCGTTGTAAATACGAACAAAATCTCCGACCCGAACGTTCTTCCAGTAATCACGTCCAAATCTGGCGGTTCCCGGCGTGCTCTTCGTCTTGTCTACCACGCTACCATAATTCCTAGGGGCAATTGGTATCCCCTCTAGACCAAGAGCCCCAGGAGCGAGGTGCGCAGCTGAAGCGGGATTTCCATTCGGGGCAGCCAGGGAAGACAGATCACCCGGCTGAGTAGTCTCTTCGGATCCCCACGTTGTCGACTCAGTCTGTCGTCTATTCAAAGAAGGGGAAGGAATGGGTGTCATGGGTATGCCGCCGTTTATTTCTTCAGTGCGAGTAGTTTGGGTTGAGGTCCTAGGTGAGTATAGAGAATTGCGTCGCGAGGTCGCGATAGAGCTACGCCGGTCAGGAGCTTCTTCGGTAGTTTTAGGGGGCTCTTTATTCCGCAAACGTTGGATAAGCTTCCACGTCCGTTTCACTCCCCTAGTTGACGCCTTCTTTATTCGACGCCAAAGTGAGATATTATCTTCAGTCGAGTTCACATTGTCCCAGTCTAATAATCGATGTATCGGCGAATTATTCAGCTCGTTGTCTAGAACCGTTCTACGCCAGTCTTCAATGGCATCTTTGATGGCAGTGATCGTTAAGATGGCAATTAGCGGTACAGCACCCAACACGGGATTTGAGGCACCGAAAATCGGGAAAAACTGAAGAAGGTAAAAGGTTAGATATCAGCGGTGCATCAAACATAAAAACGATGTAACTTGAAACTCACACTGAGGATAATGACGAAAAGAAAGTAAACGTTGGCAATGTTGTGAGCTTGGAACCATAAATTTTTTGGAACAAAACTCAAAGGGGTATACTTTGCAGTTCTGATCTTGTTCCGCGCGTAATTGGCTTTCAAATTTCCGTCTTCATCCTTATCTTCTGGCGAGATAGGCGTATTGAAATATATTCTCCGCTCGTCATTTTCACCTAGGTCGCTCCCTCCCGGAGACTCTCTGCCCTTATTTAGAGCGGATTTGCGCTTCTCCTCCTTGGAACCGACTCTCCGGTGGAACCTATCCAGAATGGACACTCGTTTCTTGAGCCCTCCCGCACCCGCATGTCGCTGTGTCGCCCATCGCATTCGGCGGACAGGTTTCGAAATGTTTGCTTCGCCATCGTCCCCGAACTGTACCACCGCCATCACGGGCTATATCGACAGCAATCTCATACAGCACTAGGAACGTGGAGGCGGGGTGAAATATGGCATCCAGGGCAAACTGGCAACCAAGGGTGGCTGGACTCCAAGGGACCGGTGCGCAGCGACTGCACACGAGCAATGTCGATAGAGAGATTGTCGGAACGGGAAAGGTCAAACCGGCGGACTCGACCCCGGGAATATTGCGATGAAAACGGGAACCTCCGCGCTTGCTGCCTCTTCCGCACGGTAAGGAGAAGGCGAAGGAATTGTTGCGTACAAGGAGCGTTCAAAGGACGGTGTGAAAGGAGGGTGACACGAACAGTTGCGGCAGAGTGGTTTCCAGCGGTAGGAAAGTCGGGAGGCACGAGATTTCGGCCTGTTCCCTGCGCGTGTTGGGGGGCAGGAGTGCAAAGAGGACACCGTTGGCTGTCGGGCTGTTGGCCTGTTCGGTCAGTCGTGGGCGTTGCGATCACTTAATTTACGGCGGAGCAACGTTGATCCGCCCCGGCTTGCATCGGAACCTCAGCGGTTTGGGGCTCTTTTTTTCGCCTGTTTCGTCATCAAAAAGAAAATATCCTGCGGCTGAATAAGAAAAGCCAGCTGCGGAAAATCTTAAAAAGACCGATTTCTTCCCGTCGCAAACAGCGGCTGCTGGTTCTCTGGGGTGCAAGAAACTTGTTCACTGCCCGCGGGCGAAACGGCCCTCGATCCCCCTGTCTGGAACTCGTAATCAATGTACCACTTGGCTCGCTGAGTGCTTGCATAAAAGATCATGTTCTCTGCTATCCGGAGGAACTCGGCATAGGCCGATCGGCCGCTAGTTAGCACCCCGGGGTTCCCACATGCAGGGCCCAACCCAGCCAACCCCGTCTCGCAGCCAGCGTTATGGGGGCGTCAATTCGCCAGGCATCACTATTACTAACATGAAGCCCGCCCGTTGACTTAGTTATCCTTCGGGTAAGCAAACAGCTTCGGGGTTCACTCCTCCGTAAACTCCGTGGTTGTCATTACTTTTACAAATGTTTCAACGTAGTTAACCAATGTCGAAACAAGACGTGGATCTCAAGTCAGTTTGCGCAGGCGTTGTCACAGTTTTTGCTGTCATCCGGAGGATTTCCCTGTAGCACAGAAAATGAAACGTCCTCCTACCATTCAATGGAGCGGCACCAATGGCGTCGAGACCGCCGCCGTTTTTCCTAAAAGGGAATTATTTATTTCCAGTGCAGTCACGTGACTGCGTGATTGGGTAAACGCGAGGTCGCGACCTAATGCGAGTCAAGGCCATCGGGAGTCAACAGCCCAAGCCCCAATATCATATGGGATAATCTGTCTAGCATGGCAAAAGAACGGCCGCTTGCCAATTGCCTTGAAGCACCAGCAAAGACCTCCAACGTCCCCAGCCAAGACAACCCTCCCGGCGTCCCGTCCTCCCCGCTGAGTTCTTGCCCATCAACTCTTCCACAGCCATTCTCATCTCCCGTAAAACCGAGAACCTCGCGGAAGCAGCAGAGCTTATTGACGACCACATCTACAGCTCCATCTCCCCTTCCAGACAATGTATCCTCCGATTGTGAGCCAAAGCCACTCGCCCCTTCACAACCCTCCTCGTTTGGAACTAGTTTCGCGAGCTCTCAGCGAGTAATAAAGGACGGCCAAGTTGTAGTGACTGGCTCAGACGGCGAGGACACTGACTCGGCATTGTCCCTGGGATCCGATTATGATGATCTCCTGCAAATGTTCGTGGGACCTAAAGGTCAGCGGTCTCCCGAAAAGCGCACTGCATCTAGCAAGTGGGGATTAGGTGTAATACCTACAACACCGCCTAAATATAAATTCTCCTTGGAAAACCTGGTTGAGCATGCTGCGGATGACCGGGAAACCGAAGCCAATATCTCAAAGCTCAAATTGGCCTTTCAAGGGAGCAGTGATGCAGGAAAAGTCAACAAAACCCCGAAACAACGAAGTAGGATGTTTCGCGATGACATCTTAGCCTCAGCAATCGGTGAAAACACCAACACAGACACAATGCAGCGGCTGAAAATCGCTGTTGATAGAACAGAGGCAGTGGACCAAAGTAAGAGTTGGGGCTTTTTCGCGGATACGGTCTCACCTGTACCTGTTTCGGTTTTCCCAGAAGCTTCAGTTTCTCCTGGGTCTTGGGAGTTTGTTTTAAAAGGCCAGTGCTACACGGAAACCAATTGATATCGTTGGCCAGACTAACCAATTACACAGACCCCGCAACTCGCGAAAGAGCACTTTTATCGGGGCTAGTAGGGGAGTCATTGGCTGGGAAAACTCTTCCTGATGAAGTCTTCTACTGGATTCTCCAAGCTTGTATGTCTCTTTTCATCCCGTCTCTTAGGCCAGAGCTGATCCATTTTTAGGTACAACTGAGCGTCGAGATGAGGTTCGATTTGCGTACTGCAGCGCCATCAAGGTTGGCAGTGCCGATTTCAGGCCAGGAGAGTTGTAACCGCTGACAGCTAACTCTTGCAGGTTGCACCCGCAGATCGGATATCGACTTCGATCCATCCCGCCCATGTTGAGCAGATGTTCCGTGACTTAGGAGCACGGCCTGATGCTCTCTCAGTCCAGGATATCATCTTCCCAGATTTTCGTGTGTTCAATCGTGAGTCTTCACATTTTTACATGTAGTACTCCTTGCTGACCTTCTCAGGGCCCAAGTTGAGAGACTACAAATACCTTTTGTCGGCTTTAGACGTCATCAACGGCCTGGCCAACAAGTAAGCGTTGTTGCCCAGCATTTTAGACCTCCGAAAGGAACTAACGGTTCCGCAATAGGTTAAATAATGAAGCGCGTGATGTTGCGCTGAAAATAACTCTGCGTCTGACACTTGATGAAGCTGCTATGCGCGATTGTCTCGTTTCCAGAGCAACCCAACAGGCGATAACGTCGCTGCTAGGAGAAAGGGGCACCTTATTCACGGTCTCCGAGGTTAGTTGACTCATCAGGTATTCTTGTATGACTGCTAACGACTATGAAAGCTGAATGAGCTTGCGCTTGGCTTATTTCACACAATCAACGATGTGGCACTCCAAAGCCAACTTCTGAAACACATATGTCCAGTGACGCCGGAAATTGCCTTGTTCAGGTGTCATTTAGCCGCGTTGTTTTTCTTCCAAGGCAAAGCTTTCCTTGACGAGCCAACAGAGCCAGTATCCTATTTGCAGCGCATGACCTCCCGGCTAAGGGATGATCGATTCAACATGGGTCGATCGTCCTCAAGTGAAAAAGAGCCGTTTGACTACTGGGAACTTGCTGCGATAACATCCATTTTAAACATCGCTATTGACTCTGCAACCTTTGAGGATTCGTCGCTAGACAGAGAGGCTGAGGCCAAATTCAATCGAGCGGTCGATCAATTGGCGGAGCAGGTCAAAATCGTATTTACGGCGATACAAGATACGGGAGCATCGCACTTGAAGCGGACGGAAGCGAAGGAGTATCTACAGGCTCTTTATTATCGGCTAATATATAGTGTTCGAACTAGACCACGTCCGAAAATTTCGTTGTTTGTGCCTTCGAAAGGCCTCGACGCAGAGAGCTGGGACGGGATCAAAAGGAGCGAGAATTTGATGAACAGGTTCCTATCCCGCGGAAAAGATGGTGATCAAAATGACGACTAAAAACTTGCCAACAAGACTACAAATATGTGATACCTGACTCAGATAGACACCATGATAAAGAGTATTATCAGGATGCATATTGGACTGTACCATGACGACTTTGCCACTCAGTTGTGTCTGAGATTTCAAAATGACCCGGTAACTTACACATAGGATTCACAGTAACAGGCATTATATAAATAGGACGCTCTAAATTAAAAGTTAAAATCAAGAAGAAAGGCAACAAATGCAGAAACTGCCTTGTCCTCGATTCTAAACATGCCGAAAGAAAACGATACTCCCAGAATGACGATGACGCGCATTTCAAGATCAGTCGTAGAACTTCCGATTTTCGTTCTTGCCGAACAGCAACTCTCTCACCACGGGAAGCGCGTCCGATTCAAGTAATCTGAGCCGTTCTTCGAAGCTATTGTTGATTTCGATCTTACCTCCGCCACCGATGACGATAACACCGCCGGCGCTAAAACCGCCATGTTGATCAGTATGCAAACAAAGTATCGATCGAATTATTTAACTTACGACTCTTCTGGAAGAGGCTCGCTTTCGTCAATCTCCACAGAAGCGTCTCTGCCCAGCTTCTCCTTAAACTCCTTCGTCGCGGCCTCGGCAGCCTTCTTGACCGCGTCGTAATCTTTCTTCCGAGCTCTCACCTGAATATTATCCTCGTTCAAGGCATACAACCCTTCAAGAATTAGCCCTCTCAAAATCTCTCCATATTCCCTTCTCTCCTTCCCCTTGGCCGTGCCCTTCTTCACATCCTCCAATGCACCGCCCAGATTCTTCCTCGCCGTCTCAAACAGCTCATCCAAAACGGCCTGCTTGGCAGACAGCACGCGCAGACGGCTCTTGTTCGCGAGCGTCGAGCGGGTGATCTGCTGCGACATGGCGGCCTGTTTGAACTTCTTTTCGTAGAGGGTGTCGATGGCGGCGGTTTCCTGGCGGACGAGCTTTGATTTCTCAATAGCGAATTCTTCATCAGCTTTGATTTTGATTTCGCGGGCTTTCTCGAGGGCTTCTTGTTTTATGAAAGCAGTCATTTTGCGGAGTTCCCCCGCGACCTGCGGTTAGTAGGTGGGTTAGAACGGGCGCGTTTGGGTTGGCCGGGTGGGGTTGGGAGGAGATGGTTGTATGGCGCACCTGGTCGTCGGATAGTGCATGGCTTTGCGACATCTTGAAAGGGCCGTCTGGTAAATAGAACTCGTGTCGCTAGGGCCGGGAGAAGAGCTGATACAGCTAGGACGGATGGAGGTGGGAAGTGGTGCAGGCCTGGCCTCGAAGGGGAATGAGCGAAGCGGGTGATTACGGCAGGTCCGGATGCAGGAGAACGTCCACGAACAATATGACACCCTCCAGCATGTATGGGAAGGCAGGTAGATGATGATGATGAGCTTCGGTGCTTCCGTGTCGTGAGTGCAGGGCAGCGCCAAGCATCATCATAAGGCTTATGTAATCAATGATTGCATCTGATAAGATAACACCCCCTGTTTGGCTTGTTTGTCACACGCGATTTGCTTGCTCGAAAGAGCACAAGCTGTGATTCTATAATAATTAGCCCATCGAGTAAGCAAGCCATATAGCTGTAAGCGGCAAGTCGTATGTGTATCAAGTTGCGGTACCAGGTTGCGGGAGCGACTTGCTGATGTCAGTCCTGGCACAACAGTGGGACGTGCAGCGGGTCATCCAGACCATGAAACACCTGACCTCGAGCTTCACCGTCGATATCTGTCCCTCAACAATGAGAGGCCCTGCGTCCGACTCCTGTTCAGTTGGCATATCATTCTCACATATATGAGTCTACTACCCTCTATTTGTTACTTCGTCAGCTGCTCCGTATGATGCCTGCTTCATAGGTGGTCGTCGTCGCTTCCCAGGCACAGGGCTCCGAGCGCCCCATGCATGAGGACACTCGAGATGGGCCAGCTCGGTGATCTATCACCCCAGGGGAGCATTGCGGTACGTATACGATCATATCTTCCAATAGGTATTTTCGAAATCTTGTCTAAGTAATAAAATGGGGTAGATTGGTGTCTTAGTTGGTCTAATTTCGACAAGTCTACAAGCCATCGGCCTGACCCTCCAACGCAAGTCGCATATTCTTGAAGACGAGAAGTATCCGTACGATATTCGCAGACCACCGTACAAACGCACAAGATGGCAGGTATGATGCTGAGTCTGTAGCATACCCGTGACTTCGATACTGATGCCAAACGATAGCTTGGGATGTCGATGTTTGTTCTCTCCAATATCGTTGGCAGTACGATCCAAATCACGACGCTTCCTCTTCCGGTGCTTTCAGCCCTACAGGCGGTACGTTGCTATATCTACGTAGGATACTGGTGTTATGAATAAGGAGCTTACAGGCAGTAGTCGGGGCTCGTTTTCAACACGATCTTTGCAACGCTAATTCTAGGAGAGCCGTTTACGCGCTACTCTTTCGGCGGCACTGTCCTCGTATGCGTCGGAGCAGTATTGATCGCAATATTCGGCGCTATCGGTGAACCGGCGCATACACTGGATCAGCTTCTTGAACTTTTAAGCCGTCCAGCGTTCCTCCGCTGGGTAGCAGGAACTGCCGTCATTGTCGTGGCCACACTTTTCGGATCTCGCGTGTTGAAAGGCCCTTCAACCTCTGGCCGGACCAGTGGTTGGAAGTTTTGGAAGAAGAGCCCTAAATCGTACACGGCACATCATTACCACCATCACCACAGCCCGCGTATAAAGACGCTTCGGGGAATCTTGTACGGCGCAGTCAGTGGAATACTCTCCGCACATTCACTTCTCGTCGCGAAAACGGCAGTTGAACTGCTCGTTCGCACCATACTTGATCGGGTTAACCAATTCAACCGATGGCAGTCTTGGGTTATCCTGCTCGGCCTGGTGGCCCTCGCCCTCACCCAGTTATACTATATGCACCGCGGCCTCAAGTTGTGCAGCACGAGCATCCTTTACCCATTTGTGTTTTGCATCTACAATATTATCGCAATTTTGGACGGTCTGATATATTTCCACCAAGCCTCCCGCTTGTCAGGTCTGCACGCTGGGCTTATAGCACTGGGGACGGTCATTTTGCTCTCTGGTGTGCTCTGTCTTTCGTGGAGACTGGAAGAAGCCCCAGGCCACCCGGAACCCGGCCCAGCACCAAGCGCTCTGGCTCCAGGATTGGGTATTCTGGATGAACAAGCCACCTCTCCGACTTATGCAGACTTCATCTCCCCATCCGACGAAGAATCATATGCCGCGGAACGGCAACCGCTCCTAGTACAAACCCCAATCCACCAACGTACCCCATCCCGCCTCTACACATCCACATTTTCCCGAACCTCCCCCCGTCACCGCCACAGCATCAACCTCACCAACGAAGCCGAACAGATCTGGGCCGATCTCTACGACGAAAGCAACACCATTAATGGCAAACCTCCCCGCTCCCCAACCTCCCTCCATCGCCAACACCACCACAGACATCAACGCAGCAGCAGCGGCGCTGCCTCCCTCCCGCCAAACCAATCACCACCCATGCCTGGACGAGGAGGCAAATCCATAAAATGGAAAGGCGTCCTTCAAAACGGCCTGGGCAGCCGCTCTCGCCCGCATCATACCCGAAACGTGTGGCGCCGCGCGTCCACGCCCGTGGTGGTGGCAGAGGAAAATCCCCAGGGCCATAGGACCGTTGTGCATCGAGACGTGGGCGCGAATGCCAGCGTGCGTGCTGGAGAGAATATTCTCTCTGCGTCGCCCGGTATGACAGGGGGTTCTGAGACACAGGGGCTATTCGAGCGAAGCGGTGACGAGCAGTCGAGCGCGCGATCAACGTGGCTGGGACGATTGTTTCGTCGTCGGTGATTGAAGAGCCATATGTGCTCGCTTTCTTTTTTTTGTATACAGCAGCCACCACTATGAGAGGAAAATCGAGTAATCAAGTTCTACTATCCCGTATATACTAGGTGAATTTACTGATGTCCTTGCGCATAAAAAGTCCGAAATACTAGATATACATCTTGTTTAAAAAAAAAATAAAAAAAGACAGAAGAAAAGCGAAATCGGAAACACAGGATTGCACAAGCGGGACGTGATAAGCCTGCCCAGAGTCGGATACCGGTTAACTTCTCAAAGGCAGCAATAAAGGATTCCATTTTCGGCGACCCTGATCGAAAACTTCCATCACACAAAGTAACCTCCGAATTGATCACTAACGGAGTAATATAAAAGATAAAAGAGCTAATAGATAAAAGACAAGAGGCCCTATAAAACACATGATAAGAAACATAATTGCAGTAGAGACGAGAGAATTGAAATGCATAACTCCTCTCCATGTCATCCCAGAAGCAGATCCGCCGATTGTTATGGGCGGACACAAAGATATCATATAAAATGGTCCGTATTTCCCCCCTAGCTTCCGTAACAGCGCGGGGAACGAAGATCAAAGAGAACAGATGCCCAGCTCAACCGATATCGCCGCGGTCATTCGGGAGCAGGGAAGCTCATAAAATACTCAAGGTAAGCTAATGCAAATCAGAGAATCAAGCAGGCAGCTGGGAAAATAAGATGGGGGAAGTATAATTACGGGCATAAGTCAGTGTACCACATACTGCAAAAACAAATGAAAACAAATTCCCCACCACGATACACCGGTAACACCCAAATCTCTGGAGGTCTAAACACCCGCAAAAGGAAACCAGTGGTAAAGTACTCGAAACAGGCTTAGTGTTTTGTGTTCCCGTCCCTTAATATTCTGTGAGGCCAGTTAGTGCCAGTGGTGGTAGGGTAAAACGATAAAAGAAAGATGAATCGAAAACAGAAATCAAGTAGGAAAGGTGAGGAAAGCGGCTTGCGGGGTGCTTGGGCATGGTGGGCGGTGAGGACGTCGAGAAGTGACCCTAGGCGAGATCTAGTTCATTGTGGATTGGATTGACTTTCATCGATGTTGGCGATGGGTGGGTATCAAAGACAGTATGAAGAGACATGAGTAGAGGAAAGGGTGGGATAGGCGGAAGAGAGGGATTGGCAATTGAATGCGGAAACTGAAACAGTAAAAGAGGACGACAAAGACGGATAAAACAGACAACGCAAACGGGATCAAGCCGTGGATTGGTGCTGCTGAGGTATACGGCCGCCAACTGGCATCCCCGGATACTGACCTCCAGCCTGTGCTTGTTGCTGTTGTTGTTGGAGATTTTGGTAGTAGGCCATTTGTTGCTGCTGGTCGGCCGTCATGTAGCCTGCATGCATTGGGCCGGCTCGTGGCATCTGTGCTTGTTGGGCACTGACACTAGCATGAGCAACATCATCGGTGGACTCAGCAGGAACCTCGGGGGCCTCGACGCCATTTTCGGCGCTGGTTGGTTCGGGGGCATTCAAACAAGACTAAAAAGACACGGAATTAGAACACCATCGACGCATTGCCCATCTACAAGAGTCAAGGGAGGTGGTGGAGCGTACTTGGATCAAGTTTTTGCCCTCAGCCTTTGTGACAAGAGGCTGGAGTTTGGGAGTGGTGAAAGTATATACGAGACCTGTCTCGGAGACGACTAGTAGAAGCACTTGGGTGCCGGTTAGGACTGACAATTCATAGGCCTACAACACAAAGACAACGAGCATTGTTAGCAATTGGCATCGAGAAATCAATAGGAATAATAGAGAGAGAATAGGAGCAGCGTCAACAGCCAGGCACAGCGCGTCTTCGCGTTGCAGTGCGGGTGTGGTTGGGCGAAGCAGACTCACCTTCTTCATGATTCCAGCCTTTCGCTTCGAAAAGGTGATGTGGCGACGAGATTTATCCTGAATGAACTTGATCTCGATCTTGCGACGCTCGCGTCCGGGCTTGTCCTCGTCGTCATCGTCATCCTCGGCGGTGCTCAGGCGAGGACGCTTGGTGCCTCGATTTTCTACAGCTCCATTGCCACCGGGCACCAGGTCGTCCTGGGTGGGCGACGGGTTCTCGTCGGCGACGGCAGTGATGTCAGCCATGCCTGGGCAGATGGAGGGCACAAATAAAAATACGGTCGAGGACGGCGGGCCGTTGCGTTGATGGAGCGAGCAGAGATGCCCAAAGAGGAATGATGTTTGCGAGGATGAGGGCAGGCCGAATCGAGTAACGCGTTGGCAGTTGGGATGTCAGGTTTGGGTAAAGCGAGAGAAAAGTGAATTAGGAAGGGCGCCGAAGCCTGAAGGGGGAAAACGCGGAAAAATATGACATTTCAGTTACGCCGGATCATCCGCCGGCCCGGTCTCATTCCCGTTCGAAACAACCATTCTGGCCTGCGCGCGCCGCTCCGATTACGCCGTTCTTTACCGCTAGCCTCGTATTTGCCTCGCGCGGGCCCACCTTCCCTGTTCTGTTTACGCAATTGGGCCCCTTCCGCAATCGACCATCCACCTTTTCGTACTAGCCCGTACCGCCTATGACCCTCAAGGCCTTCGCTGACTGGCGAATCCGCCACCATACCGTACCGCACCCGTATGTTACCGTATCGGTCTGACTAATGCCGCCAGAGCCAGGCCTAACCCAGTCCAGCTTGGTGCCCCAGCGTGTCAGCTGCCCGCGTGTGCTCCGTCTGTGCATCGGCTGCCCCCCATCAAAGTCACATCTCGGTCCTCACTGACATTTCAGTCACTTTCTCCGGCCAGCACAGTCGAAAGCGGCCCCGAAAGAAGGGAGAAAGACAATGCAGCCCTTGGTTCCTCATTTACCAATCGTTGTATCGTGGTTTGAGACTCCTACAATGGGGGCGAAACTGCCCGCTTGCATTCAACCCTTTGATGTGACGGACCTCCTCAGTAGGGAGCGCCCCATCTCGAGGAGATGCTTTTATCTGAAGCTGGCGGAACCGGATACCCCCGTTGTTGGAGCTTTGTTGCTCGACACACTTCTTGCACCGACTGTCTCGCACTGGATTCTGAAACTAGACACCAAAATCGTGTAGTTCCAAAGACAGAACTAGTTGTGCAAAATTGCATTCATTGACAAAAGACCCATGGAACTCTTCTCTCACGGGATACTGCGGACTGCTTTAGCTGATTTTACTCTTCAAAAATGTCACAATCTCATCAAAACCCTCTGGTTCTTGAATCCAGTGTCCCATGTTTGGCGCTCCGAAATATTCTCTCATCAGCACCTCCATCCCAATCTCCCTCAGAAGCTGACACGCCTGTCGTCCTAGTGAAATCTTCACGATACCGTCGTCGATTCCGTGAAGCAATAATACTGGCGTAGAAAGTACCGCTTCAACCTCCTCCGGCTTCGACTCGATGGGCGGGCAACCTAGCACCCCATGAAGGAAAGCAGATATTGTCACGCATTTGGGCGTGGTGGACTCAGAGGCATATTTCGACCGATAATCCTGGATAGCCGTCTCGATATGCTGCGTAAACGGCAGATAGCCGCAGCATCCGATAAATGCACCGAGTCTGCCCTTGACACGACCCGGAGAACAAAGAAGCGTCCACAATGCGGCGGACATGCCCTGACTCAATCCACCCAAAATAACCTTCTCTGACTGACCCCCCAGTAAACTAATTTCGTGCTCGAGCACGTCCAAGACGTGCAAGCTTGATTCTTTCAGCCCTTGTATCTGAAGGTCCTGGCGCTTATTGGTATCGGCCAATGTGTACACATCAAACCAGGCTGGTAGATTTACTTGAAAAGCCACGCTCCATCGAACCGCGGCGGATGGAAACACCCATCGCCATGTGGGGAAGTGGGACGCAAGATCCAATCCCTGGGAAGTTGTAGAGGTTAACAGATCTTTAGCAAAGTCAGGCCCATGTCCTCCCCGGCCGTGTAAGAGAATGGCCGTATGGGTGTGTTGGCCTTTGGGCTCAACAATGTGCAAGTCCGGAAACCTGGCCTGGCTAGTTTCCATAGTCAGCGCGTTTCGGTGATTTCTTTCAACAAGGCAACAAGCTTCTTTTCCTCCAGCACTTGTCAAGGAGATTGCCTCGTAGCCCGGAAGGTTGATGCCAGATCTGGGGACGGTGGATTTGGCGGGGCTTCGGATCCACGTAAATCCGCAGGACCAGGCAATACGGAGTAGAGGCTCAAATATTCCAGACAAGACAGTCGGGATATTTACAGGAAAAATAATAGGCACATTGACCATAGGCTCTTCTAGAGGAGAATAGGTGGCTTTTCAATAGCACCGGGTCTACTGGTCCAAGCTACATGGGACTTATTACAATAAGCGTTGAGATGGAGTTTGTTCCATTAGTTACCAAGTTAACGAGTTAGGTAGCACCCCTTGGGAGCCGGTGGCAGATTTTGTTATCAATCTATCATGAAAGGCACGGGCAAAGCAGGATATAGTACGGGATAGGTAGTTAAGTGAGAAATAAAGGGGGAAAGGGAGTCTGTAGCCAGGGCCCAGGGGACAAGATAATACTTGGAAACATGCTTGATATGGCCTCCACCATTTCACCTACCAGCACTCCGAGAGGTCAACTTGCTCAAGTTCCGAGGAGGACCATAGATTCCTACAGGAATCTAGATCCTTGCACACAGAATAGGATCGTGCTGGGGCACGCACAACCTGGCCGGCGGAATCAAACAAGTACGTCCCGCGGTGAGATTTTGGTATCATGGCCTCTGGGCGAATGCCATGGGCGATGTGGGCTGTCGCGATGCTTCGACATTCGGTTTGCCTGCGCAGAAACTCAAGCTTGGACCTTTGGCGAAGCCCGACCGCTCCTCTTTGATATTTTGCGGGAGAAGGAGCGCGACCCAGAGTCCTGCTGGCGGTGCTTGTCTGGGGGGAGTCTGGAGTATGCACCAGAAGAGAGCCCTCTTGCAACGACCATCAACAGCGATGTTAGCGATCCTCCTCTCCTCTAGTTACCAAACCTCTCATGCCACTTTCTCTTCAACACGAAGGAATTCTCGCTTTTGGCCATGCAGAGCTTAGCTGCATTAGTGATTACTGCCACGCGAAAGCCAGATTCGGAGATTTGTTTTAGTGAGTTCTCCCTCCGCCTGGGAGCTAGGCGAGTCGTTGAGACAAAATGCGCCTCTCACTATCTCAGTCCACACAAGCCCACTGCTCAGAACAAGCACTCGAAACCACACCCTCTCGTTATGGGGCACTGGCTGCCTGGAAGCCCTGCCAGTCTTCTTTTCCAACCCAACACAGACTGTGGAATCATTCTGATTCCTTCAGGCTCATGGTTGACGATGTGGACCTTTCGGGCTAGACTTGCCATGCCGGCCATCTCCACTTCCCTTCCCGCGAGCGTGTGGAGCTGATCAGTGATCAGTGATGGGCCATCCAGAACATCTGCAAAAAGCAGCTCGTGATCTCTTGACTCGTCGGCAAGGAATTCAACCGAACCGCCAGCTCGTTCATGACTTCAATCGATCCCATCGCTGGGGACGACCGCACTACGGAAAGGCCAACTTCAAGCCGGCGTCTTGCCGCGACCGAACCGTCGAAAGACGAGTGGCTGTTTCATTTAGGACCGAAGACTAGACTCGCTTGCGGGCGAACTTGGCTGGGAACATCCCAGTAACTCGGGCTCCGCGCCGACGGGCCTCCCGCGCCAAATCTCAAGTCATGCAGGTTCCTCCTTCAGATATTGCGGATGATGAACCATTTTTCATATCCCTCTGGCATAGTGACAGGTTCTTGAGACTCTCGAAGACTGGGAAGATCACTCATTCTACGAAGAATTTGCCACCCAAATGGCAAAATGTACTCTGCGATGGAACTTATTCTCCGTTGATCTTTTGCGACAACGAGCCACCGGGTCTCTCGATACCCTTTTTCATTAGGTTTGTTTTAGAAACGTCGAGCACGGATCAAGCCCCTTTGCTCGACTCGGGCCGTTGCGATTCCGCCATTTGTTGTAATTTTGTTAGTCTCCACTTAGCAGGCCGGCATCGTGCCTCCTCCCATGTGGTTTTGACGTGTTCTTCCCCTCCTATCTTGCATATATGCGCTCCAGGCGCCGGACGGGGTTCTCGCTTCAAAGCATGGGTGGTTCCTTTTGCTCCCCAAGAAACGCAGGAGGAAGGTCTCGCGTTCAATAATTGGCCCACGGCACCATCATGGTCCCGGGTCGGCTGTCGAAAGTTGGAGGACTAACCACGCTCCCAAGTATGGGGAACCTTTACAGGGAGGCAGAAAGCCCCCATAGAAATGTCTCGGGTGGGAGTTATAAAGTCCTGCGCTTCCCCAGCTTTGCAGCTCTGGTTTAGAGCCATCCCCCCAGCCCTTCTGCTTCATACCGAAGAGCCAAAAAACAGAAACTTCTGAACATGGGCGGTTCCGCTGTCACCAGATGCCTTGTAACGCTGGGCTTAATGCTCAGCGTCACAGCCAATACCCCTGCCAAACCGCCAAATATCGTGTTCGTCATCACCGATGATCAGGACTCGCATATGAACTCGTTGGAGCACATGCCAAATTTGCAAAGGTACCTCGTGAAGGAAGGGACATCGTTTAGCAATCATTTCTGCACCCTTGCGCTCTGCTGCCCATCCCGGGTCAACCTGTTGACTGGAAAGGCGGCGCATAACACGAATGTTACGGATGTCACTCCACCATTTGGTATGCTTCTCTCTTTAAAATCAACCGCCGTGATTGTGCTGACCCCGACAGGTGGTTATCCCAAGTTCGTCGCCAACGGCTTCAATGACAACTATCTCCCCTTGTGGTTGCAGGAAGCCGGGTACAATACCTACTACGTCGGCAAGTTCATGAACGGCTTGAGCACTAATAATTACAACCCCGGGCCGAAAGGCTGGACTGGCTCCGATTTCTTATTGGGCATGACAACATATGACTACTGGGGTGCGGTAATGAGCCGTAACCGTGGGGCACCAGTGGACTACACTGGTCAATACTCCGGCGATGTTGTCGCCGACAAGGTCTTGGGATTTATGGATGATGCAATCCAAGACGATAAACCATTTTTTGTGGCTGCCGCCCCTGTTGCTCCTCATGGCCAAGTTAAGCCTAGGCCATTGTGGTTTGATAAGCCTGAGTACCCGGAACGACATGCCCATCTCTTCAAGGACTACAAGATCCCAAGAACGCCAAATTTCAACCCGGATACTGTCAGTAACATCCATTTGTCCCCGATGTAATCACAACTGATTTACTGATACGGTGTTTATAGCCTAGTGGAGCAGGATGGGTTGCAGCCATGCCTCGCCTGAACCAAACACATATTGATTATCATGACGAGTACCAGCGATGCCGGCTTCGAGCTTTGCAGTCTGTTGACGAAATGGTTGGCCAGATGGTCGAAAAGCTTGAAGAGAATGGCCTTTTGGACAATACCTATTTCATGTATACCACTGACAATGGATTCCATATCAGCCAATATCGTCTTCCCCCAGGCAAGACCTGCGGTTTCGACACCGACATTCGTATTCCAATGATTGTTCGGGGCCCTGGTGTCCCCAAGGACCAGGTCAGCGAGGCCGTTTCTTCCCATACCGATTTAGCAGCTACGATTATGACTATCGCTGGTCAGCCACGCGCGGGATTGGACGGTGCCCCCATGGCATTCCTCCAAGAAAACCCGCGGAAGTCCGAGCACGTCGCGATTGAGTTCTGGGGTGTAGGACGTACGGAAGGACCTTTTGACCCCTTTTATCAAAATGCTTTCAAACTTGAGGATGGAAACTATAAAAACAACACATATAAGAGCGTCCGTCTGATTGGGGACGGATACAATCTTTATTACTCTGTTTGGTGCTCGCACGAGCAAGAGTATTATGACGTTTCGGTAAGTGGCTTGTAGTTTTATCTGAACACAAAGCTAACGGTCCAGCGATAGACTGACCCTTCTCAAATTCAAAACCTCGCAACTGATCCGATCCTTGCAAGCCAACATAAGATCCGCGGCCGTCCTTATGACCAGATTGTGAACAGACTCAACGCTCTCATGATGGTTGTTAAATCTTGCAGTGGGAATGAATGCGTCGAGCCATGGAAGAGTCTTCACCCATCGGGTGGTGTTCGTAACCTGAAGGATGCTCTTAATAAGACGTATGACGATTTCTACGCACAGCACCCCAAGGTCAGCTTCGACTCTTGCGAAATGTGGTACATCCCAGAGAAGGAAGGCCCACAGGAATATAATGTTTACCAGGCCAGCCATCCTCATCGCAGGCGAGACGTTGAGTACGGAGGCCATTGGAGCTACTGGGTCTAGGCTCAAAAACCATGGTGCTGTAGGCATCGCACTGCATTATGGTGCATGCCATGTATATAGCTGTTTGCCATTTACAGATGTTGGACGTAAACATGCAGTATATATAGATGTCCATATTACATTGGATCGAGAATTGGATGCAAAAGCGCTCTCAGATGATATCCCGCCATGCTCGGCCTCGGCTTTGCAATGCAGGTCACGTCTTGGCAATGTGATCTCCCGCTGTGAGACTCGAGAGCAATTCGTGCATCAAACCCCCAGCAGGATTTTATTTTTAGGCCTCACGGGTCTGCTTTGAAATCGAGTCTTCAGCGCAGTGATTGGCAGTCGAGGAGGCCTGGGTTTATTCTTAGCTTGCACCCCCTGGCATCGCTAACTAACTAACCGCCCGGTGGTCTGAGGGGGCAGGGCCACTCTGAGACCTGACTGGTCGCACCTCTGCATCACCATCGACACCTTGTATCCGGATGGCCCTTTTCCCCTCGTGTGACGGCCTGTGATCGATGAGAAATATCACCCTGGGATCCGCAATCATGTTTCGCTGTCTTTCACACTCTCCCTCTGCCGTTTATCCCCTTCTGGCGCCCGCATTCCACGCCTTTGGATGTCAGATGCAGCCAGGGAGGATAGCTGGACGATAGGCGCCGGCACTCAAATCACCCTCCATTCTTCAAACTATTTTTGGCTGTTGCGAGCCCTATTCGGCGCTGGTCGTCGTCTTCTTTTGAATTCATCTCTGCGCGGCCCACGACGGAAGGGCCAACCGATAACCTAGAGATGCCGGACAAGCTGCTTATCGCATACATCATCGCCGACGCCCTCTTCCTGGGCGGTGGTGCGGCGATGCTTGCTGTTGCTTTGACAAGCAGAGACAAAATCCAATCAGCACCGACCCTGGACAATGTCGCAGAGAGGCTGCTCCTTTCTCACTGTCCACAGCTGGGTACGTTCGATTTAATCCGTTGTGCCCGTCGCTATCAATTGCTGACCGTCTTTCCCCTTTGGCACTCCAGGCGAGATCGTGACAGCCGGATTCGTTTTCTTCACATTCCTCCTCTCCATCCCCGGCATCATCCAATCGAATGACCGGATATGGATGAAGATCCATGGCTGGATGGTCGTAATCTCGGGGTTTATCACTCTGATTATAGGACTGATCATCTGGTTTTTGACACTGAGGACGAGGTCCACGTTGAACGTGGCTTGGGGCAACGAGACGCCCGAAGTACAGAGCCTGCTCCAGCAACGGGTATGACAAAGAAACCAAATCCTGCTTTCGACCCGGGAAAAGGGAATGTTTTGATAGCTAATGGCGAAATTAGTTCAACTGCTGCGGCTACCTGAACAGTACTTCACCACCGTATCAAGTCGACTCGACGTGTCCGACGGATCTCGACGCGGCCCAGAAGCAAGGCTGCGTGGGACCGTTTTCCAACTTTGCGAATAGTTTCCTTGATGTGATATTTACGGCGGATTTTGGGATCGTTGGTATGTTAATCACTTTTACGGTATGGAGACACTAGAAGGCTGATTGATTTTTCGTCGTTAGCTATCGATGCCGTCTTGCTCTTGTGTATTGCAATGGTCCTCAAAGACCGCAAAGAGCGTGCGAGATATCGCTTGATCGACGCTAAAAATGGCTTTGGTACGATTTGAATGAGTCTGTTTGTGATGTCGTCGGTCCTTGAATGGGCAACTGTTTGCTGGGACAGCCGTTTTTACTGTGATGGGACTGTTGCAAATCAACTGGTCAAAAACTAGAGTTTTTACGTGCTTATGTTGATATAATTGTGCTCACGACCCTTTTCTCCATATGTATATCTAGATCATTATGTTTGTTTATATTCAATTCTGCCGGGTATAGTCATTATGATTTATGTACTTCTAACACAGATTGGGTATCTTCATTCTGTCCACTGTTCAACGGTTCGGATATCTAATGGTAAACGGTAAGAGAGACTTGATCAGTAAGGCTCAGGAGCCTTCCGGCAAGCTGATCTTCTGCACCACGAAGCATATGAAGCCAGCTCTGGTCCACATGAGGCCGAGCGCATTTACCAGGAGCAGCAGATCATTATCTGGAGTATGGCCCCGCATATCCCGCCCTTAAAGCAGATTATTCGCGGAGAAACCTGAGACGTGTAAACAGCCAACGCAACCTCATTCATGAATTCTTCACTCTTTTATTCGCACTCTCCTCAAGATCCCCATCGCGATTAATTTGCTGATAGTCCTCAAGCCGCTCTGTCGCCGGGTACTCCGCAGCATCTACCTTTTCCCACTCCTCGTCATCATCGTTGGCAACCGTGGTATCTTGAACAGAGCACGGAGAGGTATCGGGCGCAACATTTTCGTTATCAACCCAGTTCAACTCCAACTTGACAATTTTAGCCCCGCCGGGGTTTAATTTGCGGTAATACCCCTCCACCGTGCCGCCTTCAACCTTGAAGCCACGCGCAATATACCACTGCAGGGCGTCTTCATTCGTTTCATGCACGTGAGCGGTCACAGTGCGGATGTTATAGTGCTTTACCAAAGTGGACACCGCGCGTGAGGATGCCTGGGACTTGTGAAATGTACCATCGTATATCAGATAATATAACAACGACGCTGCAACGCCGTTTCCACGATATGGGGAAAGTAAATGAAGAGTCTGGATGTATAGATTCATCGCCGCACGGCCTCCAACGCTCTGAGCAGCCGGCAAAGGCTCCAGACGACATCGTATACCGCCAATAACCTTTTCTGTATTCCCCACGGCCAAAGGAGCTCCCGCGAGTATCTTTTCGGGGAGATTCACGCCCGAAACGGGATGGTCATGGTAGACCGCGACTTTTGACACGCTCGCGACAAGCGGGTCGGTGATTGTCGAGGAGTAGAAGGAGGTTGGATAGCGGATAGGTAAAAGCAGCCCGGTGATGCGCATCAACGAGGGAATATGTGCCGTTTTCACGGGGTCGATGGTGATTTGGGGGTGAGGAGTGGGATAGGAGCGCGGAGAGTCAGAGTAAGGGGTGAGGTCTAGTGCGGGGTTGGAAGGGGACGCGGCAGGTTTGGGGGCTGCTGACGGCCGGGGAGGCGGTGGAAGGGATGGTGGCTGCTGCGGTGCAGAGACGGGCGGTGGTCTAAGAGGCGCGAAGTAGGAGGAGAGTTTGCGATTGTTGGTATTGTTGCTGTGTCTGCGGGAGGCCATGGTTGAGGGAGGAGGAAGAACGGGCGGCGGGTCAGAGGAGACAAAGAAGTGCGGCGCCATGGTCGTGCCTGGACTGATGGCTGCATGCAGAGAGTGGTAACTTGTTAACTGGATAGATAGAGGCTATGAAGCCATGGTCGACAGCGCCGGCTGGATATCCGCCTGGTAGTCAACATGCTGCTGTGTTGACTGCGGAGATTGATAAGATAAGATCGCCGGCTGACCAACTCAACCTGTGCCTTTTGCTGTGGTCAAGCGAGCATCGTCGACGCCAGCAGCACTCGTACAGTCCGGGGGGCGTGTCTGCTTGAGCATCGCAAGGGACGATCGGCTGGGCTGGATTCTGAGGGATTGGAAGACTGGTTTGCAACACACCATGGTTCGTCTGCTGCCGCTCTTCGGGCCGGTTGGCCCTTTTTCCCAACACCGAGAAGAGATCCGCTGCTGACATCAATAGAGCCATTGTGCTATTGTATAGCCAACACTCCCTTCCTCATATAACTTTTCTCCCCATGTGTTCCTCGCTTCTCGCAGACCCGGACATCGTCTTCAGCACAGTTTTCTAATCCTACATCCTCTCGTTCTCCCTCAATTCGCACAAGTGGAAGACTCCCTTGACCGCAGATCTCCGCCTTTTCAATATTGACATCCGGCCCTCGAAATTCTACGCGGGAATAAAATAATGTACAGTTGATGCAACTTTTTTTCAGAACCGTTTCGATAAAAATCTAGAACAAACGCAGGGGGTGAGTGACTTTGTTCTGCCGTTTTTCGACGACGTGCGGTTATTGCTTGGGCGCGTTTTCGAGACTGACTGGGTTCTGCGAACAGATTGGCGTTATACAATATGGCAGGTCCAGACGTAGAAAACGCTGGTCAACTCAAAGATCAAACTGGCACATTGGCAGCGGTTGTAAGTATGCCGGCGTTAGTTGTTGAATCTACAGAGTCTAATTTCTCGATTTTTGAAGACCCGGCATATTCTCGACGATACCATTTATAACATCATCCATGATATTGTCGCCAAGGTCCACCGGGAGGAGAAAATGGCCCGGGCCACTTCCGCCGTGATTGCCGTGAGGCAACTAGCAGAGAAAGATGCTCACGCTTCAGGTGACGCTGCGGAGGGTCAACACAGTATGGCAGCACCCAATGGCGGCGGTCTCAATCCAGCAAAGGTCGAGACAGATGCAGCAGTGTACGATGGAGGTAGGGTATACTTGAAGGGCAACCCATTAGTTACCACCAAAGAAATTTTATGCCCAAACTGTCAGCTCCCCCGCTTGCTTTATCCACTCTTTGGAGAGGGTGCCCGCCCGCCGCCCGATTCTAACAAGCAGTACTGCCGGAAACTCCCCCCTGTTCGGATGCCTGGTCGTGATGTCCATGGAAACCCCTTTTCTGTCGAAAGGATCACCAAGAAGAAGAAAAACCAAGGCACGGACAACAATACTCCCGCGTCTAGCCCTCCGGCTACCGCTGAGCCTAGTTCCGCACCAAATTCCTTCAAGCTGCTGCCCGACAAAATGTACGTCCCGACAACAAAGTGTCCCAACTGTCCCCGGTATTTCCTGGTGACAAAGAGTGCCCAGCACTTGGACAGATGCCTGGGCATCACGACTCGGCAATCTAGTCGCAATCGAACCCCTTTTGATAGCGCTATCAACACCCCATCCGCTCCAGCGCCAGCATCACGCAAACGTGCCCGTGATGAAGAAGAAACCGGGGCTGTTAAGAAACGGAAGGAAATGGGAATGCCAGTCAAGTTCAAAACCGGAAAGCCTGCAATTCCCAGCAAGCTGAAGAACGGAACGACGCCGGGTATGGTGTCTCCGGGATCGCCGACCTCTGTCAACTCTTCCAAATCCGCAGCGAAGACAAAAGCCAACAAGCCGAATAAAGATCGGGATCCAAAATAATGGGCTAAAGGAACATTTTATTTATTTTTCTGGCTGTATTGATGCTCGACATTGACGGGGTATGCAAAGAACGTTTGTGCTTTGTTGTATGCTGTCGCAGCGCAAGCAGGCATTTTTGCTGGACTGTTTGGTTGTGACATATTTGGCGGCATGATCTTTTACGACTTGGGTGGCATTGGATTGGAGTTAAGCTGAACCGGATTTTCTCTTTCTCAAATAACGCTCCAGCTTTATCCTGCTTGGGCACATGAGACGGGCATTTGAGGTGTTGGACCATTCGTGGACGAGCAGATTTTATGTCTCTACAGGGCCTTTGTTCCCCAATTCTGATTTCATTGAAGTTTTCTCTGGCTAGCTATGGTTGGTGTTTGGGTGTTTGAACTTGAGTCCCTTGCCTCAGAGCATGATTAGAAGGGTTGTCAGAGCCGACGTGCTTTTCCTTTTGTTGAGTTTTGTTTTCGCATCGCATTTGTCCCTTAGCTAGTTACAAAGCTCGTCTGCCAATCAACCTGGTGTTCTTGTTGTGGTCAGATCTCCTCCCAACCGAGGAGATATGATATCCTGGGACGTCATCAATCACACTTCGAGGCAGTGTCATGTCCAGATTTTGGAGAAAGCTCACCGGCATCTTGATCGGATTGGATGCTTGATTATGCATCCAAGTTGACCTCGGCAGGGTTGGCCAGCAGACTACGCCCAAAGCAGCTTAAGATGAGGCCGCTAATGCATGGGATCGCACAACCGCACTGCTGCGATATCACCACGTCCTTCACACTCGAACCCCGTCCCGTCCGATTGCGATTGCGAGGCGTCATTGGCCGGGGAAGTGGGCGGCAAGCAGCACGATCTGACTGGATGGATGCAACCCTTTCTGCTCAAGGCCAATGACTGACGGGGATCGAGTGACAATCCTCATGCTGCGCATCAAGGTGCTCCAGTTGACAGAATCCGAGGAGACAAGGATGCTGCTCGGTTGGCTGCAATATTGCCATCGGCCACTTATTGAGAAGAGCGAAATCCACCCATCGGACTGCACTGGATCAGACGGCAGAAATATGTGGTTCGTCGAAGGGATAGGGTTGCTTGCATGAAGAATCTCTGCAGCACAACTCCCGCCTCTTGATTTCAGGCAATAATAACATCTTGTTTGTACAGTGCCTACGGTCTTGAGCGGGAAAACGGATCACGGCGATTAAAAAGAAAGCAAGTGCGTGCTGACCTGACTCCCGCCATTCGCTCCCTGGCCGAAACAATGAGCTTCCGATGTCACACGGATTCGCACCATCAACCATGACAAGCAATGCTCCCTGCATGGCCAGGGAGGCCCGTTCTCCGTTTTCCGCCTGCGACCGCACGGCTAGTCGACGCCACGTTCCTGGGGTTCAAGCTTTGCGACCTGAGCTCCTGGCCCGTCTTCTGATTGCCTATTCGTCAAGCCTCTGATCTGGATGAGGAATCGGTGGGTTTTTTCCCCCTCCGCCTTGAGGGCATGGACTCCATGGAGGGTGTCTGGAGGAGATGGAGACGATCCACGGGACATTTTTCCCATCGGCCTGAATTTTGGCCTCGACTCTCATCCAGATCCTCAACCCTTTCTCTGACTCCCGTAGAATGACGGGAGCAATCCAGATATTAGGATCAGAAGCACAACAACGGTCTTGTGGAACCTCACGTCGCGACTGGCGATTCAACAGCCTATTCGACTCTTGATTCGCAGCTCCACGACAACGGATCTCCCTCTCACACTAGCACCATCTCTCACCACTCGGCACTCGCTCAGGCGCCAATCTCATCACAATTCTTCGTTTTTCCCAGTGACATCTTGGCGGCCCGTGGCGAGAGATCTGAAGCCTGTTTCCCCACAGCCGACTCCTGAACAGTGAACGCCGCCCTTCCCACCGTGATCAATCCAAGGACCTGGTTCTGCGGTAGGCCCAAGCTGGTCGAATGCCCATGTACAGTCAATGCTTGTGCCACCCTGGAATGATATTCTCATTGTTCTTTGATGCATATGTTGACCGACCGGGAATTGACCTTGAAGCTTTGGCCCATCGAGTCTCCGGAGCACTGCATACTTGGGCTTCTCTGAATACTCGCATCCAATGCCCGGTTTTCCCCCAATTGCCCGCCAGTGAATCTATATTTTAGGTGGCCTAGGATTGTCAATATCGTTTGCTCCCTGTTGGCGGTGTCATATTTGCAAGATGTCCAACATTGGAAAGGTTCCCTAGAGACAGCATCACGTCCTTGGTCTACTGTTGCTCCTATCTTTATATCCCGGCTCACAAAATCTGCCAACCGGAATGGTCGACGTCCACGAACGGCATTGTTGATTGTGCAGAAATCAACCAGGTGGGATAAACGGAGACACATCCTCGAAGGGCGATAAAGCGCTTGTTTTCTGCATTGTCCCGGAGTTCCGAGGGGATTAAGTCCTATTTCGATTGCGATGTCGCCGCCGTTTAGCAGATGGGAGGCTATTTCAGCCGGCCTGACGTCGAGAAAAGTGCATGGAGCGTTAGAGTCGCTTGCCAAACGAATCGATATCCCATTTACGAGCATGACGACCCCTAGTCAGATAGAGGCAAGCACGCAAGATCCGTTTAACGAAGCTTCAAAATATGCTTTGGGATGGGTGTACTTCTCAATTGTGCTGCTCGTATTTACTTTCGTTATCAGATCGTACCACATTTGGGGTGACAAAATCCGGGCTGCACTGTACAAAGAGGAGCTAAGGACTATCGATAAGGCAGTGGAATCCGACCAGGAGATGGTTACACCCGCTACAGCCAACTCTACGAGCAGCTTTTTCCCCGTTCACGGTGCTCTACCTCCTCCACCTAAAAGAGACTCATCCATCGTGAAAATACGCTGGCTGAACTATACCATCGCCTTCGTGCGGTGGATCTTTTACCGACCCTTACCTGTCATGAGAATATGGAAACTGGAAATCGTTCCGCCGCCGCTCGCAGCCATCGTTATTGTCAGCTTTGCCCTGATCTTCGTCACCTTGTATAGTTTCCTACCGCAACCACTTTTCTACAAAAGCATCAAAGACGGATCTCCTCCCTTGGCTATTAGAGCGGGGATGATTGCTGTTTCGCTAGTTCCTTGGATCGTTGCTCTGAGTATGAAGGCCAATCTTATCAGTATGCTCACTGGTATAGGGCACGAACGACTTAATGTCCTTCACAGATGGGCGGGATATATATGCATGTTTCTGGCTCTGGTCCATATGATTCCGTTTTATATTACACCCGTTTGGGAGGACGGTGCCCTAGAATTGTTTCGCCAATTCATAAAGGGAGACTTTTACATATACGGCTCGGGGCTGGCAGCCCTGGTTCCACTCGGAGTTCTTTGCCTTCATTCTCTACCCTTCCTCCGAAATCGAATGTACGAACTATTTGTCACGATGCACGCTCCGATAGCGATGGTTTTCGTCGGCATGATGTTCTGGCATTGCGCCAATTTTTTGACCTCCTGGCACTATCTATTTACGACGGTGGCTATTTGGCTGGTCTCTTATGGCATTCGCCTTTTCTACTTGAACTGGACAAACCCGTTTCGCCTTTCGTTCTTAATTGGTGAAGAATCTGCCGTCACGATCCTTCCCGAAAATGCGGTCAAAGTCACCATTCCGACTCAAATGAGATGGAGACCAGGCCAGTACGTTTATTTACGAATGCCAGGCATCTCCGTTTTTGAAAACCACCCTTTTACCATCGCTTCTTTGTGCAGTGACGATTTCCCGTCCAGCTACGGCGAGGAATACCGGGATATGACCCTTGTTTTTAGGCCCTTTAGCGGCTTCACAAACAAAGTACTGAATACCGCTCTAATCAAAGGCCCTTATAAAACTTACCGTGCATTTATTGACGGGCCATATGGTGGCATGCGGCGAGAACTTGCAGCCTTCGATCATGTCGTCTTTTTCGCCGGTGGGAGTGGTATTACCGCCATCGCAAGTCAGCTGTTGGATCTTATAAGGCGGATGCGTGATAGAAAAGCATTAACTCGGACAGTAAGGGTTGTGTGGGCGTTAAAAAGACCGGAAACGATGGAATGGTTCAAGGAAGAGTTGCGTATTTGTCGAGAATATGCGCCTCCTGGCACTGTTTGCTGCCAGTTCTATATTACCGGCTCAAAAAGATATACGGAGCAGCCCACTCCTTCTCGGCCTCATAGCGGCGCTTTCCATGACAAAATCAACGATGTTTTTCAAGGCGTTGCTAGCAAACGGACTTCGGCCTTTATTCGCGAAGAAGCGGCTGGAGACGAAGAAAGGGAAAACGAACTCCGCCGAGAGAATGAGGATACGATCGCTGCCCTTCCATCCGCATATGTTCCGCCTCAACGCTCATACGGCTGGAATTTTCCCACTTCCCCAGTCGCTGAACAGGAGAACAGCGCCAACAGCATGAACTTTGGGTTTCCTAGCACGCCTACTTTGCTTCAAAAGAATCTAATGCGTTTTGCATTTTTCCCGACACAGAAACGAGGCGGATGGAGAACAGAATATGGTCGTCCAGATATCCCGTTTATGTTGCGGCAGTACTCAAAAGACTTTGGGCGACGAACTTGTGTTTTCGTGTGCGGCCCACCAAGTATGAGAGTTGATGTTGCAAATACTGTAGCAAGGCTACAGAGGAAAATTATGGACGATCCGACAAAGGATGAACTGTTTCTGCACGCCGAAAACTATGCTATTTGAGAGCCACCGCCTGGGCCGGACCTGGGATCTAGCACCTGCTGATTTCTCAGTATTTTCCTTCATTTTGGCCTTCTTTACATGAGAGATGGAGCCTATTATATACCCTGTAGTTAATGTACATACGTAATCCTTCTTTGGCACTGTTTGGCCCATGCCATTTTTCTCTTTTTTTGCAACATGTCTTTACTTAGGTCTATAGCGGCGATGGCTAGCGCTAGCAAAGACGGTAAGGTATCTAGTGTATACAGGGCATCGGGTTTAATAGAGAAGATGGTACCTGCAATGTGCATCTCTGAACATGGTTTCGACTGAAGTATGTAGAATATTGAGGGATCTTGATACTAATCCCTTCCATGGTTAGTTACCCAGTCAGCTTTGACCTGCTCACCGCCTTGCGATTCTGCCAATATCGCTTCCAAAAAAGTGAATTGAAGAGCGAACTGAATGGCTCAGAAAAGCAACAACTGTCAATTGCATTGGGACGGCGGGATATTTGCTGCAAGATAGAGATACTAAACGCCACTATGGCATCCGCAGATTCCAACACGAAACCTACCACCACGCCCACGCCATTCCTTTCGCTCTCACCCGCGCACCTTGCTCGACTCCAACCGCACACCTATGTTTACGCACATCTAAACCCCTCGCCTGACAGTTCACGGCCCTCGGTGCGCATAAATGGTCGAACGGAATTTCAATTCCGTCCCGTGACTGTAAACACCGGTTCCTTGACTCACGCGAATGGCAGCGCCGTGGTGCGCATTGGCGACATGACTGCGGTGTGCGCAGTCAGAGGGGAGATCTTATCTACGAATGATATACCGGCGTGGAAGGTTTCCAGCGGTTCCACCGAGGATAGAAATAAAAAGGGCGATGAAGGAAAAGAGGCCGAAGAAGAGGAAGACGACTCGGAAATTCATACGTTCAATCTCCTAGTTCCCAATTTATCACTGAGCACGGGATGTTCGCCGTCCATACTCCCTGGTTCCGCGCCTACGTCGCTCGCGCAATCTTTATCTCACAGACTTTTGTCTCTCCTTCACTCTTCGCGGTTGATACGTGCTAGTGATCTGCGAATCTGGTCAAATCCGAATCCCACGCAGGCTCAGTCTCAAGAACAGCATGAGGATGCTGAAATGGAGAATACATCCGTAACTAGCTTGCCCGAGACCCCAGAAGTCAAAGGCTTCTGGACACTATACATTGATGTTCTAATAATTTCCATGGCGGGGAATCCCTTCGATGCTGCCTGGGCAGCTATCATTGCGGCATTACGCGACACACGCCTTCCTAAAGCATGGTGGGATATCGAGAATGAGATGGTCCTTTGTTCAGACCGTGTTTCGGATTCACGAAAGTTACAGCTACGGGGAATGCCCATACCAAGCTCCTTTGCTGTCTTTGAGGCCGACCCCGTGGGAGATTGGAGGAAGGTTATGCTCCCGGCTCGGAACGGGAAAACAAAAGATCAAGGTCAGATCAAGAGATGGATTCTTGCCGATCCAGATGCGTTTGAGGAATCGTTATGCCAGGAACGTTTTTGTATTATGGTGGACAAGGACGCGGACAAGCCGGAGGGGATGAAGATTCTGATGATGGAAAAGAGTGGAGGATTTTATATCGGGAAAGATGAAATGACAGCACTAGCTCACTTAGCCACGGGGAGATGGGAGGAATGGAGAGCGTTGTTGGAAGGCTTGGGGTGAAAACGAAGGAGCTGAGAAGTATTTGCACGGCGAAACTTGGGTCGGTTTATCTGAGATGAATTCGGAAGCTAAAAATATTCAATTTCGATGATCAACTCCGGCGCCTGGCACTCTATGGACAATCCCTAATTCTAATATTTATTCACCCATAACCCGGCAGAGTCAACAATTATATTCCGAGATTCCACGTTGCAACGCTGCCACAAAAACTATACTGTACAAACAAAGCATACGGTCACGCACGGATTTAGGGCTCAGGACACTCGTCAAGCCCTCCGTTTTTTGGGTGGGCCGTCGTCGACTTTATCAACGAGAACGGGCGAACTAGAGGTGCTCGATCCAGACGCCGGAGATACAGGGTCCGTAGCAGATTCGAGTTTAGGCGCATGAAGTGACGTTTGGCCCGTCTTCTTTCGAGGCAAGGATATGGAGAAAGAGACGAGTTCTATGGATGAACCGTTTTCCTTCTCCTTGCTCTTTTTGCATTCCTTGGGCTTGATCCCTTCCGTCCTGTTTCTTCGCGATTTATTCGTAACTGGCTCTGCCTTGGCCTTTCCAAAGATCTTGTTGAAGAGTTTCCTGAACGAGCCAACGTTTTGATCTTGCGCGTTTTCATCTTCCTTATTTTTGCCATCTTTCTCGCTTTCGTCATCCTCTTCGTCGTCCACACCATCTGAAAAATTCCACATAACTGATATATCTCCCTTTACAAGCGCTGTGATCCAAATCGAACTCAAAACTCCGGGAACAAGGTATAGCAATGCTGGCTGCGCATGATTTGAGATCTGCATTGCAACCAGCGTGGCCAACATCCCAAGTACATATCCAGTCATTCCGGCGTTGAAATATGTTTTCTTAAATGATTTTGCTTCATGATAGGATGCTTCTTTCTCAGGCAACTTCAGAGACGGCTTTACGCATGTCCAAAGCCGTTCGCCCCATCCACCAGTCGCGCTGGTATACTTACGTCGACCATCTGCGCCTTTTTCAGCGTTTCCTTTTGGGGAAAGCTTACGAAGGTAATGCAGATAGAGGTCGAAACGCAGCGCAAGTCCAATCACCGTCCCTGGGACCACGATGTCTCCCAAACCAAGCATCGCTAGAGCAGTCAGGCTCGGGTCCTCCTTTGAAGTGGGCGGCCGGGGAAACAGGAGCTTGATCGGCAAGTCCAGTTTTTGTGCAACGGTAACCATCATGGGAGTGTAAAACACGAAATAGATATCGTAGAAGAATAGCGAGCCCAGGATTAAACTTCCGGTAGCGAAAGTTGTCGGTGACAGAAGTTGGAGAGCACCATACGAAAAGCCAAATCCCAGGAAATTGATCAGCCACCATGGCCTCGTCACAAAGGCAGCATATCCAGCAACGATAATCGCGATAATGATGCTTAGCATATCAAGGATGGTGAAACGAGCCCTGAACCTAAGAACAGAGCGGATATGCGTGCGAAGCGTAGCTTTTTGATAGAGAAGCCCGCGGACTTGCCAAAGCGGCGAACGGATGCAGCGCGGAAGACCAACGGCCCCAAGCAGCCCTGGCAGCGGAGAGGTGCGTGTAGAAAGATTCTCTGACGACTTCCCTCTTCCGGCAACCTCTGCAAATACATGCTTTTCCTGATCTGCTCTCCAAAACATGCCGTGAGACGAGTAGTGTTCAGGAAACACGAGGGACCGTAGAACAGAAAAGCCATCCTTCACGAATGCGGTCGCAAACATCAACCCAGCATGTGAGAAGTACCAGTTCAGCACCTTGTTCAAAACTGCTGGGTCAAAGTGTTTAAGCAGGAGGTAAAGACCTCCAAGCGTCAGGCCGGACAGAATAGGAAGCATAATCGCATCTGATGCCTCCAGGCCTTCCATCTTTTGAATCATGCCTTCTTCCTCATTGGAGTCTTCATCTTCATCATCTTCCTTTTCACTTTTGTCGCTCTTGCATGTCTTCTTGGCCGGTTTGGCTGCAGAGGATGGCCTTGATAACGAAGCATGGGCGCCAATGTAAATGCAGAAGAGAGCGGAGATAAGGAGATGGACGTAGGTTGGTATAAGCGGTTTTGTGACATTAAATCCAAGTAGAAAACTATCAAAGGCCTCAGCAAAAGAGGTTGGGATGGCCATGGTATGAAGGCAAGGTGACCTTAGGGAGTAGCGCTCAGCCTTGAAGGATGGTAAAATGATTGAGAGAATTGAAATTTATGTCGTTAAAGGTGGCAGGTCATTTGGTGCGTATCATCATCTTGATCGCTCGAGATTGATGTCTGAAAGGTGAATTGTTCGAGGTTGTGCCTTGTGATGGATTTGGTGACAGCTTTCAAAAAGCAGCCATTCACTTTTCAACCAACTGACATCATATAGAACGATAGTCACCAACCTCAAAGAACTTCCACAATGGCGACAGATGTAGTGATTGACACTACTATGGTTTGTTCTGGGTCCTGAGATTTCCATCTGCGGCTGCTGAATAACCTGTCCCTAGGGCTCCATCACTGTCGAGCTTTACAATGATCATGCGCCCAAGGTAATAGACCCCCAACAATCCACTTTCTATCTCTAGTTACTGATTACTCTGTGACGGAACAGACATGCAAAAACTTCTCGACTCTCGCACAACGAGGCTATTACAATAACGTTATCTTCCACCGCATCATCCCTAATTTTATGGTCCAAACTGGCGATCCAACCGGGACAGGCCGCGGCGGCAGTTCCATATACGGCGAGAAATTCGAAGACGAGATCCACCCTTCCTTGAAGCATACAGGTGCAGGTATTCTGAGTATGGCGAACAGCGGGCCGAATACCAACGGAAGTCAGTTTTTTATCACCCTGGCACCTACGCCCTGGCTCGATGGGAAACATACAATCTTTGGCAGGGTCAAGAGCGGGATAAGGGTATTACAGCGGATGGGGCTTGTGAAGACCGATACAGATGACAGGCCAGTGGATCAGGTCAAGATTCTGAGGGCGAGAGTAGTCGAGGAAGGGAGTGAAGAATGAACCGGGTGCCGGGATAGTTTGAGAAAAGCAACAAGTGATTAAGACTGTCGCCCACCCATTACGGACTGGAGGCGATGATGATCCCAATGTGCCCTGGCTAGCAACGGGGAAACGAGGCAGGTACGCGGTAATTCCTCGTAAGCCCGCTTCAAGCCCCGTTGGTCAAGCCAGCGAGGCACCAGCAGATCTTGAAGCCAGTAGGCAGGCTGCAATAGCTACTTCTACAGTACAGCAAGTGAGGGACTTGCTTGATATATCCCAACCAGAGAGAATCGAACACACGTTGATTTCCCATTCAGAGGAGTAGTGGAATGTATGTATCACCACAAAACGAACCGCATCGATCAGGTGTTTCCATCTTGAGCGGCAGATACAGGGTGAAGATAGTCCAATCTTCCACTTCTACAGATGATTCCAATGAAGGCTCCATCCATCGACAACGTTGCCAAAGCGAGGTAGCAATTTGTCTACGCAGAGCGTATTGAGTGGTTGATATTGGAAGAACGCAAAAGAATCGCACGTAAAAATTGAGTGCCAGCCGTGCCAAGACAGCGCCAGCACGAGTTGGGCTTAGCCAGGCTCGGCACTTAAATTCAATCTCAACTTCGCTTCTTTTTCCTCTTCTTCTCTTCCTTCAACACAAAGACTCCCACAGGTTCTCTGGGGCACACTGGTGACTTGCCAGCACCGATGGGTCGTGCTTCATGAGTGACTCTATAGGCAACAGTCTTATACCAAGGCCAGCCGGGTTATCATGCTCGGGATGAACACTCTGAATGACACAACTTGGGACGTCCTGATTTCCGGGACTGGTCTTCCCCAGTCTCTGCTTGCATTGTAAGTCACTTCCATTTTCCGGCCTTTGATTGTTACTGAACATCAGTTCTGACTATCATCGCTGTAGGTCACTGTCGAGGTCTGGCAAAAAGGTCCTCCATATTGATAAAAACGATTATTATGGAGGCTCCGAAGCCGCTTTTAGTTTACAAGAGGCAGAAGACTGGGTAAATAAAGTTAACCAGGGTGAGGATGCCGCGTCTTTCATTCCCCTGAGACCGGTTGCATGGTTGCTGATTACCTACCAAGTCAGAGCCTAATTTTGGCCCATTTGAATCTGCATCATTGTGGCGTTCTCACTCAACAGAAAATGGAAGTGCTGGAAAGCTCTCCTTTTCAAGAGCATATACGCTTTCACTTTCGCCCCAACTCATTTATACCCGATCCCAACTCTTGCCCAGCCTAATATCTTCCAAAACCTACCGCCAATTGGAATTCCAAGCAGTGGGCAACTGGTGGGTATATCGTAACGCAGCTGCAGCTGATAACGAAGACCAGGCAGAACAGTTGACCTCCATCTTGCAACGCGTTCCTGGCAGTCGTGAAGACGTTTTTGCCGATGACACGTTAACCATGAAGTCGAAGCGATCTCTCATGAAGTTCTTAAGATATCTAGGTCAGTCTAATGAAGAAGAGGGCTCTTCCGCCGAGGAAGGCCTCGATATGACGTTCCCAGAGTTTCTACATTCAAGATTTCAGGTTCCCTCTGATCTCTTTGATCCCTTGCGCTCGCTAAGTCTCTCTCCATATCCTCTATCACAAACCACAGCTGGATATGCTCTACCGAAAATAAAAAGACACTTACAATCCATTGGTGTATTCGGACCGGGATTTTCTTCTGTCCTTGCCAAATGGGGTGGTGGCTCTGAGATTGCACAAGTAGCTTGTCGCGCATGTGCCGTCGGTGGAGGTGTGTACGCATTAAGCAGAGGCATTAAAAGTGTGGAAACACCGAAACAGCATCCACTTGATGGAAACGTGGACTTGTTGAATGTACATCTCAGCAATGGAGAATCGGTGCGCACTAGGTTTGTTGTTGGTTCTGCTTGGGATATCCTCGCAGACGCGCAGGAAGCAATATTTTCGGCTTCCACAAAGGTGTCACGTTCTGTTATGATAGTATCCTCGCCATTGGAGTCTCTGTTCCCTCCTACGTCAGACAACGGCCCCGTTGCCGCTGGTACAATCGTTGTGGTTCCAGGGCGAGAAATTGTGAAAGGAGATGGAATTGATGAACCCCCGCTATATTTGCTATTGCATTCTAGCGATACTGGGGAATGCCCTTCCGGTCAATGTAAGTCTCTCCCATGGTCTTCCATTCTTTCCTTTGCTCTCAATGATGATCCACATTTCCGAATACTTATCTACATTGTCTGTAATATCATTGATGATAAACTTTCCTCTGACAGCCTGACACGAGAGCATCCATTCTCTATTTTCTTGCCTTGTCACTTTTTCAAATCAATCGCTGACACATGTGGTACAAAGGTGTAATATATGGCAGTGTTCTACAGCAACCCGATCAAGGGCAACCACGCATTGATGCTGCGGTAAAACAACTTTTGAAAGCCGCAGACCCCGGATCAGAAATTCTTTGGAAAATGCAGTTTACTCATTTGGGCTATCTAGGTTCTGAGGGTTTATCGAAAGACAAGTTTGCGAGGAAGTCTAGTCAGATATTGTTGTTGCCACCGCCATGCCTTGACATTGAATTCAATGATTGCATGATTGATCAAGTTCGGCATGTCTGGAAGGAACTAATGGGTGCGGATGCAGATGACAAGCATTTCCTTGTGTTTGAGGACCGAGAAGCTTCTGAAGAGCCAGATTCGTGAACAAATATCTCCGGAGAGATTATGACATCGAATCTCGGCCTTGATGACCCATGTTTGATACTTCCTAGTTTATTGAAATATTAGGATGTTTTTTTTCAACATTTTGAAATGTCCACTTCCACCCCTTAGGGGATTTCGCGCCATGCCCCCATTATCCCCAACTGTAGAGTGACCATTTCTCGTCAGTCCCCATTTCGGCGTGGTACAGTAGGCCCAGACCCGGGAGACAACTATCAACGTGGTAATCACAAGCCGTCAATATAGCCAGAGAGGTTGGATGGAATTTGTCCCCAATGCTGGAAGTGCGCTAGTCCGACTTTGGAAAGGTCGCGGAATTTATGATCTTGCGAATTATTATCGCGATCTTCAACGCCGGTGGGAGCATCCGGACATCGACCCATTGCTTGCCCTGCATTCGATTCTGCGAAGGCTGCTGTTGCAAATTCTCCAGCCGCCAGGGCCTTTCGTGAGAGCGTCCAATTGAGCGATTCGCTGATTCTTCAGACGGAATCAGCCCGCATTTTACCTCCTGGGGACCTACCTACCTGAACGATAAGCCATGGGGGCCGGCGGATCGAAGCCCGCGGAGGCAAGCGGAGGCTCTAAACATGTTTTTAGAAGGTCAGATTTCATGCCATTCCCACGTTTCCTGCGGATTGCCTGCGTGAATATCTTGAGCGCAGTTTGGATCGTGCGGAGTATTACCCTATCTGCGATTGATCACTGATTTGCGGGTAGTGAAACCCCAGTTCAATTTTCTCAAAACCTCGTCGAATCGTTACAATCAAGCTCAGAGGTTGTTATAACCCGCGTCCCCCCTCCCCCGGGGTTTGGGCTTCAGTAAGCTGACAGAGGAACCCACAAAGACCGACTCCTCCCGAGCCCAAACCATCGAACTCCATATCCAAAACCGCGTCGCCGAAGAGCTCAAACGTATCCAGGCCCGTGAAACCCAGACCCTCGCGGACCTCGAACAACGCCTCGTAGAAACCACCCCGTCATCCACAGCCGCCGACCAAGGGTCCATATCGCTCGATGCACCGCGCGTGCCGCTGGCGGGCTCTGAACCGTCTGGCACAGCTCAAGAGACTGCAAAGCCGGATCTGAGTAGCAAACAGGTGGCCCAAGAAATTGAAGCGCTGCGTGAGAAACTTGCTGCGAGACGAAAGGTGAAGGAGGTTGATGCAGGTGTGGAAAAGGCGAGGGAAGATGTGGTGAACTGTTTGCGGGGGCACGAAAAGAGGCCGTTGGATTGTTGGTCTGAGGTAGATACATTCAAGAAAGAGGTTGCGAGATTGGAGGGAGAGTGGGTGAAGAAGATTGTTGGTTAGTATCTGAGGACGATACAGCCGTAGTATTGGCGTGATCAGATGCACGGGAATGTCGTGCTTTTGGCATCAGCTGCTGTATAATAAAATAAAGCCGAACGAATAACATAGAGCAGATGAATATTCAAGAATTTTTCAATTCAAAACAATAGGCGGAACCAATGCCTCCAGAATAGTATATAAAGGTATATGTTCCAATATTTGATTCGCTCCAAGCACAGTCAAACTTCCCACCAGCCCAACCTTCCAACACCTTCACCGGCTGCTCGCACGATACATAATCGAGACAACTTTTCTTTCCCGATTTTCACAGTCGGAATATTGGATTGAACATGGCCTGCACCTTCAGCTTCGTGCGCAGCCGGTGCGCGAGGGAAATAAGCCTCCAACTTATTTGCCAATATTGCTCCAATCCCCGTTCCTTTCCCGGCATTCAGGTTGTAGTTCCCCGTCGTTACAAATCCAATCAAGTCCTCTTCACCTGGAAGTGGAAGATGAGGCTGCGGCTCTTCGGAACTTGGGAGAAGCGAAATCGGAGGCGGGTGACTTTTAGAATTCGCGGTAGATCCTTCAGCGAGCAGTTTCTGTTTGTTATGTTGTGGATTATGCTTTTTTGTGGGTTTTGACCATGTCAAAGACGTGGTGGCCGCAACCTGAGACGAGCCAGACGAGTTGTTGAGGAGCGATAGCCATTTCGACCGGAGGACGGGGTCTATCGTTGGGAGACGATAGATTCGAGCTCGTGGAGTTGGGGTCCCGCGATTGATAAGGCTGATCTTGACAGTTGCGAGGGCGGGTCTCTCCAAGAGAGGAGACGAAACACGTTCAGATTTGGCTTTCCTAGGAAGGATATAAGATGCAGCGGACGGCGAGAGCTGATGAATCCCGAGAGGCGGAGTTTGGGATTCCTCTGGGCCAGCGTCGCCGTTTTTCGGGGTAGCGGTAGCTTGTGCCTTGGGGTCTGTATCCATCGCCATCTTGTTGGCAGTGTCATCCGAGTCCTTTGGAGTCCGCTCCCCGACGAGTCTCTCCCAGTCAGACGCCCAACCGCGCCCGATCTCTCCCCGCCTGTCGTTCCCTAAATTGACGCTGTCATATTCCACCCTCTTCCCTTTTGGCTTTCGTTCCCACTCAGCTTTCCGTAAAGCTCGCTGCCGAACCTCCCACGTCCATCCAGCCTGTGTCCCAGGAAAATCGCCCGGAAACCAGGCCTCCCCGGCCTCAAACGCAAGTTGTTGCTGTTCGTAGACCCCACCGAATCTGGGATTACCGCCGGAAGAGAGTGGATAGTACATGATAGAATGCCATACTGGCACCACACACTTCCAGGGGAGAAGGATAGTCCAGCGTCCGTGAACACTGGAGTTGACTGATGGACATCCCAGGCGAGATGCAAGAAGGATAACCGGAATTTGCGGATCAGCCGGGTTCGATGGCGGATATTCGCCTGGCGGGGCCAATGCCTTCCTTTTATTGATTGCTTTCTGGCTGGGAAGGATTCGTGAGGCCTTTAACCGACAAGGACGCGAGAATAACTCGGGTCTTGATTGTGTTGAGTCTGGAGGCCAAGATGATAAAAGTCTAGCAAGATCGCTGGCGCTCTCTTCTGAATTTGACTGTTCGACTGTGCGCGGGGGATGTCGCAGGCGTGGATCAGAGATGTTAAACGCCAACAGCGCGTTCCTGGGAAGCGAAGCAGGATTTGTTAGGCCAACAAGAGACTGCCAGACTTCCTCCGGGCATCGTGATGGTCTGATAGTACCTTCAGGGAGGGAGACGGGGCTTAGAGCTGCGAGTAGCGTTTCAGTCGAGCCCGGTCCGGATAGTTCAATGCTTCCAATTTCGAAACGGAGATCCTCAAGCAGAACTGGCGGTTTCTGTATCTTGGACACTTTCAGCAACTCTTGCCAAAGTTGCAAGAAAGCGGACGGATGGACACGAAGAAGCATCTTGCGTTTCGGTAGTTTCTTGCCCGATGAAGGCTTGCTGGCATCAACCATTTCAACATCTTCTGTCTTATCATGCGCGCACCAGATCAGTGTAACTGGAGCAATGGGCAGTTTTTCACCGTCTCTTTCATGCAACCAGGCCTCCAGGCTTCTGGTCCCTGCCCGCCATTTTTTACCTGTATTTCCCCATGCTGCATCTCCCTCAACGCCCACGGCTTTCAGCAAGCCCGCTATACTCGCTTCCACTGCTTCCAGCCCAATGGTTGACATATAACTCATATCCCACGCTATCGCCCCCCTAGCACCATTCGCACGATGCGTAGGCCTATAAGATTTCTCCGTAGGCGTCAAGGGAATCGCAAACCGCCACAGCGGTGCGTTCGGCTCCGTCATGTGTGCCCGTTTGGCGTGAAACATATGCGTCGGCAACCACGTCTTCCCCCGCTGGCGTTTCTTATATTTCGACGTAGGCTTCGCGGGATGCGAGAGCTTGTTTTTCTTGATTTTGGGCACGCGAGGCGCAATGTTGGTGGAATGTTCGGCATCTGTAGCGGGAGCTGCGCCGTCGACAGCAGCTCTTTTGGCAGCTCGTTTCGCTTTTGAACGAGCATTCAAGTTTTGTAGCCGGCGAGCTGTTTCTAAACGAAGGCGTAGCTGCTCAGTCGGTTTGCGGCGGCGAGCAGTCACGGTGGGCGTATTATCTTCAATCATCTACACCGGCACGGCATATTAGCAACCAACACGACCGGCTTGTTCAATAAAAAAGAACCAAAGAGCTCATACCTCCCTCTTCGCCCTCGCCCTCAGCCTCGACGGCACCCTCTTCACATTATGGCTCGCCGTCCTCCTCCTCAGGCTCCTCGGCACCTTTTGGAACGCCCGGCTCGTCAGCGCACCTCTGGCATTGCGCATCCCCGCCTCCAGCGCACGAATCTCATATTCCCTCGCCGCCACGAAGGCGGACACATCCAGTTCGCCGGTCTTGGAGAGGGCGGCTTCAGAGCTCTGGACGGCGAGCGTACGCGCATCTTGGATTTTGGCGCGTTTGCGGGAGTGGGAGGGCGCGCTGGCGGCGGGAGGGGCTTTGCGCTTCTCTCCATTTTTGGGCTGTTGTTTTTTGGCCTGGAGAGCTGGCCCCGGGGGAGCCATGCGTGTGGGAAGTTCTGCTGGTATCGAGGTCAGTGTAAAGGCTTTTGAGGTTTGTTTGATGCTCCGGAATGCGTTTTGAGTGCCGCGCCGCTAGTTAAACCTGTTCCAGTCGGAAGTGCTGGAGAGCAACACCCAGGCTGCAGAACATTCTCAGCGGCTGGATAACGAACAGGGCATATTTCCCAGGATGGATTTCATGTTGTGATTTTGCATGGTGCCGTCAGTGTGCTGCTAGGCCAGTCAAGTCCGCTGTTATTTGCATTCCTGGTTTAATCGCATTCCATGACACCAATGACAATGAACAAGAGCCTATCTGATGAAATTTTAGATGCATTCTATGCTCAAGACTTGGATTTACAACTGTTATTCCTGCCTGTTAGTCCTCCTTCAGCACACAGTTTCTACAATCAGGCGGCTGCATTGGCAGGCCCCATTCACAGATTAACCAAGCGCAGCAAGCACAGCATCCACACCAGAAACCTACCAGTCCATCAGCACACACTCGGGAATTGTTGGAACTGGCATGGGGTATAAGAACTTACGGAGACATCAGCAGAAGGTTCCACCTGCGCATAGGTCACCTTGCCGTGATCAATGATCATAGCATACCGGCCGGTGCGATCACCCTTGGTCCAACCAATGCTCTTTGAAAAGGTTGCATTGGGGTCGCTCAAAAAGAGCTGTCACCAGTCAGCCAAAGTCAGTGTCGACGATGCAGGGTATATCCATGGCCACTCACAATATCGCTTCCAGTAATGTTGTTGGCCTTGCCCCAAGCACTCATGACCCAGGCATCATTGAACGCGATGACGGCCACGATGTCAACGCCCTTTTGTTTCAACTCGGGCAACTTCTGGATGTAATCTGGAAGATGGATGGCGGAGCAGGTCGGAGTGAACGCGCCTGTTGTGTTTCGAACGGCTAGTGAGCAACGCCATCCAATGTGAAGAGAGACAGGAGACAAGCCATACCGGGGACAGAGACAAGAACGACCTTCTTGTCGGCCCAGAGCTTGGAGGCTTCGTAATCCTCAGGCGTTCCGCATGAGTTGATACTAGCGGCCTCTGCAGTCCATGGGACGTGGCTTCAGTCAATGGGTTAGTTACTCTAATCACCGGCTTGATTCTCGAGCGCTGCACTCACGAGAAGGTTACGGAAGACGGAAAGGCGTCGCCAGCCTTGAGAGGAGCCATTGTAGCGTAGAAGCGGGGCGTGTTCGGCAGTTTACCGTGAGGTGCAAAGCGGCGGGGAAGCGGGATCGTGAGACTGGAGGGCGAGCGAACAATCGCGAATTGTCCGCACGGGCGAATTGAGGACAGAGAGCGGCGAGAGAGGGCGAGGAGGGAGGAGAGTCTTGTAGGATTCATCACAATAGATTCGCGGGGCGGGGGGTCCAAAGAGTTTTGATCAACAGCAACGACGAGGGTTCAACCCGGGTTGGCAGACGGGGTTCCTCGCGATGCCGAAACCCAAGCAATTCGGGTGTTTGATTTTAATTACAACTTCGTTTGGGATCAACAACAAATGCGCAAAACAGTAAACAAAAGCCGCATGATTAGTTATTAGCTAGTAGGCCCTATTTATATATCACTGCCCTCGCTTCCGCCGCTCTGCTTGTCTCGCAACCAGCGCCCCCAACGCCGCACCCACGCCGCTGCCGTCCTTTGCGATGCCAACCTGGATCCTCTTCTCGCCCGTCTCTCCAATCTCAGGGACTTCGCGCCACGCCTCCCGGATGTATTTCTCATATCCAGGGTAGAATTCCACCAGGCTGCCGTCGACGCCAATGTCGATCGGCTCGTCCGTGGCCAGTCGTCCGCTGGATATGATGATCGCAGCAAGCGGGACGGCGCTGAGACGCGCTGCACGCTTTCCAATGGCATGCGTGAGGATCTTGATTGCCTTGCAGTCGGTGGTGCTGATGTGGTCAAGCCCAAGGTCCGACTTGAGCTCCTTCTTCACCTGCTGGAGATCCTCCGTCGAGTCTCCTTCTACGGTTGAGAGGAACTTGGTGTCGATGCCCCAGTTCTTATAGAGAGCCGAATCTGGGGGAATCACAGCTGGGCCGCCGCACATTTCCAGGCTGGGATTTTTCGTCATGTGAATAATGGTGCACCGAAGGATCTCACCCAGGAACATCCCCGATACCCGTTTCTCAAACATCTGAACGCCGGGGTTGACGCTGATGCGGTCGAGTTCCTGGTCATGTCCAGTATCCGGAAGCACCTTCAGGGGGTTGTCGAAGCTGCCCCATTCCGTGTTGATGACCATCTCACCCGTCGTAGTGTCGAAGGCGCTCTCAGCGCTATTCTCGAGCTTCTTCACGCGGGCCAATTTCTCTACGTATGCACCATTGGTTCCTGTACCGAAGATTGCGCCGATCAGAGCTTTGGAACGGCCCTGCGAGCAGTATGAGCGCGCCATCAACGTGCCCACGGTATCATTGATCAACGCAGCAACTCGAACGGGCAAGTGTCGCCTATCAATAGCATCTTGTAGCAACTGGCAGACGTCCTGACCCACCGCTTCCGGAATGTCGAACCCTTTGGTCCAGCGAAACAGAGTCCCTCTATTGATCGCCGTTTGGAACACTGGAAAACTAAAGGTAAAGCCTAGGTCGAACACATCCTCCTGCTGGGCATCAGTTTCGCCCATCTTTCTCTTCTCCACGTGGGAAGCATAGCGTTCTCCATGGTGCTCTTGGAGGAAGTGTTCTATCTGCTCAGCAATAAATCCGAAGAGTTCCGCCGCTGCCTTGGTCACCATCAGTTCCTGTGGAATAGCGTCCTTGTTTTGAATCATTTTAAACGTCGAGTCGCCGTTCAAGTTGATAGAGCAGACACGAATGTTGGTGCCACCAAGGTCAACCGCCAGGTAGACGCCCTATAGTTACATTGAGGACACAAAGCGTTAGCAATCAGGCAGTAGTAGATTCATATCAAATCAAACAGCGCATATGTAAACCGCTCAGCACCCGCGGCTCGAGCTCCAAACCGTCCCCCGCATCAACATTTCAGGCGCAGCAGAGATGGAAACGCTCTGGATGCCACACCTTCTCACTGCCATCCGGCACAGACGTGATATACGACGGGATTTGGCTCAAAGTCGACCCGTCCGTTGTCAGTCCGGTTTCCATCTCCGAAAGGAACTCCTTGACCCCGCGATTCACATCCACAGACGAATACTCGAACTCCGCGGCGATCTGCTTCGCCGCTGCAATAACGGGAGGGTCCGATGAGGATGACATGCTGCAAAGTATAGACGGAATAGTAGAAACGACACGAAGGAGCAAAGAAGCACAGGTCTGCGTTCAGTCACTGAATCTCGAGTTCACATTGGAAGGATTCGGTGACAGTTAGTGACGTAGTTTGGTTGGCGTGATGATCAGGATTTATTGATTCTCGCAAGAAACCAATTCGGCGAGCGAGGAGAGGAGCCGGCCATTCGACTGACTTGCTGGTCAAGCGAGTAACTATTCCAGGCGATGGACTTGAGGCACTGGAGCTGGCGGCTGGATGTATCGAAGGGTGTGTTGGACTGTGGTAAGCCGCAACCATGGCTCAGCCGATTTATATCGATAACTAGATCCGAATGGATATTCAGCTGGCCTGGATGGGCGTTGGGCTGCGATCGTCGTTGCCAGGCTGAGATGTGCTGATGAGGCTGCTCTGGTCTTCTCTCTTGTTCAGGATGTTCGATGAATCGTCTTCTCAACCGTCATCTGTGCTGCGCACCCGATCCTGTCACCGGACAGCAAATGCAGCTCTTGTGACCTCGACCAGCAGCACTATATACCTACCCAGCTGCCTTGAGTGCTGAAGTTCTCGTGTTGACGGTTGAGAGATGAAAACCGCGTTCTTACTAGATGTCTAGTCAACTCCTTTCGTCTCATACCAGTCGCATCCTTCTATCGGATTTCCCGCGCAGTTCTACCTCGTGCACAGAGTAGAACAAGGCTACATTTTCAAATGCTATCTTAGAAAAGAGCACGAAGGATGGAACCTCCATCGCAGTCCTCCAATCCGGTCAAATCCGCAGCCATGGAGCGGCAGCCTCTGAGACCCCCGTTCTCGCCTGGTGCCGCCCCCAGCGCCCATGGCTCCATCTCCACGGCCATGGACTTGCTGCCCACAATCGCGCGGACACCGGCTCACGACGCATTCCTCACCGAAACCGACATCGACACATACCTGCACCGCGACCTGGACCTGTCCCGCCTGAACAAGATCCACAGCCATCTCTGGATGGCCGGGCGGCCCATGAACAGCCGCCCGCTGCACCGCCAGCGCATGATGGGCCTCGAGATCTTCCCAACTGAGCAGTCTGACCTCCACCTCCTCAAATTCTCAAACCGCATCCTCATCAAACCGCTCCCAGCCTACATCTTCAGCCATGACTTCTGGTCCAAACACCTCTGCGCGTCGAAAGAGCTACACGAATCTGCCTCCGGCCTCCTGGTGTCCTATATCTGGCTCGTCTGCTCCCCCGTCGACCTCAGAACCGCCCAGGACGCCAACCTCCTCCCGTCCACCCTCGACTGGCCCGCCTGGAAGTCCTTTGTCCACGACGTCTTCAACCACATCAACATCAACGCCCTGGACACCGTCAACAAGCGCTATCACTTTGGTGAACTCCGTCTCAGCCGCGTCAACACCATCTACCGCGTCAAGTTCTTCTTCACGCACTTCATCCGCGGCTATCTGTACGGGTACAACCGCTACCAGGTCTTCTTTGAGCGCAATTTCGGCTGGATCCTGGTGGTCTTTGTGTATTTCTCGCTGGTGTTGTCGGCCATGCAGGTGGCGCTGGATGTGCCGGGGTTGGGGGATAATAAGGATTTCGTGAGAGCGACGTATGGGTTTGTTATCTTTTCCATTGTCATTGTGGCGTTTTTCTTGGGAGTGGTCGGGGTGATCTTCGGCATTATATTCTTTTATAATATGGCTGCAGCTATACATGATGACAGGCTGAAGCGGCTGCAAAGGAGGAAGTTGGCAAGTCAGACGATTGCAGATTCCTGAGATTGTGTGGTTAGAGTGTAGACTACCAACGATTATGGGATATCCTCGAAGAGGGCGCAATTGATGGTTGAAGAACAGCGCACCATCCCGATTGGGTGTCGGGCGGAGGAGATGATTCAGTATTACTCCCTTTATCAAACTCGGAGTTCCCGCGTAGTTAGCTGAAAGGATAGTGCATAGAACCGAGAGTATCAATGTAGTGCCATAAAATGCGATGCCAAATCCTAACCGGCAGCTTCCTTCGATTCGGTATAGCCATGTAATCCGCCATCCAGAATCCACTGCTCATTGTCCTCGTTATCATCCTGCACCCGTCTCCACGTCTGCCTCTGTTCTCTCCTTCTCGTCTGCAATCCAGCATCCCCTCCCCCATCCGCCTCTGGTTTCCACACCGGCCTCACCAATCCAGCACCCTTCAGTAGCGGATTATGCGCAAACGCCCCTCCAGAGTCGGTCCCGGAAAGCCCCGTCCCCTCAGCCCGTTCCTCCACCTCCGTATCCTCAATCCCATCATCATCACCACCACTAGCCGTCCGCGGAACCTCTCCCCGCTCAAACGTCCGCACCACCTTTCCCTTCTTGATATCCAAACTCATCACCACACTCCTCCTCTCCCACTCAGGCCGATTCCGCTCCTCCATTTCCCGCATTAGCCGCTGCTGTTTCTTAAGCGCCAGCGCCCGCTGCGCCGGCGTCATCCACTGCGTCGATGCGCTGGTGGGCATGTCGAAATCCGCCGCTTCGTCCACCACGCGCGTGCGTTGCGCGTTGTGCGCTTGGAACGAGAGCAGCTTGTCTCGATGGGCTTTGGCGGCTTCTAATTTGGCATCGTTGACGTTGGCGAATGCCGGTGTGGGCACGCCGCCGTCACGATGGACGCTCTCGTTGTGCGCGCGCATCTTCTGGCCGCCTCGCTCGGCGCGCAGTTCGCGGATGATGTCTTGTACTTCGCCTGTGGATAGGAGTGGCGTGCCGCAAAAGGAGCAGGGCTGGAGACCCTCAAGGGCACATATTATCTTTCCGCAAGAGAGGCAGTTGGGAGCTGCGGCAAAGAGGGGGTGAAGGCCCGCATTGCAGTTGCATTTGCGTTGTTTTGTTCTTTGGGGTTCGTCGATGCTTCGAGGGCTGCTATGGCAGAAGTGAGATCGGCGATGTTATTCGTCGTAGTCGTAGTCGTAGTGATGCTCCCCCCGAATGGCCGAGACCCCGCGTGTGGGCGAACTGGTCGCTGCAGCCTTCTCCTTCTTTGACTTCACATTGGGCAAATATTCCGATATCAACCGGGCCCGACGCAGACGGGGGCGGCTTTCCCGCCTTTCCTCCCGGCTGGCGACTGATTCCGTGACGAGTCCCGCCGACGATGAAGATATCTGCACCTGCGCCAGAGCTCCGGCAATGTATTCTTCTCCCCTTTGAGACTTGACGTATCCCCCGCTCACATCGCCGTATCCCTCTGGCCTTCTAACCGCGGTGGGTGTATGTATCGAGCCCTTCTTCTCCTGGCTCTTCCTGCCAGCCGCACCGGCATTGTTACCTTTACCCCGTGTCCGCGTCTGTTCGGCACTGCCGTCGTTGCCGCCCCTCCTCGAATTAAACGCCGCAATGAATTCCAACGAGGCAGCGGAGTCGTCTAATAAATTTCTCAAATGTGTTGCGCTTTCTTGCTTCGGTAAGCTTGCGGTGTATGCAATCACTTGTTTCAAGGACTCGTCGTCGAGCGGTAGGAGCTTCGCGAGGCGGGGAAGCGCCCAGGCGTCGAGGGCGGCGGGAGAGGACATGCGAGATGGCGGGAGAAGATTCAAGAAGCTCGGTTCTGTAGGCAGGTGCAGATAGAGAATGGTAAATCCTTTGGGATTCGCCCGCTCCAAGTTGTAAGGGCCTGGTTTGATGTGAGAGCTGGAGGTTGAGGGTTTGTTTTGTGTAGAGTTGGTCGACGAAGTGTGCATATGGCTGATAGCTATAGTTTGCGCTGGTCTTTTCCAACTGTGTAGTTAGGATCCCTGCAGCTCATAATCAAACTCTCCTCTATGAATACGAAGCTAAAATCGCATCACATTCTTTCAAAATCTATCAGGTACAGAAGCCCTGCGCTTTTCCTTCAAACCAACGCCTATAAAATTGCTCACCACCCAGTTCGAGGGGCACCAGCTTGACCTTTGCGCCATGTCGATTTGAAATCTCCATTGAACCATCGTTTTTCCTTTGCAAAGACAAGAAACGGGAACCTAGCAACTCAAACACCCAAGACCCAACTCATCATAAACCATACCACAGTCTATCAATCAATGGCCGACATACGATACTGACTAGCAACGATATTGCATCTGAGTTTCTGGCTCACTAAAGGCGATAGGCGTCACCTTGGTCAAAGCCAGCCTTGACTTCCGAGCCAGACGAGCTCAATGACACTGTGGCCTTCCAACCCCTTTCGAGTATAGGTCTGATGGACATTGTTCCCGACAACCATAGAATCGGAGAGCATCCACCGGTCTTTCTGGATTCCACGCTGGTCTTCAGGTCTCAGCGGACCTAGCCGATTTTCGTAACCTTTGCCATCTTCGCCCCAAGTTTTCTCTGTGTGGTCGAAGTTGATTGCGCGAGTGGGCAGGTTGACATCCATGGTGTATCGAACGAGGGAATAACCGTTGGTCAGCACCCAGAAGCTTCGTTTTTGAACTCCGGTGTGATCCGTTTCGACTGTCTCATCAAAGCGCCATCGTCGAAGGACCGAATGGCGTCCGGCAGCAACAGCTACGGTGCTCATCTTAGCCACATCCTTTTTGAACCAGGTATTCCAATGGTGCAAAGAATTGATCTCTTTTCCTGATTCAAAGACTCCATCTGGATTCCCCTGCATATCCATTTGGTATAAAGAGTCCCAAGTTGTCAGTTTCGTTTTCCCGTATTGCTTAATACATTGCCCGAGCTTCTGGTCTCCGGGCTGATCGCCAACGTCCTGGCATTGCCGATACACGGGTTGGAGAGCCTCGAGCAGTCCTTTGGAAACAAACACTCCAGCTCCTCCAAAGGCCATGCGCCCAAAATTGTTGACCTGCCAGCTAGCTTCAGACAAAGCGCCAATGTAATGTTTCTTCGAGGCATCCAATGTTGCAAGTTTGTTCGCAATTCTTGCCAGTGAGGGGAAGAAAGTGTCGTCATCAACGAAGCTGACCCATTTTGTGTGTGGCCGTTCCTCGTCGACAAATTTCATGAACGCTTCGACCAAGCCAAAGTAGCGAGCGGTGAATTCCAGAGGAGAAGGTCGCAAGCTGAGGTCAAGGCCTCGGTTCCGGAAATAGGCCTCCCGGGTGTCCAGATCGTTTCGATTGTCCGGCACTAGGACTAGGAGACTTGCTTTGGTGTTTCCGTAGGAGTACAGCAGGGATGGTAAAATGGCGTCCAGCCTTTCAACGGTCGTTGCGAGCCCAAATAGCAGCTGGTTTGTGCTGTCGATAGGAGGGTCCGCGGCGACGCTGACATCAACAATCGGTGGGCATGGCCATGGTTCGCTCTTGTTGGAGATCTTTAGGCCACGATCTAGCGCGCGAAACGGTGGCAATACTCTTCCCTCGATCGGTTCCAGCGATCTGAACTTGGTGTTTGCCGGGTGGAATTTGGCACGCATGTAGCTGCGTGTGTAGTTCTTGCGAATCAACCATTCTCCCAGGGAAACCGCAGGGACAAGGGTTTTGTCAGTGTGGCACATTTCGTCAGGCGTCTTGTTGGTGGTATCCGAATGCGAGTGAATGGAATTAGCGGAAGCCACTTGGCTCACTGGAGGGTCTACCTTGATAAGAATGGCATTGTCATATCGATCAATGCCCCAAAAAAAGAACGCAGTGATGGAAGCGGCAATGATGGAAATAAGGATGCGGAACTTCATAGGAGGCATGGTCAACACAGAACGAAGTGTCCGATGTCCCGGAACAGTTGGTCGAGTGCACCAGCCAGCTCGCTGCCCGTTCCTGAACAATATTTCGGAAGTAGAGGGATGAGTAAGGGCCGAATGACCGTGGATCAGAGGATGCACACTGGTCTAAACAAGGCAGGACGAAAGGAACTACCACAAAGGATCTTCGAAGATGCAAAGGCGCCTCGTTGGAGAGGAGGCGGAGGTGGACGGGAAGAAGCGGGATTTTGTAGAAATAGAAACGGAAACAGCTCTGGCTTCAAGTAGCTTGATGCTACAGCCGCAGTTGAGAGTATATTCGATTCCAAAGAAGCGAAGAAGAATAAGAAGAAGAGAGGGGAAAGAGAAGGGAGTTTAGAAGTTGCGGGATCCTCTTCTCTTCGGCAGCATCTCGCCATAGTCGGTGTCAACCTGTCAAACGGCTTAAGGTTGAGGATGGCTTGGAGCTCAACTCTGGATCCCAGGAACCGCGGAAGCTAGTTGATAGAGCCAACCACGGCGGACACAGCTTGAATACGTGGGCGCGAAGAGACAGTCCCCACGCTAATTACGCAGCATGCTGCATCATTCTCATCTTGCAGCAGCTTTTTTGTTGGAGTCGAGGGCTCCGTCTCTCCCCACCAGCGGCCGACAGACGTTCTTGGATGCTCGAAAATCCCTCTTGTTGAATCTCACTTATTCCGGGCCCACATGGAAAATTCAACTTGGAAACCCTTTTATCTCATATTCCGTCTTGTCGTTCTTTCACGCTTCTATCGAGCGTTGGGGACATACCGAACTCACGGTCATGACGAGATAATCAACTGTTGAAACAAAAGTCCCGAGGTGCGGAGTACGCTCGCTGCATCTTTATTTTGTCCGTCAAACGGTTCAGTTCGAATTCGACACAAGGTCTTAATCAAAGGGCTGGCCCGGCCGCGTGTTGCCTGGAGGTTGAACTTGAAGTCATCAAGTGGAGAATCGCTCTTGGGTTGTCGATATCATATTCCAGCCACAGCCGTTGTTTTCTCAACTTGGTAGCTAGAGAGAGACGTCTACTCCGTCAGAAGTAGTTGAATGACATTCCTGGCTTTCACGCAATTGAACATCTCGAGTACTACCTAATCAATCAAGGCACATCCCTACTGCTCACTGGTTCATCACAACTCGCTGATCGGAATATCATCGGCCCGACATAGGATCCGATAAGGCTATATAAATGGTCCCCCCAAGCGGGACCGGCCGGCTGTTGGCACTGCTTCAGCAATCGCGAGTCTTGTTGGCTTCAATGAGCCTACCCATTGATACATAGACGATGGCAAAAGACGAAAGGAAGACAGTTGTGGTTGTTGGGTGAGGCTACGAATCTACCCAGCCCTAGAGCCAGTCTGACAGCCTGATTCTAGTGCCGGGGCTCTGGGTCTCTCCTCGGCGCTCACATTGCTGAAGGCGCTTCCTTCCTCGAAATATCGGATACTGCTTGTAGCCTCCTACTTTTCAGCAGATGGCCCCGACCCGTCCTTCCCCAGCACGGCGGCGGGCGCTCACTACCGTCCGATCCCAGCAACTACTCCTCAATTGAAATTCGAGGCCCGTCTTGCGAACACAACATGCAACCGGTTCCGGAATCTCGCCGCAGAGCATCCGGAATATGGCATCAAGTTCCTGGAGGGCCGCGAATATGTCTCTGGCGAAGCTGCGCCTGCATACCAAGCGTTGCTCCCTGAGTATAGACAACTAGATGGATTCCGTGTGCTTAACGATGACGAAAAACCGACCGACGTCGAATTTGCGGCGAGATATGAAACGTATACACTTGACCCGGACACCTATCTCTTTCATCTCTTACGACGGTATAGACTAGACGGCGGCGAAGTGAAGAGAGCGGAATTGAAGTCTTTACAGGAAGCTTTTGAGCTGGAGGGCCATGATGTAGCTATTGTTGTGAATTGCTCCGGGATGGGATTTGGCGACCCCCAGGTGTTCATTATTCGTGGTGGGTCCCCACCTTCTAGTGGGATACTTGGTTTGATTGCTGATCGCTTCTCAGGACAAACCTGCTTAGTTGCAAATCTATGCGACAAGACGATTACACAGCAAGATGCCGACGGTGGATGGAGCTTCGTAATCCCTCGTCCCCTAGGTGGCGGCACTATAGTTGGTGGAACCAAACAGCCTAATGACTGGAACTCCCTGCCGGAGGCGAGTATACGGAACAATTTGCTCGAGAAGGCGGCAAAGCTCTACCCCGCCATGTTGAATGCAGAAGGAAAATTCGACGTGATCCGGGATATTGTTGGTCGTCGTCCCGCGCGAGAAGGAGGCCTGCGACTTGAAGCCGAGACGTTGCCAAGTTCCACATCCTCGAAAAGGACTGTAGTACATGCTTACGGTGCCGGGGGGCGTGGGTATGAGCTTAGCTGGGGGATTGCAGAGGAGGTATTGAGAATGGTCACGGATATCTTACCACAAAGCCTTTTGAGCCGACTTTAAAAGGGCAGTTTTCTGACCAAACATTGCTATGCCAGAAACAGATCTAAGCATCAGCAAGGCTCTTTTGAGCAAGCTTCAGGATTTGTGGAAAAGAATATCACAGTGGACCTGATTGTGTCATCGCCAAGTGACTTAAGAAGGGAAAGGAAGAAAGGCTCATCAAGAGTGAATAGGCACTCCGTGCGACGAAAAAAAAAAAGGAAAGATAATAGCATGTCTTGGTTTCGATCCAAGGTCCTCCGGGTTATGAGCCCGGCGCGCTTCCGCTGCGCCAACATGCTTGTTGACGTATCGAGGAGGCGTGGGATGCCTGAAAGGAACTACAATTTTTGACAAGTGGGGATGAGTCACCGGAAAATCAAATCCGAAAATTCGCCGAAAAAGAAAAAATAACATGGCAACGGACACGCATCTCGATGATTGTTTGGTTGGTTTACGGCCAGTCGAGGGCTGTCTGGTGGATTTTTTTTCTTTGTTGAATGTGAAGGCAATATGTGCTGCATGTGGTTTGGTTCGGCAGTACGATTTTTTTTTAACCAGATAACTAACTAGCGATAAAGCCATCTGCTTTTATATTTAAATTAATAACCCATATTAGTTATTCCTGTGATTACTGCCCATATGCGATAGCTTTTAACTTCATGCAATTTGAACCCGGAAATCGACCCTAAATTTGCCAAAATAAAAATAGAAGAGAAAGAGTAAGCACACTCACGGAAGGGACCCTTTTGTCGCCATATGATTAATGGTCTTTGATATAAGGATTGAGCCTTTCAATAATATCTTCGACTGTTGGTACGGGAGAGTCATCAACTTCACTCCGTGGAATATGAGGATTACCGCTGTGACGCGGGTGTTTTGGTGGAATCAAGACATCATTCAGGACATGAATCACGCCATCTCTGGTAATCACATCCGAACTCGCAACCGTGACGAAGCCGTTGATCTTCATGGTCGCGAAGCGATTGAAACCCGCGATATCGACGCTCAAACGGTGGTGTTCGAGAAGCGTTGGCAGATCAACCTAAGTAAATTCGTAAACTGTGAGTTACGTGTTTCGATATGTTCCCGGCCTTGAAGCCTTGCTATCGGGTATCTCACATGGATGGTCTTGCTATCATCTTCGTCCTTCTTCGGGTGATGATAGGCATCAGAGTACAGTGTATGGTTAAAGGCGATGTGGTATTCCAAGAGCGCCGTTAGGTATTTCTCTCCCCAACGGCTAAACAGGAAAGCGTTAACCCTTGGTCCAAGTTTGCGGAACGCCATGTTAGTCGGTGCAAAGAAAGTGCCTCCGGTATGGTTGCAGGTATCATTGATTCTCTTATAGAGGCCGGTTTTCATTAAGCCAAAATCAAATGAGCTGAAAACAGAAGGAATAAAGCTCAGTGTATCAGATGATTGGAAAGGCGGTAATAAGAAATGGTCGAGAACCTGGACAAATCCATTCTTCGCGCACTAGAATCAGTTAGACAATACCCGTGGCTTGGGCGGAAACGAAAATGAAACTGACCAGGTTAGGCTTAACTATACGGGAGATATAGTTGATTGTCAGCCCGGTGACGCCGAATTGGGTGCTAATTCTTTGAGCATGGTCCCCTAACTCGTCTTGCTCTAGAAGGGTGGGGATCGTTCTGGTGTGAAATATCCCGCTTAATGTTTTCGGCTCTTCTAAGATGTGATATTGGACGAATTTTTTCACGTATTCCTTTGGCGGATGGCAATTCACAACCTTTTCCAGTGACTGGGTCCTTGGGGCTAAGACTGTATGGTTTTTTTCTGTGGAGTTAAGTAGGTCAACAATATCCTCAAACTGGGAGATGATGTTTGCAAAAAGGGATGTTTCTTTCTTTGAACTCATTAACTGGTAGGTTGTTTTGTCAGGATGTTCGCAATGGCCATGGTGACCAAATAGGCTGGGGTTTCCCAGGCCCCAGTTCTCATAGTCGAGCCCATCCACATAACTTTGTGTATCGTCTTCCGGCCCCGCCTGATGCTGTAGTTGTGGATGATGAAGTGCCGAGATCGAGGACAATTCCACGTTATCTGATATCTCTTCGGTAAACGACGTAAATGACACAATATTGTTTTCAGCGTCACCGTTGTCCGGGACTCGTTCGGATGCAGTTGGGGGCACTGAGTCTATGAAAGGCTTCATATAATTCTGTCCTGGCACAATAAAGCCTGCCGCAGTACACGCGGCGGCGGATATCAAAAGGGTGCACTTCATCCTGGCAGATTTTGAGGTGAAGGTCGAGGCAGTCAATTACTTGAGTATTCAAGAGGTAACCTTCTTGCGTCTAGGATGACATAACTGATTGCTGGCAAGCAGCAACCCAGTCTTTGGTTCTGGCAAACTTCAACCAGTTCTAGCTTTTGACGGCATTGCCATGTTCGCTGGGTCTTATTCGCCCAGACCCGACTGAGCAAAGTTCCAGCATTATCATAGACCATTAGGTGAGATATAACTTTGATGAGCCAGACAGAAGACAGATGCATGGCCTGTGTGTCCCCGTTGCTATTTTTCATTCCCCCAAGTCCATCGCTACAAATTGAGCTGCTGTCAAGATAAGCATTCTCAATGACGTCATAGGAGCCGGCTCACTTCTGACTAAGCCAGTGTCTTGGCAGCCGTCTTTATTCCAACATCAAACGATCAACTTCCGCTTCCCAACATCATCGTCTCTCTTCAATTCGACATCAATGCGTGAGACAGTGAAAGGACACCTAGCCGGTTCGATTCTAGACTGCCAACGTCGGGCTCTCTCCGTAGCAGTCAGCAAAATGCTTTGCACAAGTCCCAAAGTCGACAGGACCAAAGGGATCCTCCGATCATAGCCTAGGTCCAATGGGAGTCCCATGCTCTTCATTTAGCCCGTGGCTTGTTGAAGTGCTGTCTTGTTCTTTTCTTCCTCCTAGGTTAGCATGCTAGACGTGTTAGCCGTGTTTTATCATTGATGAATACTTGGAGTCTCAAAAAGGGCGAAACTATTAATCCAGACCAGTCCATGTATCCTGATTTGCGCCCAAGGCTTTCTTCGTAGATAATTTCTTTTCAGATATTCCACCTGAGAGGCTTTTATTGAGATGTGCTTTGATCTGAACCGCTACATAAATAAACCTCGGAATAGTCCGCGTTGGATACAGCTTGGATACCACTAGCTTTGTGTTCACGTTGGCGTTCCCTAGTTGCCGAGCACACTTTGTTTTGATCAACGAGTATCATTTGCGCTCTTGTCGTCTCTCAAGTAACCTAACGCGCTACTTGTAATCACCTATTCTCTCTTTCATGATTCATCGCATTTAACCTCGCGTTACTTTTCGCGGCTCCTATGCAAAGGGGTGCGAATTGCCTTGAAATTGCTCAGTCTTAAAGGGTCTCATTCTTTTTCCGGATAGCCAAATCTTCAGTCATTGGTTTGTTTAGCCTTTATTAGCTTTGAATTTTCATACAAAGGGTATTTCTCCAGCGTATTTGGTATTCGCTCCTGAACCATCGCTCGAGTTCGCTGTTTACGCCAACTGCTAACCATTCACGTTGCTTTTCAGAGCCCCTGTATTCTAATGACGGTTCTTCCTCTTTCATATGGAGAAGGACGCGTCTAGGGTTCGTCCTCGATCGCAGCGGCAGCCACTTTGCGACGCTAGCAACCGAGCCAACATCGCTCCGGTCTCTGTATGTCAATCACGTTATGATTCTGCAACACTGTCTTCAGAGAAACAAATGAAGTCCCCGGACCCCACCGATCCCCAGAGTGACCCCAACTACCCAGCCATAATTGCGGAAAATAAGCGACTGTCTGCTGTTATCGATTCTCACACGGATTCTAAACGTAATTCGGCCATCTCGACCACCTCCGCGGATTCGGGGAGGTCAAGGCGCAAAACCCATATTGGCCCATGGCAGCTGGGGAGAACACTGGGAAAGGGATCTACTGGGCGAGTTCGTCTGGCAAAACATGCTATTACAGGCCAATCTGCGGCAGTTAAAATTGTGTCCAAAAAATCGGCTGCCTTAGCCCAGAGCCAGAGTATTGCGGCTATGGATAAGAATATTTGTGCGGCGCCAGGTTCTAGAGCAATCCCGTCTGGTATTGAGAGAGAGGTCGTGATTATGAAACTCATTGAACATCCAAATGTTATCAGCCTATATGACGTTTGGGAAAACAGGGGAGAACTGTGAGCCTTTTGGTCTAAAGCCTAGAGGAGTTATCTACTAATCTCCGTTCATTTAGATATCTCGTTCTTGAATACGTAAAGGGTGGCGAGCTTTTCGACTATGTCTCGGAACGGGGCGCACTTCCAGAGATTGAAGCCGTACGTCTCTTCAGGCAAATCATCGCTGCGTTATCCTACTGCCACCAGTATAACATTTGTCACCGCGACCTTAAGCCCGAAAACATTTTGCTCGACTCTCAACGAAATATTAAACTGGGCTGATTTTGGAATGGCTGCTCTGCAGCCCGCAAGGCCATTGGTTGAATACGTCTTGCCGGTAGCCCCCATTACGCTTCGCCCGAAATCATCAATGGATACAAATACCAAGGCCGATAAGGCTGATATTTGGAGTTGCGGAAATTATCTTATTTGCTATGCTAGCTGGTTTCCTTCCGTTTGATGGCGGAGACTTACAAAGCACGCTGAAACTCGTGAAAAAAGGTGAATACATTCTACCACCATGGTTTAGCCCTGAAGCCGTAGATTTGGTCCAGCGAATATTGCAAAAAAAGCCCGAGAACAGAATCCGCATGGACCAGATGTGGTTGCACCCTCTTCTTGCAAAATATCAATCGCACCCGGTCATTGCTGACTCTCCAATCGAGTCCATTGGGCCACCACCCCCTTTGCCGTCAAAGGATTTCAAAAAGATAGTAAGTCATCGTCGTGACATTGATTCTGAAATCCTTAGGAGTCTGCAAACATTATGGCATGGAAAGCGAAGGGAGGAATTGATTGAAATGCTGCTTAACGATGGGTAAGTTTACCGTCTCCCCGCATGCTTTCCACCGTTAACCACCCGCCATATAGAGCGAACCATGAGAAGCTCTTTTACAAGGCGCTATTAAAATTCAGGGACGAGCAGCTTGAGAACTATGAAGGTCCCCCTCTGGAATATTCTTCTAGCGACTATCACCATGTCTCAAGGCCAATGTTCAGACCATATAGAAGGATGTCGAGCAACCATGGTGAAAACAACATGTGGAAGCGCTCCAAATTCTCCATCGCCACCAATACCTCGGGTCTGAGAGAAAGTTCTAGCAGAGTCCCATCGTCCGCACGAACTATTGCGAGCTACGACCCTTACAGGTCATCACGAACGGCCATAGCAGATCCAAAGGTTGAATATGCCAATGTTACCATTCATAGACATTTCTCAACCGACTCCGACCCCGCTCTGGGTTCAAGATTGTCACCCGCCATTGGAGAATCAACAGGAGTTCCCACTTCTTTTAATATGCCATCCTCATCAAACGACGGTCCATGGAGTTCATCGAGACGAAGCTCGCTGGCATCCTTCCAATCCCGCAGCTCCATCGGGAGCTATCGCCAACGAGTCAAATCTGGTTATGGCTATAAGAAAAATGTAAGCTTTCGCCATTTGCAAAGCCATGCTCCCAGCAAACGTCGTCGTCGAGTCGAAGCTCCCCGGTTACAGTCCCAATATTCGCTGTGTGAAGGAAAGCCGAAACTGCCAAGTCATCAAACTGAAAGAGCGAAAAGATTATCTACAGATAGATTTAGCAGCCCCTCGCTGCCGTCGCCACCAACCTGCGTTCGTCAAGCAAAGAATAGGGTTGGCGAATTGGAATTGGGAGCGAAATCACGCCAATCTTATCAATATTGGAAGGAAGAAGCTCGAAAGGTATCACAGGAGTTAGAGCAGATCTGTGAGGAGGCCTTCAATAGCTCATCCCTCTCGTCTTCACGCACAATAGAAACTGGAACCAGATACCCAGAGTCGCCTGTCACCTCAATCTCCACCCCTGGAAACCTGAACAGTTACTATGCCCGGAAGAACCTAGTACCTGTACAGGAGGAAAGCCTTGAATCCTCTAGCTCTTATGCAACCCGAGAATTAGCTGAAACACGTCGCCGCCTAATCGAACATTCAAACCAAGCAAGTGCTGATGGGCTACCCTCGTATCTTTCAGAAGTCATTGCACATTTGGACCGCTTAATTGCAAACAAGTCCTCTGCTAAAACAACTAATGTTACGACAGCCGTGGCTGAACAAACTCAGACATCCTACAACTCCAAGGAGAAACTGCAGTCCATTTCAGAAGAGCGGCATATCGTAAAGAATTTTCTTTCCGGTGAAAGCGATGCCAGTTATTCCCCTATTCCTTTAACTCTAAATGACTGGGGGAAAAGGAAGACAATTCGAGCGGTACCTGACTCAACTAATAACCTTGGTACTATTAAACCGTTGACTATCCGCAAAAAGCGTACGACTCTTGAGTTCCCGGTCCATCCCATTGACGCTCCATCTCCCGAAGAGCAGCAACGCAGTTCGAGCGAATCCATTGCTCGCAATCGATCCGTTCCTCGGCGAACCACCGGGCGATTCTACAGTGGTCTTGAGCCCATTGAAGAAAATCCGAGATCACCGAAGAAAATCGAAGCCCGAAACTCTGGAGAAAGCAGAAAATGGTCTTGGTTTAAGCCCAATCCTCAGAACTGCGAAAGTGCTGGGCCCTCAAGGCCACCAAAGGACGTATATGTCTCATCAAGACAGTCGTCAATTTCCAGTATGGTGAATCATAGCTCCCAAAGCGTTGGGGACACACCTGCTATTGAAGATAACAATTTGAACTGGTTCAAAAAAAGTGGACCAACAGAGAAAGGGAAGAGACTCTTGAAATTTTTTGGTAGGAAAAAACACGACAGACCGGCACTTGAACTTGGGCAAGAGGGTATGCATGGACCTAAAAGACATTTTTGGCTCTCACGAACTAACGTATAACTAGTCAACGATAGTGATTTCGCTGTCAGTTTAGGCAGCAAGGATGAGAGTGATAATTCCGATACTAGCAATCCGGCGGATTCGACCTCGACCAGACTTAGCTACACGAATTCGCCAACCTTACCGGCTTCGAGTCAGAATTGGTTCGTGAAATTCTTCCATATCAAGCCCGCGACCAGAACCATTGCACTCAACACATCCAAGTCGCGTGCTCGACGGGAAGTCCTCAAAATTCTCCGAGAATGGCGAAAGTATGGGATGGAGGACATTTATTTTGATAAGCAGAACAGTCTGATACGCGGTAAAGTCGCAGAATTGAATTGTAAGCACTTGAGAATTCATGTCGACGTTGCGTTTAGTGCTAACGAAACTGACAAGTTCTGCGTCTTCGTCCGGTCGAATTCTCTGCGGAACTCTTTACTGTACTTGAATATGGCCGCCACGTCAGCCTCAGCCTCATGAGATTGAAACAAGAGCGCGGCGCTGCGTCCTCTTTCCGAAAAGTCGTGGAGACATTGAGCGTAGTACTCCAGCAACGCAAATTACTTGTTGAGGATTCAGGAAAAGCGAAGAAAATGGCAAAAGTCCTCAACCTTACAGTTCAGTAGAATAGGGATAGATCTCTTTTGGGCGCAAGGCCGATATCAGCAGATGGTTTGCAGTTGGCTGAACAACGAAAATCCCAAAAGTAGTTAGGATAATGTCAAATTTCACTTCGTTTTACTTTCACTTTTTCTCATCTCTGCATGGTATTTTCAGCTTTATCCGCAACCTACTAATCGATTCCGCACCACTAGTAGCGGACACCGGGCCGGGGCATGGAGGGATGGCTCCGCCCCGCCCCGCGGGAGCCCCGCTTCCCGCTCCGCTTTCCCCGGAAGTTTTGTCGGGCCGAATTAGCACGTTGAGGCTCTACTAACAAAGCTTGGTTAACTAGCCGGCCAAGAAAGGGAACTAGCGGAAACTAAAAGGCGGAATGCAACTTGCACGGGCTTCGAGGCTAAAGTCGGCCTACAGAAGCCTCAAAACCACCAACTACGAACTATACGCAGATGGATGTTGGGAAGAATGAGATAGTTGGGGATCCCCAAGGGTGAAGGATGGGACGCTGACACATCATCCCAACAAACATTGAAACAGTTCTGGTCATTTCCAGCCTCATAATGGGCATTAAGAATTATGCACAAGACGTCAGGACAGCTCGGAATAAGGAAACCGTCAAGGAGTTCCATGGCTTAAGTCCCAGTAGGGAGGCCTTTGATGACGCAGATCCTCAGAAGAACAAAGGGACTCAACAGAAAACAGCAGAATCATGAGAACAGAAAACGAAGAAAAGAAGCAATCAGATAGCCGCCCACCCATCCATGTCCTAGTATTCATTCCACTTTTGCATTCCATAGAATCCGAACCGGGTGCCCAACGTGGTGTTTTCATGCCCCCCGCCCACCGATGTCGCTCGAATGCAATCTATTAACAGAAACCAAGGAACCGGAGACAACGGAAAGCAAGCAAAACCATTGCCGGAAGCATTTCGCTAAAAGAGGAACAAAAAGACATCGTAAATCAGATAACGCAACGTCGCTGTGGTTTCCACACTGCCATGCAAAAAGTTTGCAGGACGAATAATAATCAGATAGCCGCCCACCGTAGGCCCGGATGTTGCCTATGTTTCAATGCAGAATAAAAAAGAGTCTGAGAACATGCAGCGTAGCTCGAAAAGCAAAAAAGGATAGGTTAAACAAGCAAATACAAACGAAGGGAAACAAGTAAGCCAGCGTACCATAGTTTAAATATCTGATTAGTGGGTCGCCCCAGGTTATTTTATAAATCTTTTGCTGGCGGGAGAAGCGGAAGTGATTAGTTTCAAAGCAAATAGAGGTAGGGAACTGGAAGAGCGTTGGCGACGGAATCACCGGTAACCCCCGAGCAATATCGACGTACGACGAAGGGACGTTAGAGCAACGCAATTTCGACACGAGAGCCAACATGGTAGCTTCAGAATATGCTTCAGTATGTTCCATGGTATCGGATCCGGCTGGACGGCCCAGACGCATGAGCAATACGTGACTCAGGCCTGTAAGAAGTTCTTAAACCCGTCCGCACATCTCGCAGCTCCCTGAACATTCTTTCCTTTGAAACGGAGAAAAAGTGCTCTTTGGAGGTCTTCAAGTGTCTGTCGTCGAAAGGAAAATTGCAGTTGCCAAACCCCCACGCACGGGTTATCTGCTAGCTGTCGAAATGGCTCTGTTTGACAAGGAATCGAGTTCTACATGTTCCCATGACCAGCATGGGAAATTATTCGTCAAGGACTTGTCGTTTGCCGCGAGAGGTTTTCGGCGAATTGGATCAAATGATACGCAGTCACGCGATACGACCCCGGTTTTCCACCCATAACACACCCGATATAGCCTAATGGCGAGTTCCTTGGGCCCCTATCGTCCCAGCCCTCGTCTATCCAGCGCGCTGACCATGCGGTTATCGGTATCGCTGCGCGTATTTTCTGCCGGGACTAACATGTCCGTTACACTGAGGCCGCTGCGCCTAGCTGCAGAGGCCTGCCCGGGAGGTGGAGTTTGTCGCGACTCGGTCGAAGGCTGCGGGAGCGGCTGTAGGGTTGGGTAAGGGAGAGTGGGAGCCGAGGGATTAGCGCCGGGTGGTGGATTGTGGGACTGATCAAACGAGTATGATGAGTGTGACGACAATCTTCTCGTATCCTGGCCAGCGGGGAGGTAAGCGGCGCCGGAGGTTGCAACAGAGACCGGGGGAAGAGTTGGGGGCTCAGAATAGTCGTAACCAGGACCTGAGTCACGTTGTCCTTGCGGTGCTCGCTGTGGGGACGACCGGGAAGAGTTAGAATTTGACGCGGACGGAGAATGACCACGAGGGTGAGACAGGGACAGTTCGCCAGGATGGGGACGTTTTCGACTCACAGGATCATGAACCATTGGCGGATGGGCCATTGATGGCGTTGAGGCTGGTGGCCCTGGCGGTCCTGATACTGGTTTCCCGTATGGTGGTTGCGGCTGCTGGTACATCATCACCGGAGGCAAGGCATTTTCCTGCCCATGGGGAGGTGGCGCCGGAGCAGTCGACAATGGTTGGCCATGGGCACCATAGAGCATTACACCACCTGCCGGTATCCCTTGCATTCGTGCCGTCGCCTGAATATTACGAAGATGTGGGTAGGCAGTGTGGGCGGGGACAAAAGCCTGTGTCTGGGAAGAAACCGGCATGAACATGCAATCCTGGTTAAACCGTACGCAATTGCTGCACCGGCCATCCTGGGACGTGTCGAATCCGGAACAGCGAATCTATGGCATCCAAACAAGCATCGATTAACACTGGTCAGTCAGTACGCCTGTATTTGAACTACACACCTTCCGTCTACGACAATACCGACAAGCTATCGCGGTCCGTTGTCGTGGAGCAGCGGTGGGATATACGACGGGCGGCGCTGGAGGAGCAGCAGGAGGAGCGTACATTTCTGGTGGATGCGGGTATGGAGGCGGATGGGAGAGACGGTAGGCATCCGGCGGGGGGTGCTGGACGTGATGCTGAACCGTGGCCATGCCAGGTGGAGGAAGCGGCGGGGGGTACTGAGTGTAGGGAGGCGGCGGTTGAGTGGGCGCAGCCTTTAAGTTGGATGTTAGATGAGTGCTTCAACGGTTGAATGAGGCGAGGTGTGTCAATGGGATGCGGAAGCAAAGTGGTTGCATGTGAGAGAGAAAGGGATGGTTTGGTGTACACGTCAAACGAGGCAGAAAGAGAGCGGGAGGGCAAAGATATAGAAGAAATGGGACGGGCTCAGACGGAAAGACGGGTGCCCAAAGGCAACAAGCAGGTCACAGTGGAGAAGGGGAAGGGGTTAGAAATACGGACAGGATATTGAGGGTAGTCAGGTTGGCCGGCGGTCCACGGTGGCGGTGGAAGCTGTCCTTGACGGTGGGACTCGTTGGACATTTGCGGCCTTGTGAGCGGTAAGGCAGGCAACTGAATCCTTCTTATATCAAACTAATTTTATGTGCGTATCGTGCTGCAGTTGGGGGGAGCAGGGATCAGCTGCAGGAGTGCCAATGCAGCCCTTTTCCCAACGCTGCTGCAAAGCGAATGACGGCACGAAAAAGCGGGACCGTCCGGGACAAGGATTTTGGGCCGAATGGGATGCTGTTCTTCTTTTCTTTTTTGATTTCGGATGCTAGGCGCCAACGATGCCCCGACAACGACGAGTGGAGTTCGCGATTCGTGGATCTCGCATAGCCCTTTTTTTTGGTGACAGAGAGTGAGCCTGGCACAGGAACCCTTTGAAGATGTGACTGTGTGCGCAAAGATGGAATGGGGGGGGAGAGAAATACCTGCTCGAGACTGAAGTTGTGCAGACAAACGAGGTCAAGGATGTAGTTCTGAAGCCGGTGCGAGAGGCGAGAGGGAGGCAGTCACTTCCTCCTACTCTCTCAACAGCGAGGCGCCAAAAGTCAGGATGGGCCCAGGACGGGGGATGCCCGATGAACAGTCTTTCTGTACAAATTTCGCGCTGTCGCTTTTTGGCTACCGGCTGCTACTGAAAAGCCCGAGGAAACTGAAAAATATGTACAACCCGGCTGGCCGGGTGTCTGAGCCAAACGTGTCCGTTTTTGCGTGTGTCTGTGAATCAACAAGCCCAATCCGGGTCTTTTGTCAGTGTATTAGTTTAGTCCGGAGTGTGGCAGACGAAGCGGTGAGAAGCTTTTGTCCCCAAAGACCCAATTGGGGCCCGCAAGGATCGTCCAACTGGGGAGAAGAGGAGCAGAAGAGGAGGTCAACAAGCTCGGATAAAGAGATGCCAGGTGATCTTTACGAACGCAGCCAAAGCAGCAAGGGAGAGAAGGAAAGCGGCTGTTTACCTGATGACGATTGATAGACGCACCCAGAATCGGCTAGACTAGGACCCAGACAGGCGGGAACGGGAGAACTACAGCTGGGGGCGAGGAGAGAGAGGGGAAAACGAGAGAGACAAAGGGAATGTGAAAGGGAGGATGGCGGATTTGATATGTTGCAAATGACACGGAGAGAAAAGATGGAAAATTGCACTTTGATTGCTCGGTTTACGTCTGTCGATAAGAAGATTAATTCAGCCCACCGTCCCCAACGCAACCGAAAAGTTACCAAAGAGAACGGAAAAATTAAGGGAAAAAAATCGATAAATGGAGAAAGCGAAAAACGAGAGAGAAGAGAACACCAAAGGCGCGTGCCGTGCGTCTCTCTCACTAGAGGTTCCACTCCTCGCAGTGTAGGTTCAACCTAACTCTCTTCCGGCATCCTCTTTTTGCCCTTCCTTGGGCTTGGTTCCTGCTCAACCATGGATGCGATGGAACAGGATGGATTCGCTTGAGCTGGGATCAGCATTGCTCTCTGCAATCTCGCCTGACCGGGAAGCGATGCTTCAACAATCGCCTGATGTCCCCCCAAGACCACAAAGCCAAGATATATTAAAAGCCCGTATCGACTGGATTAGCATGCTCACTCTTGAATGCTGGGTGTAACCGCCCGGAATCAGATCTCCTTCGATGTCCTGGAGAATTGTATCTCAATTCTCTCAAGTACAGCCCGCCCACCCACCTCGGAGGATCCCATCCGACGGAAAAGCGAAAAGGGAAAAGGAAGAGATGACATCGAGCGTCATTTGCGCCCACAGCAAATCAAGAACCAGAACACCCTCGCCTCCAATAATGCGAGATCCCTGGAACAAGCAAGGGGGCAAATCATTCATCGTGGCTGGTTGAGCGGAGGGCGGAAGGCTAAGCAAGGTACCGCTGTCTTGGTTTCAACTGTCAAGCCTGGTTGAGATTCTGCACACCGAGCCATCTGAAGATGACGCTTATCCCGCGATGCCTTTCCATCGGTCTTGTTCTTACAACCCTGCGATCAGCCGGGATTGCCGTCTTGATGCCCGTATCAGGCTGGTTTTGTTGTTTCAGGTTAGATACCTTACCATACCAAAACGCCGCCAAAACAGCGCTGAAGAAACGGCCATGAAGTATCAACATTCCATCTTCTTGTCAAGCGGACTGTGCAGAGGAGGGTGATGGTGTCTGGCAAAGCCATCATCGAAAAGATGCCATCAGATCCAATAGATCTTTGTTGGACCGTTGATCTCAAACCAGTAAAAGTTTCCACCGCCCAGACTTCAATAATGATGCTCACATCCCCCGTCACAAGCTCCCAGCAAAAGGGTCTTGTGCTCGGTTTTCGCCGCTTTCTCCCCATCTGCCATTGTCAACATCACGATAGTGGCGAAATGCGTCGTCATAAACTCTTCTACCCCACCATCTGCGGCTCCCATATCAAAATAGTTCAGCTTGGTTCAATAAATCCATGTATTTCCCGCCATTTAAACAGCCAAATTGACTTCCCTCCCATTGCACACGGTAAAGGTTATCCGGCATATTCCCACTGCGGAACGGTGCGCTGCTGCATCTCGGAACCACCCTCCCTCGAACCTCAATTTGAGCATGGTCAGCTGTGGACCGGAGTTACTAACTGCCGAATTGCAAGCATTTTAAACCACCAAATCTGGCAGATTCAATCCTGTGCATTGTCCGGGCCTTCTCTCGCCCGCTCTCCTCTGCATCAGCTCCTTTAGCTGAGCATTATATACACCCATCGCGGTTTGGCAAAATTACGATTGATTACGTAAAATCAGTGTGCATCCACACGGGCTCCATATGACCGCGGTCATGGATGGACCGGAATAGTAATTGAGTGGACTCTTGTCAAGGGGTATCTGCACGATGAGCTTTGTGTCCTCCTGTCTGTACGACTTGATTGTCTTTTTTCAGCCTTAGCCGCCAACGGAACATGGTGGGGTTGCATGAGTCTTGTCAGGGGCACGCAGCCGTAGCCAGCTCAAAAAGAAAAGTAATAAAATGTACGAGGCTTTTATTGCCTTAGAGCCCCGTTCTTCCTCTTCTTCCGGCCGGAAATCAAGTCGGAGCAATGCCTCTCTCCCATCTTGCTTTCTAGGCTCTGCAGCCTCGGTCAAAGGGACCACGGTTCGAAATTATTATTCGCCAATTTGACGTATGTCGGCTTTCGGACCATGTAAAGCCCATGCTAAAAGTTGGCTTGACTCGGTTCCAGTGGCCTTCGGGTGTTCAGATTCTAGATGAGCCTCTGGAAGAAACAGAATTTGACCAGCGGATTGAACCAACAATTGGACCTGTTCACAGGTGCAATCAAAAAGCGTGTCATAACACTGATAGTCATGAAAAAGCTTTGAATTGCTGCGTGCAGGGCGAGGGGGTCCACACTACTGATCGCCGAAAAGGTTAAACCCGCGCAACACGTTTTTCAAAAGGCCTCTTGCGAGGATGGAGCATCTCCATGCTCCGTACGGAAAACTATATTTGGATGGGCTGAAGTATGAACCATGTATGGCTGGACGTTTGCCTGGCGCATACGTGGCCAAATTCCAACTTCGTTTGCATGTAGATGTACATCAAGATACATATCGAAGAGCGGCGACCGTGGTTAAGGCAAGCCCACGGGCCGTCCTTGCAGCGACTCGCTCGACGGGAAGCGTCATACCCGTCGAGCATCGGCAACCTGTGCGCGAGAAGGCTGCAAAACATACGTGACAGCGGATGAAGGTGCGGGTGGGTCGTCTGCAGCTGGACTCTGAGTGGCGAACGGAGTGGAACCTTGGCGAAAACTGGTCTTTGAGCGATCGACCCTGTATCTGCGAGGTCAAGCATCATTATTTTCCTCTTTTTGTAACCGAACATCTGGGACCTGCGGGTGTGCACGCGAGGGCCGTGGCGGACCTTGCCTTCTGGATTCTCCATCCTCCAGCTCCTTGACTTTTTGAACGCATGTCAGCCCTCCACTTCGCCCAGAGCCAAATACTCACCGTCTTTATGATGCAATTGATCTTGCACGGCGCGATCCTGCCCGACACCTTATTTTAGATCTCTGCCATTTTGAGGTTGCACAGATGACTCTCAAAAGAGAACTGTGCATGTTTCAGACCGAGTGATGGCACCACACAACTCGGCAGTCTGTCGCCAGGACTCGCTGGGTGACTGCGGATGTCTACCGGCCCAATAGTGAGCGCGCGTCGAGGAAACGTGGAATCAAGGATGGAATAGAGCGGTGAGACGCCGTGCGGGGGGGCAGATAGTCGCGTTGGTGGCTTGTTCCTGGGAAAAGTCTCAGCTCCAAGAGCCAAGCTGTCATGAGAGCGATCCAGAATACCACCAATCAACTCGCAACACTTCCGTCGCCCAGCGAAGTTGTGAGATGCCGGATGCAGCTGAAGTGGAAAGACGATTGTCTGTAAGGCCGAAATGCGAATCCTGCTTAATAAGCTGATTTGGCGGAAAAACTCTTCGGCGGTGGTAACCAGATTTCCGTATCGTAAGTTACGGTTTGTGACTATCAGGCAGGCTTGAATTACAACACGCTGCTTGCACCACGACTCAACCGGCATCAAGGATTCCCCCTTCCCATCACCGGCAAAGACTCGCCCTGTCATCAAATCAAACCCGCTGGAACGGCTTTTCTCAACAAGTTGGACAATCATGGATGGATTCGACTTAGCCCGGTCACCAGACTATGCATGTCTGCGGGCGGAATTTCAATTGCGATTTTCGTCGCGATGAAACTGTCTTGGTGCAGCCGCCCCTCGCCTTCTGAATCGTATTTACGAGCCGAAAGTACATGCAGGCGCCAACCTGTTGTTAGAACCGAGAACAGTTTGCAATATGCTGCGGACCTGCAGTTTCCCAGCTGAACTTCTGCCCAGGATTCATGAGGACCTGTGATCGGTTATTCACGAGTTAAGCGGATAAGCGCGGTGTGTAAAGCCAAAGATCTTGTTTTTACCGAACCATGAGAATCCAATGGCAGCGTGGAGGCATTCCAAATTGCATGTGCAAAACCAGGGCCGGGTGTTTTGGCGGAGGTTGGCTCAGCCCATGGAAGGAGTGCACCTCGGTTATCGAAAAAAAAGAAAGAAAAAGAGAGAGGAAGAATGGAAATAGCTGCCTGTTTCCCTTCCCCTGTGTTCCCGTTGTCTCCGCATGGCCCCAGGATCCCGGGAAATCTTCAGTGTCCTTGCACAAGAAGATCGACTAGCGGGCTGCGGGCCGCCCCGATTCGAAACGGCGATCTCCAGGCTGAGCTGTTTGCAACGACGGCGGAAGACAAGAACCTAATTTTCAGTAACTGAAAAAAAGAGAGGGAAAAAAGCAACGAAGGGAAGATGGCAGGATTTGGATCTTGATTCCCATAGAAGCCAGTTCGATATCGTGGGTTTAATTGGCCCTACTTTGTCTGCGCTGCACGACGCTCTGGATATGCACAAGCGGCACGTTGCATTGCGGACAGATCATGTGTCCTGTCACCGGGTATGCAGGCGGCAGATAGCTGAGTATCCATTACCTATTATTAGTCCGTCAATTGTGATTTTTGCGACATTTGATGCGTGTGAGCATGCAGGCCGATCCTTGCTGCCAGTCTCGAGGCCTGATTTCCGTTTATTTTTTGTAGCGAGAAATTATCCCATTTCATTCAGCTCAGTGCTTGAAACATGGTTTCCTTCAAGCTGGCTCTGATAACGGGCAACGTCTCACCCTGTGAGCGCGGCAGCCACGCTAAGTCGCGGCTTGAATGGAATTCTCGTCGAGTTGGTAAAAGGCGGTGTCGAAGAGTCAGCGCGACGCGTGCAACAGTATTGACCGACTTTTGTGTGAACCATTTTCCTTTTCAAGTTCTGGTTGTCCCTTTCGCTCTCTCTTGCTTCTGATGCATCCAAAATGTTAATCCCACACCGCCTTGTTGTCCGCGTCCGCCTCCGAGCCCTTCGCGCCAACCACATCAGGGCTCGAAATGCAAGAAACACATGCAGGTGGCAGTCGTCATTTCAGCATCTGCGAGCTCGTCCTTCGGTTCTTTTGTCAACACGACGAACCGAATCCACTGCAACATCGGCAAGCCCCCTTCAATTTCCCACATAAGCCTTCACATCCCGCCTACCCGCCCTACCCGCCTGCCTGTGCCTTTTGGGCTGCATGAGCGCGCGGGGGGAGCAGGGGTCTGCTTTTGAAGCCGTTGGGCAGCAAGGAATATTCACGGCACTACTCCGTACGAAGAACCATCAATAATGACAATCATGAGCTGAGGATGCACCGCAGGCATTGCCCACAAAGGTACCCATACGATACGACGCTCGAATTCAGCGCTAGCGGAGACAGAACGATACCGTCCGTAATGAATGAAATACCGTGACCTTGGCAGTACCCAAAGAATCCCCGGCGACGTCCACGTCTGTCGGGTCGAAAGATGCCCACGACTGGACGGCCGACGCTTGTCGTCACAGCCAGCCAGTCACATGGACGATGATGGACGTGGTGGCCGCCAGCTGACCCGTCACAAAGGAGAGAGTCTCAGGACCAAATCAGATGGGCGGTCCCGGCACTAATGCGAGGCAGTCACCGCCGGTTGCGCAAAACCCGCGCTTGGCCCGATTCGCAAGGTGGGGCGGGCCTGCCGGCTGTGACGCGCTGCGCCACATCCCTGGCCCCTGTCGCTTCCGCTTGACCCGCATACGCTGCTGGTCATGTGCTCTAAGCTCAGCCAATGGCCCGCGCCCCTGCGCCCCACCGCACTCCCGCCATCGTTGCGTGCCAAGCCTGCTTGGGATCCCGGCCGGGCGGGTCGTGGTCTCTCCGGGAGCACACCAAGGCCAACCTCCCCCAGAGATCGCGACTCGGCGCGATATGCACGGGTCGAAGCTGCTGTGATCGAGGACCTCCATGTCGCCAGTCTCGCTGTCCGGTTGCAGCGATGATGTTCAATTCCATGTCCATGTCCAGTATTAGCCCTGCTGGTTCTCTGATATGAGCCTAGAGTTCCGCTCCCCAGGGTCTTCAAAGCCTGGCTTCGCGTTGGCTGCAAGAGGAGACCCAACATCCTCGTCCGTTTCCTTGACTGCTCAAAGTCAGGATCTGTACTCCGGATGCACTGCGCCATATGCACTGCTTCGTTGTCCATATCACATTTCCCGCATAGCCTTACCTTCCCGTTGTGAGCACATACATACGCGGCCCCTCCCGCTCAAGCAGCCAGATCCCCTTGACGACAAAACGACCACCACGTGTCACGACATGCGACGCTGACTCCTTGCCCAGCAGCGACGGTGATCAAGGACAAGGCTTCCTTCTGAAGCTGGGATCGCATCAGATGGGAGAGAACATCAAAGCCTTGTTGGGCACCAATGCAACGATGAGCTCCGTACTCCGTAGTTGCCTCTCTTTCTCCTTTTCTAGACTCCCCCGACCATTGACCCGGCCCCCTGGATGGGTGAGGCATTGATGGGTGGTTGAAGGCGCCGGAAATGGCCATATCAAATTGCCCACAATTTCAAGAGACATGGAGGTCTCACATGCCCCTGGGTAAATGGATTTCGATCCGGGCGCCGCCGTTGTGCGTCCCAACACCCAAGAAAGCTCCAAAAGAAATACTCGAGTGCTTGATTCTATAAGATCTCCAAGGCTGGGTCAAATCCATACCACATTTGCGATGGGATGCTGGGATTATCCGTTTCTCGAACTGAGTGGGCTCCCTCCGCCATACTGGACGTGATTGGTTGTTTTGGTACCTACAGGGCAGGGTCTTTCATGCTCCGCTCAAAGCTCGTTAGAGAAACTTCCCCGCGTCTAGAGATACTCTTCGGGGCGATGTCGAAGCCCTGTTTGGCTAATAAACCTCATCTATTTGGTCTCTACTCGCTGTTGACTCGGGTTCACTTTCATATCCGTGTATATTTACCCTGATATAGTTATCTCTCTAACTTGCGTTACCATTTTATCGCCTCTGGAGATAGTTACAGATTTCAATAGTCATGCATACCCAGCAGCTACCATTCTTTACAGAGCACACGCCAAATCAACAATCTGGCATCAGAAAAATATTTGCAATTTCATGCATCGGGACCGGACTCCATTGCAGGTGATCACATGGCACCGCCAAATGTAAGATGTGCTGCCCAAATCAACACCCGATATTACCAGTCATCACGCATAGAAACCCTCAATCCACGAAACGTCTCACCGCACACCAGGTAAAAACTTTTTCTCCAGGTAGCCTCAGCTTCCCGGCCCGTCTTTTAGACAAACCGCAAGTAGTACGTACCATGGCGATGGCTGGCCATGCTTCTCCAGAGGATCCAAGACGCCCTCTTCTCTTTTTTCCCCTTCGTTGTGGGAGCACTCGAGAAACGCAAGTAACTTTCCTCCAGTGGATGTTCTCGTGTTTCATGATAGGGATCATGGCCTTGGACTCCCATACACCCCCTTCAAAACGTTTGTCAGGATCTTCCAGTCCTTCTCAGAATTATGGTACGCTATGTTTCGAAGTATCACCCTTCCACAAAGCGACCGGAACGTTAATTTCCTTTGGTCATCAAACAAACGAATCCATTATTATTTCGAGGATCTCTAGCAACCTGAAAGCGTGATCAAGTATTCAAACTCTAGATTTCCCAGACTTCTGGAAGGTTGGTCCCCTTTCCTCCCTTCCGGACGTGGGTGTCAAGGGCTCAACATCGGGCAGAAAACTTTCGAATTTCTCTCGTCGATTTGGATCAGGTGGGCTCGAGCTCGCAATTACATCTTGCGTAAACTTCTTGGAAACTAGCTGGCCACGTTTCTAACCGTTCCAGCTATGTTCAAGAGGACGGAGTGGCTCCGTCATCGTCCTCACTCTCCTCATCTTCCTCTGGGTCGGGCATCACGACGCTGTTCAAATATGTGACCTGTCAAGTCGAGATTTCCAGTCAATAATCCAGTTAAAAAGAAGATGGTGGGCGGGGCCTTGACTGTGGGCTCCACCGGCAAATACGCGTGTACAAAGCATCTCTCCTCGTCGTTGAAAGATGCCACATCACATGGGGAAGTGCGAAAAGGACGGGTTAGTGCAGGGCTTGTGAGACCAGACAGTGGTCCAGTCGGCAGCCAGGCAGGGGTCGAGAAGCAACGACTCTCGGAAAGAGGGTCCAGATGTGGACACTCAACTGTCGCCATGACTGAAAAGGAATCGGGCTTTTCCGGCCAAGGAGCCAACAGAGTTGATCCCCTTCTTTACCCGGAGATATGCAAGAAGAACGGGATTTTGGGATCATGGGTAGCAAAACGGATAAAAGTCAAATGCTGATGTGCCCAACCTCCCCGGCTTTCGCATCAAGGGGGCCAAAGGGAAGAGGCAGGGTCCGTGCAAAATAAACGGGAGAAGCCAGATAGCCAGGAATACTCACAAAGGGAGTCATGATGCCAATGACATTGGCAATTCTGTCCAGGGCTTCTAGACCCAATAGATCCTGATCGCCGAGTTTCTTGTTGAGGGTGAAAGAGCGCAGTCGGAGTAAATCGATGCTCTTGTTGTCAGCACTGTAGCCCTAAAACCGAGGAAGAAAAGTTAGTCGTGAAAGAATGAGCAAGAATTGGTTCTTTGTGCCGTGGTACCAGCTCCCACGGGCGGGCGGCAAAAGCCCTCTGTTGCAATAATCAAAGAACCCGGTAGAAAGAAAATAGTGAACCAGATATCAAAGGCTGGTAGTGTGAACTCTGAGCTGGGGCTTGTGGCTTCAGGGGCCTGGGCGCGGCGATGAGCCAGTACGCCAGAATTCCCAAACTTGGTGTCGTCGATGCAATACCAACTGTGGTGCCTCAGAAACGTCGTGCTGGCGGCGCCAGAAGCCTTGAGAACATTCAAAATAGCCTTGACAGTCTCTCCGCCACCCAATTGATGCTCCTCGTGACGATAAATGCTGGCTGTTGGCCACCGAGTCCGCTCAAGGTGCAACTGTGCAGAACGCCAGCATCGAGTCAACAGCAACTACGGCCAGCCGAAAGGCCAGCAGCAATCCTACAACGCTTTGCTTCACAAGACATGATGGATCTTGATGAGATGAACCAGATTCAGCTCGTTTCTGATTACACAGCGACATGCGACTTCGGCTTCCTGCCCAGCGCGAGCATCTGCATCACTTGCAGTCACGTTTACGCTATGGCTCGCTCACAATGATATGGAAGCATGAGATACGGGACTGATGAAGATCGATGTGCGGCTGTGAGCTCGCAACGTAGAGGTGTGTTGTTGTGTGGCAACACGTAATTGCAAGAAACACTCCGTTACCTTTGGCTTTGTTTTCAATGCGGTTTCTTGATTTTGACTGACGAAAGCCTTCACTATCTTCTTTTCTTCGTCAGGAACGCCATCGAAGATTTCCTTTCGCACTTCGGGATGGCTCAGAACGCGTTTGATACGCTCCGATCGATTGTCCACGTCGTCTCTTAGAAGCCTTAATCTCGCCGCGTCTGGCATCCATAAACCCGAGCCTAGAAATGACGGTTAGGACAAAGCATGGTTGGAATAATTCCTGGCAATTCTCTTGCGCTGGAGATCATATAGCAGATGGTTCGTTTTACCGGTCCCACGTCCGGCGGCAGGTCCGTTTCGAATAGGTAATGGACCTGACCCAGGCCACTTGAACGCCGAGAGACGTAGTGGGAATCCATGCGCCGACTAGCAAAGTAGAAATCGGTTGAAACTTACCGACAAAGCACCTCTCTGGTTCTAAATGAACGTAATAGGCGGCATACGGACCTTTGCGGCCTGTTCGAGACCTATAACATCCTGGATTAAGCCCCAATATATACCGAAGGAAAGTGATTAGAAGTTTGGGCTTACCATGCCGCTGAAAAATGTGGCTAGAGATCGTCAGCTTTGAACGCCATTGAATATTGCGACAGGGTTTAACATGGGTTCATTTATATCTTGGGGACATGCATACCTTATAGGGGGTCGGATCGTTGCTGAATCGGACATCTCTGTATATACGAAATACCTAGGTTTGATCCCCGTTCCGTTAGTGCTGTGAAAGAGCTATATAGCACACTTGGAACATACCAAATCTTTAACCGGTAATTCAGGTATAGTACTGTCTTTCTCGATAATCTTTTCCGTCAACTTTTCCACAAACGTCTCCCAATCCTTTTTTGAGGAACGGTAATCCGCGTCATGTTCTAAGCAGTTATAAGCCGAATAATCCAGACAGGCGCCTTATAGAGCACCAGTTTCGAGAGACCACATTACTTTTCAACCATTCTCTGTCATTGTTTGCTTTCAAATCTTTCAGGAACAGCATTGTATTCGGATGAATCGTTTCGTCTTCATATGGAACATCTCCCGGGTCTCTCGCTTGAGGTAGTTCAATGAAAACCTCTTTGCCCGGGCCTAAGCCGGTCCGCACCCCTTCTCTCCATAGGTCCTTTCTGTGTGGTTTTCCAATAGGTGTCTTTTTGTCCTGTGCTTTTCCCATAGCCCTTCGATTTGCGCTTCTAGCTTTTCCCTTCCCTTTGCGTTTCGGGGTGAAGTCATCACTGTCTTCTTCGAAATCGTTTGTAGACTCTTCTTCGTCTTCCTCAATCCTGTCCGGGATATATGTATCTGCATTGCTTTGATCATATGCGGAACGGGGGCTCGAAGCTAGGTCTGACGGGGGAGCTGAGAGCTCATCATCTGAGCTCTCCGGGCCCAACTGCGCAAAGTACTTGCTCCGTTTGGGCGTGGAGCTTGAGGCCGTATCCTTCTGAAACGAGTTTTCCCTTGGCCTTTGCCTTTTAGCCGGCGTTTGTGTGTCGAGAGAGAGGTGTTGGGTGGCACGACCATTGGGGAGGCCTGCATGCGCGTCGGGAGGTAGGCGGGTTGAACGACGAGGCATGACGGGACGGTGTTAGCTAGTTCAATTCCGGTTTCTTCTGGATTCCAATGGGGTTAGATTCCCGATGCTAACGGGCTCAGGTGCTGGATATTACCTCTCAAAGCGGCCTTTGTAGTTCATATATGTAGCTCTCCTTATCGCGAGGTCGTCAAAATTGGCCCATGCATGGCCACGAGTTGGTTAAAATAGCGCGGATCTTGACGCCACCATTGATGCCCACGACTCCGACGATCCGACTTAAATTATTAGTTAGTTACATGAGGGAACAAGCAGACATTTTTGATCTGAATGGGCGGTCCAGAATATCTCTTGTGAGAAAAAGAATTTTTTCAAGCCGTCTGAAGTCCCCAAACTGACTTGAAATAATAGTTAATATAAGTTACGGAGTACGGTCTCAGCTTTCTGCATAACGGTTTAACAGCACAAGAGCAGTGGAAAGAAACGGCCGGGAACATTCATTACTCTCCACAGTATAGAGTGATACAAACTGGAGTTGAAGGCTTTCCTTAGTCGACAATGACCACGTCGTCGCGGTCTTTTGAGGCCAAAAAATTGAAGATCTTGAGCGCTCTGACTATCCCGGATGAAGCATATACGGATTTGTCGCCCAAAGGCTCTGTAGACACAGGCGTTAGAGATTTAATTCGGGACATCAATCAGCTGCAGGGTCTCGTTACAACGAGCAGTTGTGCTGGGCGGATTAGCGTCTTCTTTGAGGGAGTAGGGTCCGACGTACGGAATTCGCAGGCAGATAGGATACAACGGGAAGAAGCCAGTGATGAGCCCAATGTAGATTCCGAGAGGAGCAGGCAATTTGCGCCTACGGGTGGCAAAGGCAGTGGGAAATGGCAATTCGTTTCGCATGATCCGATCGAAGTGGACGATTCTAAGCCCTCTTTTCATGATTTGTTCAATTTACAGCCTACAAGGGGCTCTATCAGGCCCGGCAGCAATAGCCAGCTGCGGCTTGCCCGTTTTCATTTTGAGCCAATGGTGAGCAAGCAGCCCCCAAATGCACTTTGTAGAAGGAGCATGTGAATAACGGCTATTCAGATTTTACATGTCATGGCGGAATCGCTGAAACACGCGCAGCCTGTTCTAACCGCGGCCTCAAGCGCCGGTTTCCGTGAAAGCGGCATTCAAAGTCTTCGATGTTTGGATGATAAGAATACCTGCCCTATTGTAGCAGTGAGATCCTCCGGGCTGGCGGTGGAGTCCATTATCGGCTACGTGGACAACGACAGCGCTGATGGCGAGGCCGTTGTTCGTAGTCTGGTGACAGAAGAATACCTCCATATGCTTGTTTTAATCGCCAATGAAAGGTTCAAAACCAATTATTCCCGAATGGACAGGTTCAGGACAAAGTTAATGGCATTATCAACTGGCTCTCCATCTAGAATGTCGTCCCAGAACAAGGGATGGGAAGACGCTGGCCGTAGAAGGGAGAGAAAACGCGCCGAAGGCTTGCAGCGGAGAGAGTTAGAAAGGCAGGCAGCTCAAGCAATAGAAAAGCCTCCTGAAAGTGAAGACGAGATAACTATTCCTTTTTGGGGAGCCTAAGGTAGAATAGTAGCGAAACGGGCTTCCTATCAAGAAGGATAATATGACCAAGATAACTCAAAAAACACGGCTTTCTTTTTTATTTATATTTTTTTAAGGACATCGACGGTGGTTTCCTGGTCCCTACATTTTCTTGCGGCCGGGCAGATTAAGGGGCCCTATCCCGGGCACGCAGAGGGGGGAGCCCTCCCCAAAAACAAAAACGCAAGCAAAAACAATACAGCAAAACTTTTTTTGATCTCTTTCCCCTAGCAGCCTGGATGGACTGCCCCCCTCCAACGGTCAGTTTTCGATGATAACACCGGCAGCCACCCAGGAAGCTAGGGGAAAGAGATCAACGAAACAAAGAACAACAGGACGAACAAACGAGAACAAACGAAGAAACGAAAAAGCAACATTTCCTTAGGCGAGCCTAAGGAACACGAATTTGGCGACCGGGAGCCACCCTTCCATTCCCCCATGGGAATGGTCCAGCACGAGTGGCCTTAAGGCCCTCTTCAACTAGGCCCTGGAGGACCTTGGTCTCGTATTGGACGGCCACATCCCACTTGAGGTGGGTGTGGCCGGAGGCGAACTCGAGCCAAATTTGCCCGAAAGGAGACGCCACCCCAGGGCGAGGAACCCATTTGTTGGCCAGGATCTCTGTGCCTGGCTTCTTGCGTTCGAGGCTGGCTGCCACAACGCGAGCAAATTTCTAATGAGCCAAAAGAGTCAGTAGGCGCGGTGTTTCTAAAGCATTGCAAGAGAAACCTACATTCACTGTCTCCTCAGTGACATTGGCCTTCCGGGCCAAGGTGTCAAACGGCCAAAATCTGATTGACACCGGAGAAGTATTGTATGTGTTTGGGTCGCCAGCAGCAGAGTAAAGAGCCACCTTTTGACGATCGGTAAAGGTAGGGCAGCTGAGCCCAGCATTCAAAAGATCCAAAATAAGACGGCTATCCAAACCGAGAGTTCTCTTCTCTGCAACCCGAGGGGCCAGAGCTTGCAACTGTGAGAAACAAGCAAAGTGAAGGCGATTGCGGTCTTCGACAGTGTAAAGCGTGGTCGCATACCATGGGAACTAAAATAAACGGTGTAATAAGTAACTATTACCTTTGATGCAGGCTAGAGGTTGAGAGGCTTACTTTGTACAAAGTACTGATGAGCGCTTCATATGTTCGCTGGGGGCATTTGGTAGCAAAGGGGGCCTATCATAACTTTGCGTTAGAGGAGCCAACCAATATCAAGTGTACCAGAACTTACTCTTTTAGGCATCTCAGCATTGCGAATCATGCAGTAAATCTCCTCAGCTGTGAGGAAGCTCTGGAATCCAACAGAATACGCATCATTGTTGGGGGTCAAGATAGGTCTTCCTTCTTTCCAGACAATGCATTTTGCACGTGGGAAAAGATCCTTTAGAAGTTCTTCTTGAGAACTCATTTCAATATCAATGTGACGATCACCAAGACGGGGTGGCGCGCCAGGTAGCCCACGATTGAGCCAGTCAATTGTTTCTTTGGCATCTTCCAATGTAAGAAATTCCACATAACAATCCATTGTTTTCGCAGTGGAACGATCCATGATGATATGGACAGGGGTACCGAGATGGTGAGGTAGCAATCTTGCCTTGCGGCCCATAAGATGAACGACCTCTTGTCTTGAGACATTGTATGGTATCTTCAAATAAATCAGTATTGCCATGCATTAGAAACAGTATAAAAGACAAATACTCATGAAGATGATGGTAAGAGGGGTTAGAAAATCTTACATTCATAAGCTTAAGCACACCACCAGTAGCAGGAGAGCTATACCTGGTTCCGTCATCAATTGGGATTTCAAACGGCATTCCCTGAACGGTGATGATATTGTTCGTGACCGATATACTTTTGACTTGGTTGAAAACATCGGCATTGTTGTTTGTTAAATTAACAGCAGCCAGCTGATGGGAAAGAGACGCGACAGTAGCTTGATGTTGAAGTCCTTCATCGACGCGTTCAAGCCTCTCGTTTGTTGCAAAATGGGTATTTCTGTTGGAAGTTTGAGATTGCCTGAGGCTTGGAGGGACAATCAAAGGACCTCTGTACTCCTGATGTTGTGGTGCAACAGGACCACGAGACGCGTTGTTTGAGGTAGAATGCTGTCTATTGTCTCTTTGAAAGGGATTGTTCTGGTTAACTTGGTTGTTTCGAGCTGGAGGGGCAGTCGGCTGAAATCCTCGGAACTGATTGTTCTGAGTTGGATTCGCAATGGAAGGCTGTCTTGCGTGTCCGTTGGCAGACTGGTGGAAAGGACCTTGACCAGGAGCTGGACGATCCATTCCACGACCGTGATTACCCTGAGGCGGCGGAGCATAAGCCCAGTGCTTGTTGCCGTAGTTGTTTCCTTGAGAGCTAGCCATTGGTGAGTAGCAACAGGGCTGATAACAGAAGGATTGGGATACAGAATTTGGTAACGGGTGCCGAAACCAGGGAATATAAGAGGGATATGTCGGGTAGAATGCAGGACTGTAGGGTTGGTAAAAGAAAGGTGGATTGCTCTGAGGAAATGGAGAAGGAGAGTTGTAAACAGATGGAGGGAATGGTGACTGAGGAGGAAAAAAATTTGCTGAGGGGAATTGAAATTCTTGCTGAGATTGAGCCGGTTTGTGTTCCTGTTGCTCTCGTCGTCGTCCCTGGTAACTAGGAATAAAAGGGGCTGCCTCCGGGTTCATGTGACTTTTTCCAGCGAAACGCCTGAAGGCTCCAATAGATCTCTTCCCAATAGAGTATCCGGACGCTTCTTCGAAGACTTCGGTTTGCCTTTCTTCCTTAATCCCTAATGGGCCATTCGCAACGGTGGCTGGCGATCCCGGCGTAGTCATATTGCTGGAATGGACAATAAGTAACGGGTATGGGTGGGATTTACCGCAATCGCTTCGATCATGGTACGAGACGCTCCCTTCCATGATGCCGCTGTCCAAAGGCATGAGAACGCTAATAAAGCCAAAGGGATTGCAATTCAATTTGCGATGACAACTTCTTTAGTGACTCTAGGGCAAAGAAAATTATGGTGATGATGAGTGCTCTGCGTTGGGTCAAGAAATATAAGCCGCATGAAGACTTCAAAGGATATCAAGATAGGAACAACTTTTAATGATAAACAAAGGAAGACAAGGAGGAAAGAAAAGGCAATGGAAATGAAAAGCCCCATGGCAACAACTGCTTAGTCGTTGGCGACTAATCATTGGCGATTAGTCGTGAGGGGGGTTCTGGTTACGAAATTCATGGCAGCGCACGGTAGGATCATCCCAATGGAGCCTTTTCTGGCTAGGGTGCAGGTAACGGTGAGCTTTGTCTGCGGCTGATAGTGCGCCTGAAGCACTACCGCATGGGGTGACGGAGCTTATGAGAAGGAGATGGCTAAGGAGCAGAATCCCCATGACTCAAGTACTGCTCGAATGCCGGTACCATCTATATTGCAGAGCGGATAATACAATATTTAGGGGACGTTTGGCATTAGAGCGTCCAGTTGGAGGCTGACCCTGATAGGCCGATAGTATTCAAGCATGCATGGGACGATCCGAATCAAAATGCAATATCCATGGAGCCGAAGTGGGCGGGTAATGATGGAAGAAAGAAAAAGACCATAAGGATTACGAGATTATGGTCAGCATCCAGGTCGCTTGAACCGCCAGTGGACAAAGGCCTTCTATCTAGCTTGATAGAATTTGGTTCTAAAAGTGGCACTTAGGAAATAGGACAACATTCCGTGGATTGTGCCGCTGGTTTATGAACAGGGCCAGTTTATTGGGACCGGGATGGCTGGCAAGTTTTGTGGAGGAACAGGTTGATAAGGAGATAGCAGTTCCGCAACAATTTTGATACTGAATTCTTGGTATAAGATTCTAGCATCATATCAATAGAAGATCTTGGCTGGGGGTGCCATGGTAGAATGCGAGCCATCACAGAAAATCTATAGGCAGTTTATCCCAGCCGTTATCGCCGTATAAATTCTCGTGGCTATTTGTAGCGAACATATATCTAAAAGGTAGGAACGACTAATCGAACTGCAAGACTTTTAGCATATACGCGTTCAGAACGCAAGGTAATACGTACTGGGGTCAAAAAGGATTCAGCGACAAATCTCGCTCTCGCGTTTAGCTATATATCCGTTAGTGATCAGAGTATACGTTAGGATCCAATGTGACCAAAATAATGCCGTATTCAGTTGAGTGCATACAAAAAGTTTCATCTCAGAAATCTCCTTATCCACTTCCTCCATAAATTGTATGATAAAGTCAACCAGTTTGTGCTTCAACATAGCTTCGGTGTGGAAGTTGGTTATTAAAAACGAAATATCGTATCCCTAAAACAGGTTAGACCCTGTTTTATTTCAATGTCGTCTTCAGCGGGCGTAATACCTTTACGGGTTTTCTCCGCAGGATAAAGAACGCCTCAGCTCGTTGAGTAAGAAAACGGGTAAACTTGTGTACGAGAATATGCTCAATCTCGTCGGCTTGTTTGATTCGGATGCTAACTCGGACGCTATTTACACTGGGCTCAATAAGAACCTTTTCGTTTTCGTTCCGCGCCACTGTGAGGGGGTTGAGGAGGACTTCAGGAGAGGTAGCGGCCTCAATCTCCGGCACGTTATGCCTCTCCGACGTCTGTGAAGCGAAATTTGATATAGCAAGGGCAGCAGTCAGGGAGGATCGAACACATTGAAGGTACGGCCGTAAAGATTGTGACTGTTCTTGCAATTAATCATGTGTCCAATGCAAATGGGTGTTGTCTTACCATCGTGCCTGGGAATGACGAGGGGTCCTCAGGGGGGCCCAGTGGTGGTGCTAACACCGAAACCGACGGGATGATATAATAGCCTAAAAGGTGTCTTTGAAGGATCGAGGAGTATAATACACTTCCAATTCGAATTAAGGCAGCCGGCTCACTCGCTGTGGTATGTTGCCATGTCTGCCTGTCGCAGATGATGGAAGTTGGGCGTCATGCGGAGTTTGCACTGTTTGCAACCCACCCCCACGTCAGCTCCAGTTGCTGAGGCAAAACACCTGTTCTTTGCTGCCGATGCTCCAGCCTGTAAATTCTACACGAAGGAATCTGGAATCATGGCTACTATACCTGGTGGGAAATCCGATTCGCAAAGTATAGGCTTGAACTCTTGCTAACAAAGTTGTTTCTTCATAGTTATCGTGAAGCACCAAGGCAAACGGTTTGAAGTCGAGCTTGATCCGACCGCAAATGGCGAGACTTTCAAGTTCCAGCTCTACTCCCTCACAGGAGTTGAGCCGGAACGCCAAAAGATACTCATTAAGGGCGGACAACTTAAAGATGAGACGGATCTCGGATCTCTTGGAGTAAAACCTGGTCAGACGTTTATGATGATGGGCACGCCAGGCTCAGGCGACCCCGGCATGGTTCTTAGAAAACCGAAAGAAACACCTAAATTCATGGAGGATATGACGGAAGCTGAAGCCGCTAGAGCTGAGGGTGCTACACCAGCTGGTTTACAAAACCTTGGGAATACATGTTATTTGAACTCGACGCTCCAAACACTGCGAGCCCTCCCCGAACTCCAAGAGGAGCTTCAAAACTACAAACCTTTGAGACAGCCACAATCGAGCCTGTTTACTCCGAGCACCGCAATTGATCTAACGGCGTCACTTCGAGATCTATATAAGCAGATGTCCGAAACCCAAGAGGGTTTCCCTCCGATGATGTTTTTGAACGCGTTGAGGTCCGCCTTTCCTCAGTTTGCGCAGAAAGCAAGGGATGGAAGAGGTTATGCTCAACAAGACGCGGAGGAAGCCTGGTCCCAGATTGTTTCACAACTTCGCCAAAAGTTGGTTATCAAGGACAAAGATTCCAATGCAGGAGATGCAGATAAAGACGTATCGTTTGTTGATCAGTATCTTTCTGGAAGGTTCGACACGGTGCTTGAATGCAGCGAGCAGGCTGCAAAAGACGCGGGAGAGATGCCAATAGAGTCTTCTGATATTTTCTTCAAACTAAACTGCCATATTGGCAAGGACACGAACCACCTTCGCGATGGTATCATGGCAAGTCTAGAGGAGGATATTGAAAAGCACTCAGACGCGCTCGACCGAAACGCTGTCTACACGAAGAAATCTCGTATTTCTAGATTGCCAAAATATTTGACGGTGCATTTCGTCCGCTTCTACTGGAAACGGGAAACTCAGAAGAAAGCAAAGATCATGCGCAAGGTTACTTTTCCTGCTGAGCTGGACGTTGTTGAGTTTTGCACGGAAGAGCTGAAACGGCACCTTATACCTGTTAGAGATAAAGTACGTGAGATTCGGAAAGACGAACAGGACATGGAAAGAGCTCGCAAGCGCCAAAAGAGAGCTCATCAGGAAGAAGAGCAGGCAGCGGCCACATTTGCGTCTGAGCCGTTGCAGAAAAAGAAAGAAGCAGAATCGAAGGCAACAGAACCAAAATCCAAGGACGACAATGGCCCACCCGAAGTATTCAAGACCGATGCCGAGTATGAAGCAGAAAAAGCAGAGTCCCTTCTAGCAGCAAAACGGGAACTTTTTGGTCTAATCGATCCATCTCTGGCTAATGATGAAGGCGCAAACAAGTCAGGACTTTACGATTTGCGAGGTGTAATCACCCACCAGGGTGCTAGTGCGGATAGTGGTCATTATACCGCATATGTCAAGAAACAGGGGAGGCTCGTGGATGACCCCAAGGCACCTGGGGGAAAGAGACGAGAAGAAGACGGTAAATGGTGGTGGTTCAACGATGACAAAGTGTCTGAGGTTGGAGAAGAGAAGATTGAAACTCTCGCTGGTGGGGGTATGTTAACCAATTTGACCCCGTTACTTTTTCAGTGTCCCCCGCTGATGTTTGGATATCTTAGGTGAATCGCATTCTGCGCTTATCCTTCTTTACCGCGCGATTGACTTGCCCACTGCTGAAGAAGTCAAATAATAGGGTGGTCGATACATCGCGTATTACCTTTTCGTTTCCATTTCAGGATCCTTGATGGGCCCTATGAACAACCCATGCAAGCGCAGATAGAATTATTATCCTCTAGCAAAAGCAAACTATTTCCCCATTTACCCTCTGTTTCTTCGACTGTAGCCTAAACCCTCTCTATTGGTCATGGACTTGCGTTAGCTTGAGGATGTACTAGAATGAACATTGGTATTAGACAGTCCGTTTGTTACGGGCGTTGCCAATCATGCTCTACGGATATAAGGTGTTGTTTACGAGACGGCAATTCTACACAAGGTGAAGAACTTTGAAGTCAATTTATGCTAGTTTGAGTACTGCGTATAAAACATCTAGAAGAAGGAGAATGGACCCGGTTAAATGGAGTCCTGGTCACACTAAGTGCTCTGTAAATAATTATACTTAGGGATCCTTCTCTGTTTTTGTTGACTGACATCGTATCAACAAGGCAGAATAGGAGTCAGTTGATGCGCGACAGATATAGTTATCTAACTAGTTATATAAAGCTCTGATAGTTTCACAAAGTGAAAAAGTCATCGGATTTGCTACAGTCAACTGACATTGCAGGAATCCATTATTTGCTTTTCGACTCAATCACCAGTGGCCATGCGAAACGAGCCTTAGCTCCTACACTGAACCAGGTACGTCCTTTGACAATGGCGCCATCAATACCAAAATCAATTCATTAAGCAGTTCTTGCAGTTTGGTGGCGCGAAAGCCATGTTTCTCCGGCTATGTTTATTCCTAGCAGCAGCATCTGCGTTGCAAACACTCCCTCCAGTCGAATTTACTGCTAGACCAGGAGAAGGGTTCTCAATTTCTTCAGCACCCAAGACCGTTTACGTCGATTCCAGTTTCGCAGAGACAAAGGACAAGGACGGCTTGAGCCTTATCCCGCCTTCAGCATACGAGTTCGCTGAAACGTTTATCGGAGACCTTGGACAGATTTCAGGCACTGACTGGAAACTCGAGCGCCTTGAGAGGGTCCCTGAAGATGGAAAGGGCATATATCTTGGTAGATTTAGAGGCTCGGTAGACAATCTCACTTATCAAAACGGTGAGCATACAGAAGAAGCCTATGAACTGGAGGTTGGGGGCGCACGCGTTTATATCGGTGGCACTGGAGCTCGTGGCATGTGGTGGGGAACTCGAACGCTTTTACAGCAACTTCTGCTTGCTGGCAATGGCCAACTCCCTGCCGGAAGAGCTGTAGATGTCCCGGCCTATGTCACCCGAGGATACATGCTTGACTGTGGCCGCAAATGGTACTCAGCGTCATTCCTGAAGGAGATGTGCGCGTTCGCCTCCTTTTTCAAGATGTCCGAATTTCAGTATCACCTCATGGACAACTATCCACTCAACCGGGGCCGGAATGAAACCTGGAATCAGGTTTACTCGCATTTTTCTCTCAGACCAGAGAACCCGGAGTTAAGACCCCTTGTGGATAGATGGAACGAAACAGTCTCACGAAACGAATTTGAGGACCTCCAGAAGCATTGTGCTTCGCGCGGTGTGACTGTGATCCCGGAGATTGAAGCACCCGGTCATTGCCTTGCAATTACGAAATGGAAGCCTGAACTTGCTCTGCTGAAGAAAGACTTGCTGAATCTGACACACCCGGATGCTATCTCAACAGTTCAGGCCATTTGGAAAGAATTCCTCCCTTGGTTCAAAACCAAAGAAGTTCATATCGGCGCCGACGAATACGATCCAACATTGGCCGACGTGTACATCACCTATGTAAATGAGATGGCCAAATTCATCAAATCAACCGCGAGCAAAAGTGTTCGCATCTGGGGAACTTACGAGCCGTCCGAGACTCTAGCCATCGACAAGAATGTCATTATCCAGCACTGGCAATATAACCAATCTGACCCATATGATCTTGAGCCAGCGGGGTATAACATCATCAACTCTGAAGACTGGGTTGTGTACATGTCCATTAAGAACGATCACACTCCAATTTTCCCCGCCCGCTATCCTCAATTCTATAACGTTTCGCGGTCCTTCCATTTTGCCAACAAGGAAGATTGGCAATGGGAGCCGTCGCTCCTGGATCCATACAATATCACAGAGCAAATGAACCCTAATGCGAAAGGGCTCAAAGGCGCTATCATGGCGGCCTGGAACGACAATGGGTATGATGCCAGCACCCAGCTGGAAGCGTATTATACCATGAAGGCCGGCATCCCACTATTGGCAGCAAGATCCTGGAGCGGTAGCCGAGGCAGACGACTTGATGAGGCCACTTTCCTCGAATCATCGAAACTTCTCAGCGATAACGCGCCAGCTCAGAATTTGGATAGACGGCTGGCTGTCGAACTCAATGGCAAGAGTCCTCCGGGTCCGTTACTCGTTTGGAGGCGTAGCACGAGCGTTCCGAATGACGGGCGATATATCCTTGGCTACGGCAGCAAGGGAATGAACTATAGTCTAACGCTTGAAGTAACTGGGCCATTCACCCTCTCTTCAAACGATAGCGTGCTTTATCTGGACCAAAATGGAAGCCTGGTGTTCTCAACCGATGGAATTCCTTACCCCCTGCGTCACGTTGGTGAAGAGGATGGTTTTGACCTGGGTCATCCAGGTCGTATCTGGACGAACTCTAGCAATTCAAGCCATGAGCCAGTCAAAGTGCCTTTAGCGGCAAATATCACCATCAAAACAGATATTCTTGGTGGTAGCCGCGTGTGGGTTAACGACAGTTTTGCTGGCCGGTTTGAAGTCTTCGTTTTTGGAGGGAAAAATATGTTCTTTTCCTGGAGTCAAATGGCATTTGCCGCACCTCTAGATCAGCTTGAGGGAGGGATTGAGGCCATCACCGTAGCCAGATATAGCCCTGAGGATCCGCCAACAAGACCAAGCGAAGGGACTGCAACACCGACACCAAGGGTGTCCGCAGCGTCCGGGTTGTGGTGGAGATCAGCTGTAGAAGCAGTCGTGGGTGCCGCTGTTTTGTATATTATCATCTTTTGATCAAGCATTAAAGCACAGAATAGTGTAACTAGGCCGATATCAAAGAAGCCCGTGTAGCTAGTCCTTGACTTGTGTGGAGTTGGCGTGGTGTTCAAATCATTGCCTCGGTCAACTTTCTGCCTCAGCAAACCACAAACTACAGAACCAGCAACATCGATCAGGCCCGTTTGCTGCGACGATGATGGCAGCCATGCCTCGTCTAAGAGGCTCGCTGTTCCCATCTGCTCTTTTTCACTTCCCGAGGAAACAAATTTACCCTCCTCGGCGGCTTACTCTCGTTCAAAGTCTGCGCTCCCCTGGTCCAGCCAGAAGCATCGCGACGGTCCCTACATTACCACGAAAGCCAGCCCAATGGCCGCGACATTTCCGCTCAATCCTCTACGCCATAATATTTGGGCTTCTTGGCTATCATACAGCTGAGAGAATGATCGACCATTTTGCGGGCCCCGTGTTTGAGCCGGATACTCCTGAAGATATCGAGGCGCAGGAATACATCCGCCAACAGTTTGATAATTTGAAAATCGTGAAAGAGCTAAGAGCGGACCCTAATTTCGTCGAGTGGGAAGCGTACGGGAATTTTTCGCCTGATGAGAAGAAGAGACGACTTACAACTGGGTGTTTGAACGGCAGTAGAGGGATTTCGTCTCAAGTCAGGCCTCTTTGTGTATAGCTTTCATTGAACATGAGCTAACCTAGTCTTGCAGCGTATATTTTGGAATGAAAACGAGAAATCTGCCGTATCAGTGCTCTACCTTGGGAACGGAATTGACGGTTGGCCGGGAGTCATCCATGGCGGTACGCTGGCTATTATCCTCGACGAAGGCATGGGCCGAGTAGCAATTCGCAGCTTTCCCGGACGCACCGGTGTGACCGCCAATTTAAACATAGACTACCGGAAACCAGTGCTATCTGGCCAATTTTGCACCGTGACTGCGAAATATGAGCCTGAAAGAAGCAGCGACCGGAAGGCTATGGTGACGGGAGAGATAAGGGACTCATTGGGCCGATTGTGTACAGAAGCGAACGCACTATTTGTTGTCCCACGTGCCCTCACCCTGAGGAAGATTGGTGACGGCTTTTAGGCCATAGAACACTTGTGCTCGATGGTTGGTGCTGTGATAGCATTTGAATACCCGAAGAGGAGCAAAATTTGAAAACAAATAACAGCACAGTTGCTACAGCTTCTCTAGGACGTGGACTTCGAATTCCTAGCCACCATAACGGGGTTTAAGGTCCCTCAAAAACTAGTACCGAAATCATTTTCGCGTATTCTTTTGGAGGACATGGCCGTGTTGCCTCAGATGCCCTACGACCTCTGCAAGGCTAGGTACCGTCTAGCACGTACATGCCTGCTTCATTTACACACGTGGGAGTCAAATCAACGCTCGCATGTTACATGACAATTAAAACTCTCCTTGACCGCTCGGCAGGTCGCCAAGTCTATCTTGACCACGTCTGGGACTTCGGCGTGACTAAGAGCGCGTAATGTGATACTATATCTGATCTGGACAGGATTCAGGTACGCCCATTAGCTTTTGAATGTTGAGTTTGTCAGATTTCATTGAAGTTTTTTGTCTATTTTTGAAGCTTGACCAATTGTGATCGCCTTGAGTATAGCTATATCTATCAGAGATAGAGCACCAACGACGAGCTGCAAGTTTCTTCGATATTGACTCTAGCCGAGAATCAGCATCCGCTCAACTCTACTTCCTTAGCCTCACGAGGACGCTGATCAAACGCTTGAGTGCGGAGTAATGTTGGGCCAAATGCTCCCACTACTGAGTTGGTGCCACCTTTAGATCAATACCTTCAAGCCCACAATCCTTACTATATCTATTATCACGCATTCATGATGGCCCTAGAGAGACTGACGGCATGTGATGTTTGACTTAAATGAGTATTAAGAGCTTTCTCCTACGCTGCTGCGCCGGACGCTCAGGGATTGGTACTCCCTCCAATTCGACATTCTCTTTACCTAGCTTGTCAAAAGGAAACAAGGACCTCGACGCTTGATTCATATCCTGTATTAACCACAGAGCGTTCATAGACAACAACGCACACAACTGAGATAACTAATTATTCTTTAAAGCCTCATGGTCGGAGACACAGATTGAGAATACCCTCAAGAATGCGCATGTTCTATCATTGGCATAATATTCCCGTCACCGCAATTATCCAACATATTCCGAATGGGCGCTATGACCTCTCAGTGGTTCAATCTAGTTGTATATTAATCTACATGATGCAGCGACTGCAGTATAATCGCTGGAATCAGAAAGCCATCAAAGCAAATCTCTACCAAACTACGGAGTACCCGTGTTGAAATAACTATTAGCTATGGCCCAGGAAATTCGGCCCTGTTTGACAGCTCACAAGCTTTGTACGTGGTACGCACTGCGCAGAAACACTACCCGAATTTAATGGCTATTGCCACCTCAGTAGCCAGCCTTTTCGATGGGAAGAGGGACAAGGGAAATATGCGGATAAGCCATATTGCAATCGAGCACGTTTCTTTGTTGCCTTGACCGCGATAGGGGAAATAATAATGGATCAAAATAATCCTTTGATTAGCTATATTAGATAGTTACTATTCATTCGTACAGATACTGAATATTTTTAACAGTTGAAATATTAAACATTGAAAATCCTCCAAAACTTGATTGCTGTTGCGAAACAAGTGAAGATATCATGATAAATAGCCATCCAGTATTATTATCTCCGCTAAGCCCCTTTCATCGCACTAAAATATTCTTTAGACGGACCTTCTTGGAAGCATTTTGGACACTGATCAAAAGTCGAAGTAAGGCTTTAGTTTTAGATTGCTTAGTAGATCGCTGCCGCTTATAGGTGCTTAACTGCTTCGGAAGCCGTTTGCGGCACTGGGTTTGCAAGTCAATCATACTTCTGTGCGTTAATTGACTGCTATTATCCCAAGTGGCTTCATCCTGGGATTCGGCTGTCACTGATAAATTCGACGCCTCACGGGACGAGGGTAAGCATTCACAGGTAGCGGGGCAGGTTAACATCATGCTGTCATGACAATTCTCATCGAAAGTAAGCCACTGCTCATGGCAGGTATGACAACTGACATGCCCACAAATTAAGTCGGGTACAAATGCGGCATCCATCATCCTGCCACAGATTGTGCAAAGTAGTCTTTTTTGTGGCCCCGCGTTGCATTCAGTGCACTTCAGGCTTGGCCGGTCAGTTGACCTCTTGTTTCTTGTTGTGAGCTTTTTGGGCTCTGATCTAGCGAATATAGATATGTGCAGCGGAGAACCGCAGGCGAAGCAATGCTGCTGTAACTCCAATCCTGCCACCTGGCCCACGACTCGGGGATTTAGGTGAAAGGACACCTCAGAATCGCGAAGATTTGATTGACCCAATAGTAAATGTTTATCGTCACAGGCCACTCCAAGTATTTCTCTTGCAGCGATTGGCAAATTCCAAGCGAAAAGCAGATTTGCATATGCAGCACGATATGCGAGCAAGGTTGACATGCGCCCATGAGTCATTAGCGAAGCATGGCTTGAATCATCATCGTCAAATTCTCCCCGGTGTTTGAAGACCACCTGTATATCTTTCGGGGACTTCGTTAAGAATTTCGACTTCGTTGATAACTTTTCTGCGGACCTAATAGACTTTGAAGAGGTCCAAGTTTCAACTTCAGTATCCGAAGGGGCTTGAGATGGAGGTGCAGTAGAAGCATGCATGTAGTCGGGTATTGCGGACGGTATTTTACCAGCAGGTGCGTTTCCCTGCCATCCGCTAGTAGCCAGACTGCCAGCGGGACTAGGCTTATTTTTCTCGATGCCACCTAAAGGCGAAGAGCCAGTCAACGGCTCATTAGGTAAGGATCGAGATAGGGAAGATGCAAGAGTAGGCCCAACGTTTAGGTTTCGAGGATCGGAAGACTGATTAGGGGAACTAGATATCGGGATAGCAAGCTTTTGCGACTTTCGTTCCACATCGAGCCGGCTGTTTCGCATCGCGGTAGGCGGTGTAGCACCGGTAGAGTAAAGCGGCGGGGTTCCCGATTGCCACATGTCGGTAGATGAGCACGCTGAACCATAGCTGGTTGAAACGAGATGTGTTTCTTTGACGGGTGATACATAAAAGCTACCGGAGTTTGAGTGTCCTCTCTGCAAATGCGGGGGCGGAGAGATGTGCTCCACGGAAAATGACGGATTTCGATGTAATTCTAGCATCTCGTTTTGCTGATTTGTTGTGTAATTGGAACCTCCAGATACCGGATCCATTAGAAGGCATGTCAACATTCCTAACATTTGAACATCTCCAAGTCGTTCAAAGTGATCAAACCTAGAGCCATGTATCAGTAATGCCGCACTCATGAAAAACCGTACAAACCGCAGGCCACCAACTTACAAGGCGGGGAGAAACCAGCGAGCTCCAAAAGGGTGGTTTCCCCAAATGTCGCCCTTTGACCAGTTGGTAGTCGTAGTATTATCCTGGGTGAGATCAACACCACTATCTATCTTTTTAACCTGGTTCACTGCTTGACGAGCCGGTTGAAACGCATTGTTCGGCAAGGAGATATTATCGACATAGTACTGCTCCGCTAGCAGCATTTTTAAGAGCCCCCAGGTACGAGCAAGTTCCGCATTCCCGAAACTTGCCGCAACCGCCATATTATGTGTACAGACTTCAGAAGTATTTCCGTGTGTGATATATCGCTCAGCTAAATCGTATTTGGCGGGGAGAATATCCGTGAGATTGTGGATACAAATGGTATTATAACGCTTGCTGTTTGATGGTTTCATTATGGAAACTCCAGTAGTGGATTTTTGCGAGTTATCCGTGGATTTTGCACGGCTTAGGGCGAGATTACTTATTCGTTGAACACCAAAATGCTGCGGAAGAGCCCCCAGAAGATCAGAAGAGCCCGAAGAACTGGAAGACTCGTATGAGCCATCGGAATATTCAGAAGCAGCGTCGTCTGTCAAAGGGCCATTGCTGGCCCCAGTGCCCGCAATGGTATTTGGGCCGGGCGAACTTGTTTGAAATCTCCCAAAAGCCTCGAAAACTCGATTGGATCGTGAAAGTCTCGTCATCTCCCGGAGACCTATCGAATCCAAAAAAGAGGCGACCTTCTCTTCTTTTGGCGGAAAGAAACATACTAGACGTCCATCATTAGACCAAACCGCACTGCATACTCTTGCAACTGGTACCATGACGTTTGCGTTCACAGGACGAAGCAATTCAGACGAACTCATAGCAAGATCGTTGCCTTGAAAATGACCAACATCTTCGTCCTCATCACTTGATTCACCATCTCCGAGGAGGCCTGGTGACTTGAGCACCTCACCTGTTTCCTCTTGCATCATGGCTACGATCTCCTCCGGTGTGTACTCGCCAAGGAGAAATCGAAGAATTCCTTCGAGACAACCTCGCTCCCTTGAAAGATACGCTTCGGATACCGTTTTCAAACCAGACGTAAGGGACTTTGCCAGCTGAGGCGTTACGGAGGAGGTTTTTTGCACGTTGAAAACTGGGGCGGCCGTTTTCGGATAGTTTATTGGGAATTTGATATCAATTCGCAGGAATACGCTGGTATTATCAGGAGACCATGGGCCATGAAGCGAAATCGTGGCTTTCCTTTGAGCAACATTGACAGATTCAAAAGATACTCTCGTAAACCGCTCGCCAACATGAGTGATTTCGTCACCAAGGGTTTCAACGTCCCAACCAGACACTTTAACACCACGCATCCAGGAAATCGGGTTCATGTCGGCACGGAGAGGCGATTTCCCGTGTATACCATAGAGCACCCTAGGGCCACCCTGTGTCCATCTGCGAGAATACGGCATAGAGATACCACCAATCCCAGAGGCCGCTTGGCGATATGATCCTGATTTGTGATTGGGATGAGAACCATCTAATTGCTCCAACGGTTCTACACCTCCTGGCTCTTCATGAAAGGTTTTGTAAATTGCTCCTTTGCGGGTAAGGTTCAGCGATGGGTTAAATGATTTCCCTTTCTCGTACCCAACACCTTTGAGTATTTCCGGTTTGACTCGGTGTAACCGCAGCTCCTTATCGGCTCCCCAGGATACGAGTTGAAATTCCCGGTGATCCAAACCATCTATGACGCTGCCGCGAGGTCTCCAAAGAAATTCCTTGACTTGCGCTTTATGCCCTGGAAAGCTGTGGACTAACGGAGGTTCATCATTGTCGTTATTTGCATCTTTGAAGGTACGGCTGTAGAGATGCAAATCATTATTTCCCCGTTGTGGCATGGCAAGGACGCCCCATCCAAACGGAGTGTGCCTAGCTCGCCATACTGGAAAAGAGGTATGAATGACTTTCTCAGGGATGTCACTATCCACCGAGTAATCCCAAAATTTTATTGTTTTATCCAACGAGCAGGTCACTATACCCTCTGGGCGCATGCGGTTCCAGTCCAGTCCATAGATTTTTGTATTATGAGCCTCTATCGTTCGTATGGGAACGACCCCTTTCCTATCGTCCCAGATATGTAAGAAACGATCATGAGAGCTAGCAATGACGTGGGAGTCCTGTCTATTCCATTTTACCTGCGTGGCACCAGCGAACCAGTCCGAAAACGATACAACGGGTTTAGCCGGTATACGTAAGTCCCAGCAATGCACGAAACTGTCAACGGCACAAGTTGAAAGGATATCCGGATGATGCGCAGAGAAGTTAATATCCGTGATTGCTCTTGAGTGGGCATGTAGAACGTGTTCGATTGGGTTTTCCCATGATCTCATAGCAAGATTCCACACCAACGCTTTTTGGTTCGATGTGCTCACAACCCACCAATCCCGAGCAGCGAAAGGCGACCATTGGACATCAGCAACCTCCCATGGAGTTCTATGAGGGAGATAGCGCGGGGGGGAGTAAGGGCTGTCCAGGTCGATGACATGGAGACCTTCTTTCCTGCAATTTCGTTAGTGGATTGCTCGTGTTGCTCCAGGAGATTTCGTGAAGCTTACGAGGCAAGAACTACGTCCCTCCCACAGGGGGAAATGGACATAGACCCAATTGGCTGGTCAATATGAAAAGAACTGTCTTCTCCAAAAGTAGGACTATCGTAGGCCGAGAATGGGGCCTTTGACTCCGAAGGACTTGTCATTTTGTCCTTGGAGGTAGCTGGTTCGGAATTCGCAGAAGGCGCGGTTGTTGGAGCAAAGAGCAGGAAAGATTGAAAGAAGCGCCCTCATGTAGGGGGTATATTTACTGGTGGTTTGCAGAAGGGTGTGGGTGTAGATGTTCGTTCATTGGTGATTGATATCCTCGGTCTCATCTTGAAAACGCGCCTGCAACAGCAGTAGCAATTGAAAAATGCTTATCATATAAACTGTCCCGTTACAGCGTAGAAGTGCTTGCCACATAATGCAGAAATATTCTCATGCATTGTGTCTAAGATGCTGGGTTATGGACAGAGACAAGCGAGCGCCATCCGATGCTGTCAAGAAGCAGATTCCCTGAAGTAGTTAGTTTAGTCGCCGATTGAGGATCTGCAAGCAGCACGTGACAGTCAGGTGACCGTTGGTGTGGTCAGGTTTTCTTGGCAGTGAATGGCGGGGTTGATCAACTATAGAGCGATATCACTTTGCGGCAGCAAGAAATATCAGTTCAAGTGCCTGCCCATACTATTTGAAGAGGTTGGTGGCCGTGCCTAAGCTGGTTTTGTGCAGGCGCGATCTTGTGATTTCATCTTTCCTAGAGTCGTGGTCTGTTTGGCTTCGCGTCACACAATTAACCTTACCACAGGCCCTCTTATCAACTTCCCTCCTTTTCCTCGCGAGAGAGAATTCAACAATACTCCTGCATTGCTTATTATATTCATTTTAGCAAGAAGAAAGCTTTGCCTTTTAAAGGCTCCCGACATTCACTTGCTTTAATCACTTAGCTCCCCGCAGAGATGGCTTTGCCAAAGAGAATAATAAAGGAAACTGAGCGCCTGATGGCCGAGCCGTAAGCAATTAAAATATTAACACCAGTTCCATTTCCATGCTAACTGCTAATGGTTTGACAAAGTGTCCCGGGCATCGATGCAGTTCCCCATGAAGATAATTTGCGATATTTCGACGTTAAAATACACGGCCCGTCCCAGTCCCCATATGAAGGTATCCGCCTCTAGATCAACTTCTGGACTCCGTGCACTGCGCTTACCTCTCCATAGGTGGAATATTTTCTCTGGAATTGTTTTTGCCGGATGACTATCCAATGACACCACCAAAAATCCGCTTCTTGACAAAAATATACCACCCGAATATAGACAGACTCGGTAGAATCTGCCTCGATGTATTGAAGAGTAAGGAACTGGGGCTCTTGGTGTCTGGCTGTCTCGATGGCTGACCCCATTCTTGCAGATAATTGGTCACCTGCCCTCCAGATTCGCACAATTCTTTTATCGATCCAGGCTTTATTAGGCGCACCGAATCCGGATGACCCACTAGCAAATGATGTTGCTCAGCGTTGGAAAGAAGACGAGCCAGCAGCCATTGAAACTGCGAGAGAATGGACAAGAAAACACGCCACTCCGGCATAAGAGGCTGTGTTGAACAACAAATAATCCTGACAAATAAAAATCAAGCTCGCTAAAGCTTCATATGACAGGTGCTTTAGCCTTGCTGCAAAAAAATCTTACGTGGACACGAGGTGCTCAAGTCGAGGGTAGATGGACAACCTTTTATGCAACGGCTTCGAACGCTAGATAGAGTAGATATATCATATCGAATCCTTTTAAAACTTGACGCCATGTTAATAGTCCGACATTCGTGTGATCTATGGATTATTGCGTTGCTGTTGAAGACATATGTCCACAAGGCTGTCCAGAATGGAGGTAAAACGATAGGAAAACATGAGGTGGCATTCAACCTGGAAACCGGAACGGATGTATAGTGTCCATAAGGTATTATTGCCCCAATTCCGGCCGTCTAGGTTTCGTACAAGGCACGTTCAGTAGGTTAAGATCGCCAAATACACATAGCCCAGCATCACTCTCGAATTGTATCCATGCCGTTGCGACGAAAGGTAGTTGGTCTTCGTTGATGGTTTGTCGGAGCGGGAGGTTCCCCGTACTTTTGAGGGCAGTCAGGGTCACGTGTCACACATTAGCGAAAATAGGCACCACACCAACCTCACTCATCGAAGTTGGCGGTTGACGCAACGAGCAATTCAACGACCAAGTCAACAATTTCACCTCGTCCACGACCGCTGCGCATCCCCACGATCCAAGATGCGTACCTACGACGATACCTTCAGCGGTGAGAAGATCTACCCTGGGAAGGTACGTGGAATTTCTATCCCGATTCAGAAACAAGACGCCATTGCCAGCGGCGGCGAGCTTTTGGCTCTAATTAAATCCAATTTGAGCAATTCGAATCCATAACGGAGGCTACGCGCATTCAAAGGAAGAAACTGACATCTTGTTTTGCGAAACTTAGGGTAAATTGTATGTCCGTGGCGACAGCAAGATCTTCAGATTTCAGAATGGCAAATCCGAATCCCTTTTCCTCCAACGCAAGAACCCTCGCCGGATCGCCTGGACCGTTTTGTACAGAAGACAGCACAAAAAGGGTATTTCTGAAGTCAGTACAACCCGATCCTACGGAAGGTGGAATACAAGGGAACATTGCACTGGGACGATGACTAGCGTTATGGGAGTTAAGGAAGGACTACGCTAACCTGTCGAATTCGCCAATTTACAGGAAGTTGCTAAGAAGCGTACCCGCCGCACCGTCAAACACCAACGTGCCATCGTTGGTGCCTCCCTTGATGTGATCAAGGAACGCCGATCTATGCGCCCAGAGGCCCGTCTCGCTGCTCGCCAGGCTGCTATCAAGGAAGGAAAGGAAAAGAAGCAAGCTGCTGAGAAGCAAAAGAGAGAGAAGGCCCGCACCGCTGCCGCTGCTTCCAGAGGACAGACTTCCAGAATCCAGAGCAAACAGGGTGCTAAGGGTTCAGCACCAAAGGTCGCCGCCAAGTCTCGTTAAGCCTATACGTAACGGTGTGGAAGTGGAATGGTGTTGCTTTTTTCTGTGGCATAAGGGAGTAACAAATCTGGTGTTTGTTCTTTATTTAAGGGCCCGGCATGGCCTGAATGAGAAACTGGGTTTAAAATTCCTCTGTGAGAAAGGGCATACATGGGACGATGATTTCTACGACTGGAAAGCCTGAATCATGGTTCTTTTCTGCGGAACTGGTTCTTACTACTCCTAGATTCTGTAAGCCCAAATATTTTATCTCGCAAAGAACAAGAATCGCGCTTTATCGCATCCGCAAGATGACCTTGGCTTGAATGGGAATGATCTTGATATGCTCTTCAAGCAACAACGAACTCTTGGTACAAAAATTACCCTAGTGGTTTGCGATCTCATAATTCTCAGTACAACCAGCCCGTATCTGATGAGTTTCATGCTATCATTTTCTCTAATCCGTACGTCAGTAGCTATGAAAGACCGTATGTCAAGACGAATGATTATCGTAATTTCCATGTTGATAACGCTCCTCGCAACAAAGCTCTTCCACTGCTCAGTGCTCACCAACATTGAGGTCATCCCCTCTTCCCCGGCGACCGAGAGGGGAAATAGGGCAAAGCCCTAGAGACTCAGAATAGTCAGTTCTTGGCATTCACTCGCCCCCCCGAAAAGAAGAATTGCTTCGCCGTCGCCTTCAAGGGAAAATCGCTGCCAGCAGAATCGACAACGACACGAATCTCACCAAAATCCAAACTGTGAGTATTGCGAACACCTACCATCCCCTTCATCCATGCTCTCCAATCTCAAGAGCAAACGGTTGAGCCCTCGCTTAGGCCTCCTTACCTAAGCAGCCCAGGAAGAAAGTGGCGCTAACACCCAGAGCCGTCGTCTTCACACAGATCTCGTTCGCCAACCGCCAACTTCAAGTGACGCCTTCGCCGAAGCACATTTCCATCGACTACCTACCGACCGCACATCATGGGTAAGGTTCACGGTTCGCTCGCTCGTGCGGGTAAAGTCAAGTCTCAGACTCCAAAGGTCAGTTTGTGATATCCTCCCCCAGGATCCGCGCGTTCACGCATCGCGTGGGACGGAGTCAGTCGCTATAGTGGTGGTTTTTGTCCGGTGCTTTTCAGGGACGAAAACTAGGATATGCGGTGTTGATTTCGTCTATGAAATGCCGGAGTACCAAATTTGATGAACCTTTGAATATGCGGAGGGCTAACGGGGATATCCAACGAAATTAGGTCGAGCCTCAAGAGAAGAAGAAGACTCCCAAGGGCCGTGCTAAGAAGCGCCATCAATACACCAGACGTTTCGTCAACGTCACGATGACCGGTGGCAAGCGCAAGGTACGTGAATTCTTATATGGGTTTCGATATCAAGGAGCGGGGGACTCTTATCCAGCTTCCTTTTATCAAAAAAGAACCTTGTCTAACACATTTGCTCCTTCAACACAGATGAACCCCAACCCAACATCGTAAAGACCGTTGCGATGTTATCTTTTTCCTTGCATTTTCGTCATGCGGTTCCGTTACTTTGATTTGCTCGGGGAAACCATACGCATAGGAGGGGCGAACCTCCACAGCGAAACCAAGCGGGAATGCTGCTCTTCTAGCCAGGAGGAAATGGCAGGAATGAATGTTGTTTATGAATGTGCGCATGGGATCCTGGTTATAGGGAAGGCGTCTTGCCGATGCGATATCATGAATATGATTTAGTACTTCTCTCGAGTCCTGTGGAGGTTGTTATGGAAAAAGGGTAGAAATCTTGTTCCTGCCCCAGCATATCCTGAACAGATCCGGAATTCGAAAATTCATTGAAAGAGTGGCCCTCTCCGATGTCCTTGATCTGTTGGAAGCAGTACTAGCATGCCTATGGATTTCAACCACTTGAGCATATGCTTACTGTTGTTGCTGTAAAATTCAACTGTTGACTTGGCTTGCCTTGTGTGCCTAATACTAAAAATAGTAAGCCATTCCGCTTTGCTGCCCCGGCTCCTGCCAGAGCACTTATTGCAACCAAATCAAACAAATTAGAGTATAGAGGCTAAACATCCTCTTGCGCCCTAACCCAAACACCACATCCAGTTCTATAATAAAAGCCTGCCCCAATATAAACCAAAGTCGACGCCTATTTGCAAGAGCAACATTCAACAACCCAGTCTAGGGATCTATCAAGGCAGATGTCGGAGCCCCTTAATCATTTTCCCACAGATCATGTAGATCTGAGGGCCAATGGCCCGGCCAAAATCGATGAATAGTTCAAAGCGAGTGGCCACCTGGAATCAGGCGTTTAAGAAGCGACCAGAGGCTGCAAAAATACCATATGACTGAGCAAATGGGTCAGTGAGTGTGACACTCAACGCGTCAGCTTGACGACAGGGTGTATTTCAGACATTATAGTAGTGAGCCATTTCTAGGCCGGCGCGTCTAAAGCCACACTTAAGGTAGAAACCCTCGTTGACCTCGGAGCAGTCAAGAATACTCTACACAGCAACATTAGCGATTCTACTTCAATAAAGGAAGCCAAACTTGCACCATAAAACATCAGCGGAAAGCTCAAGAAAACCATACCTTGTAACATCCAACCTTCGCTGCCACGTAATCCAAAGCGTGGATCATTCTCAATCCTAACTTCTTGCCCTGCTGGTTTTTCTCAATGGCAATATCTTCAATGTGCCCAACCAAACCAAGTTTGTGGATAAATTTTCGCTCAACGATCAAACTGCCCGTCCCGACAACTCTGCCCGTCTCATCACAAATAACAAGGAGGTAATATTCATCGTTTCGTTTCGCCATCCAATCGTATCTTTCGCTCCACTCCTCGAAAGAGTATTCGCCAACGGTCGTCAAGACACGGAGTACCTCGAGATAGCCATTATCGTAGTCGGATCGGCGAAGAGGGCGGATAGTATAGCCTTTTGGTAGTTGGGCAGCAACATCTGGGGAAATGAGGTCCATCGGGAAGAGGAGCTCCTCGTCGGAGCTGTCTTGCAGCACGCAAATATGGTTAATGCCGTTAACAGGTGCCATTGTTCAAAATATGGTCGTTCCGTAGATGGATAGATCGATGGACAAAAGCTGTTACCGTGAGGGCAGAGAAAGCGAGTGTATGTTAGTTGCTACGGCCGGGTCGAGAGCGAAGAATCAGGTTGCAGGGTATGAGAGATGAGCTCAACTGAAAAGACAAACTAAACGAGAGTATTGGATATGTTCAATAAATGCTGACTACTTAAACCAGAAGAAGCAGAGGGGAAACACAAGAGGTCGACGAAGGGGAGTGGGAGAACTCAGCCTTCTTTTGCACTCTCGATATGCTTGGTCGTTCCTGGTGGAATTGCAGGGGGTATTGACACCTTACTAACCTGGGTTTAGCGCCCTATTGTGTTGCTATTTTTAACTCCATAGCCAATTGAAGAGATGAGATTGTGGCGATTGTACAGGTATGTCTGTGGAAATTCCTACCACAAAACAGCTAGATGTAGTTATATACATGGGGACAACAAAGGCCTATCCCAACTCGCAAGCTTTTGTCTATTTTTTCTCCTTGGGGCTGATCATCAGCTCGGGGCGGACGAACTTATCAAAGTCCTCCTCACTCAAAGCCTTGAGCTCCATTGCACTCTGCTTCAGGGTCAGGCCTTTCTTGTGTGCATTCTTGGCCACCTTGGAGGCCATATCATATCCAATAACCGGGTTCAGGCAGGTGACAAGCATCAAACTGGGAGAACGTTAGCCTTGAACACAGGGAGCTAAATTGCAATATCGTTTACCTTTCGTGGAGAAGAGAACCAATTCGCTTTTCATCCGCCTCCAAACCAACGACAAGATTCTTTTCAAAAGATTTCATTCCATCACCAAGGATACGGATGCTGTGGAGGAGGTTGCGGATCATCAATGGCTTGAACACGTTCAATTCGAACTGTCCGCTCATCCCACCAACGGTAGCGGCAACATGGTTGCCCATGACCTGGGAGCAGACCATTGTAAGTGCCTCGCATTGCGTAGGGTTGACTTTGCCAGGCATAATGGAAGAACCTGGCTCATTCTCGGGAAGAATCAACTCTCCAAGGCCGCATCGTGGTCCCGAGCCGAGATATCTGATATCCTGGGCAATTTTGAAGAGAGAGCAGGCAAGGGTGTTCAGAGAGCCCGAAGCTTCAACAATGGCATCATGAGCAGCGAGCACTTCGAATTTGTTGGGTGACGTTTTAAACTCGGTGCCAGTCATCTTGGTCACTTCTTCAGCAATAGCCTCATCAAAGCCTTTGAATGTGTTGAGACCAGTGCCAACAGCAGTACCACCCTGCGCAAGCAATCGCAAGTCGGGGAGGGTATTCTGGATGCGATCGATATTTCGGTCAAGCTGGGCTACATATCCTGAAAACTCCTGGCCGAGAGTCAAGGGTGTTGCGTCTTGCAAGTGAGTTCGTCCAATCTTAATGAGTTTCTCAAACCGCTCAACCTTCTTTTGCAACGCCTCCCGGAGGCTCTTCAAAGCAGGGAGCAAGGTCTCCTCGGTTTCGAGGACGGCTGCGATGTGCATGACAGTGGGGAAGGTATCGTTGGAGGAAGCGGACATGTTGACATGATCATTGGGATGGACAGGCTTCTTGCTGCCCATAGTGCCACCAAGAATTTCAATGGCACGGTTAGAAATGACTTCGTTGGCGTTCATAATGGAGCTGGGTGCCGGAGCCGGTCTGCCAAACAACAAGAGGTGG